ATTTCTTATTTTAAAAATTTTATTGCTAAATATGAGAAAAAAAATATAAAAAATGATAAACTATGAAAGTCGTCCGTGACTGGTGGTGCCCGTGACTGGTGATAGTGACTACCGGTGATTAATAAATCAAAAAATATGCACTTATAAGGTTATATAAGTTTATCAATATCTGAAAATGTTTTCGCTCTCTTGAAAATGGAAAGTTATTTTCTTTAACTAGAAAATTTTTTCTTAGTTTTTCTTTAACCAGAAAAATATTTTCCATTAACTTATTTTTCTAAATGCCCCAAATAGTGAAAAATTGTGAAAACTATTTCTTTGTAAGTTATTTTACGAAAAAAATGAAGTGTACATAAAATTTGTAATGTAATTCTTATAATCATATAAAAATAATCTTAGATATAATTTTCTCGAACACACCTTTTAGGCAAATTGCTCAAAAATATATATGCGCATTTGGATATTTGGAAGTTAAACTCCAAGGATTATATTTCCATAAACAATCAATAGTTGCAAGCCAACTTTCTTCTCTTTCAGCTCCATCAAAGGCCTAAATATATTTTTATTAATATGTATATATTCACAATTTTTTATATTGCAATTGATTTTGGTAAATGAATTTATAGTACAATTTTTATTAGTATTGAAATCGAGTAAATAAATTGAATTTAAACTTGTATATAATTGATAAGATATATTATTTTTTATGCATGGTTTTTAATACTATTTTGGTAGCAAATGTTAATTGATTCAAGTATGATCATAAATTAGATATCTATTTAGAAAAAGAACAGAAACAATAACACATTATTATACTTCTTTATGTAATTTAATTAACAAAAATATATTATTAAGAAAGTGAAAAAGTCCATTCATGTGACAACCCATTTGTTGTTGCAACTATTGATTCCCGTCATCTTCTTTCAAGTAGCCAAAGTATGCCATCTTTATGAGTATTTTAGGCAATCTTGAACAAAAAATAGATGTTGCTAGATAGCTTCATTGAAACCCTAATGAAATCATTCTATTTGCAACTCTTTTTTTCTCTTTAGAATAGCAACTGCAAATAAATGAAAACTATATATGATGCCTATTGTAGAATTTGGAGAACTATCGAGAAGTAATAAATTTACTTATAAAAAAGTAAATAATACTTTTATTCAAACTTTTCAGAAGTAATGAATTCTATATCTTCTTCACAATTATCCAGCGACTCATTATTATCTGAGCTTAGTAGATTCACTATTTAATAACATAATAAAATCAAAATATGCTGCAAACTATAAGAATAAAAGACAAAAGCTTACCAAGCTGAACTTTTGAGCCCGACATTCTTCATTTGTTTGTGAAACTTGTGTCTTTTTGATTCATTAGTAGCGACATTAGTTATTTCGACTGCCTCTTCCATCTCCATTCTTTTTCTCTTTGTGTCAACATTTGGGTTCATCAAACACTTCTGACCACAGACAGACCCTTTATATTGGGTACTTGATTTCGCAAAATATAAGAATACTAAAATTTGAGAAACCTTTATAACCAAACACCAGAAAATATCCTATGCAGTTTGAATTATGCTAAATATCCTATTTTGGTAACCTGTACCCGTATTTGGTTGTCCAATCCTGATGGTTCGGGAATCCAACCCCTAAATAAAAGATCATTCTTTCTTAATCAAATTGTGCAAAACCAAAATGCTGCGTTTAAAGAACTGAACTAAATTAACTGTAGATTTAACTACTTGTGAATTACTTCAAAAGACTGAACTAAAATTTAACTGTAGATTTTAAAAACTACTGTGAATTAACTTCACTCCTAGCGCTTAAAGCTTAGTTCTGAGTACCTTAAAAATAGATGTTTTTTACTAAAAAGATTCCCTGTTGCATTTAGTATATCTTGTTATCATTAAATAACATGGGGTCAAATTACCTTGTCAGGAAAGGTTAAGATCAAATCAAAATCTAATACTGATTTTCCTTTCCTATACTGGGAATTCCTCTCGAAATCTACTTATATAATTACTTACACTTCACCTAATTCCTCATTCTCCACGTGTGGTGAAAAATCACCTTTCCCTTAATTTCACTCCAAAAATCAACTACAATAACGAACCCAACTCTCTTTGGTTCTTCTCCATAGTCACAATAAATGGGTGAAGCTCTTTCCCCCGATTGTTTCTCTCTTCAAAATTTAAAGAACCGAACACCTCTTCTGCAACAATCGATAAATACTCTCTGCCGATTGTTTCTCGCAATCCAAGAAAAAAAGAAACCTTACTCTACAAAAGAGAATCTCTCTCCCGATTTGTTCCCACTCATTCCCCAAATAAGAAAAGAAGACTGAAAGAAACCAAAAACGAAATAGGGTATTTCATCTGTTTTCTCCCTATTCCAAAGAATGAAGAACAGGATTCCTTCGTTTTTCCACTATTTTTATTTCTCCTTGCGATTTCAAGGGAAAACCAGTAACAAGAAATTCGAAAATTGTTGAGCCAAACTGCTTTACCAGAGGTCTCGACAGGAGCTAAAGCCTTTCCCAATCCAATCTTGGATTACCGATTTTTTCCAAAGAGCAAGTCAAGAGCAAGTTGTCAACAAGGACATGCCGTCGTTCAAGAACCGTCCTCCTGCGATTCTTGCAATCTTGAAAGAATGAGATTTTACACTGCTGAAGATTTGGAGGAGGAGAGAAGAAAAGGCATCTCCACTAATCTGAGTCTATCCTATCGTTATAACACGGTAAATATTCTTGATAGCAATCTTGATATTCTTGATAACAATATATTCTTGATAACAATCTTGATTTGTGGAAAATAAAGAAGAGGCTGAAAGAAAGTGATCTTGGAAATTTAAGTAGGCTTTTGGTTCCATCTAACTTGGTAAAGAAAGATGTTTTGCCTCTTCTGAGTAGTGATTTAGTAAATGGGATCAAGAGTAAAAGGGGCGCTTCTGTTGTTTTCTGGGACGTTGATACTGAAACAACACATAATCTGGTTTTCAAGAAATGGGATAGTTCAGGAAGTTACGTCTTCATTGGTGGTTGGACTACTGAGTTTGTTCAGAGGAGGAGCTTAAAGGAAGGAGATGAGATTAGGATTTATTGGGATGTTCCAAATTCAAGGTTCAACTTTTCTGTCATCTATTCACTATTGGTGCCCGATTAATTCTGTTCAGTTTCATGCAAAATGATGAATTTTGTTGGTATATGTTTTATTTGATACCTGCTAACTTTCAATTTTAGTATTTGCTGTTGAATATTGAAACTTGTATTATTATTGATTCCATGTTTTTTTAAAAGAGCTTAAAGGAAGGAGATGAGATTAGGATTTATTGGGATGTTCCAAATTCAAGGTTCAACTTTTCTGTCATCTATGGTGCCCGATAATTCTGTTCAGTTTCATGCAAATGATGAAATTTTTGTTGGCTATAGGTTTTATTGATACTGTAACTTTCAATTTAGTATTTGCTGTTGAATATGAAACTTTGTATTATTTTGATTCCAGGTTTTTTTACCTAACATTTTCAGGTTAGGTCGGATTATTTAGGGTGAGCCTATTGGCTTGGGTTTAGACACCTGAAAATGTTAAGTTTTCCTTGGACTTAAAAAAATTAATAAAATAATAAAATTGCCTATCAAAAAAATTTTATTGATTTTAAAAGTCGGAAGATATTGAATTCACAGGAATATATGATTTATATTAAATTTTCAACTTCAAAATATTAATTGGGGTGTATATTAAAGATTAACTTTTTCTTTATTATATCTTTGGCTATGGTTTTACTTTAACAATATAATTAATTTTTAATTCAATCATAATTTAATTATATTTTGTTTAGGTTAATCATAAATAGGAAAATAATTTAGTCCCGCAATTTTAGCTTTGTGTATTTATAGAGGTTAATTTTTATGTACTAATAATCAACTTTGAAAAGAAGATTAAAAGCATGATGCCGTCTAAAATAATTAAATTAATCAATGCAAAAGTATTAATTTACTTATAAATAAGTTAAGATTCATAATATAATTTATTAATAGCATCATATTATAGTAGGTCTTTTGCATTGCGGATCTTAATAATCATCAACTTTCAGAAAAATGTTACAGAGGAAATTGTTATAATTAGACTGTTTGGATATATATATAACAGATTATAACTATAGACTAGGGTTAATATAATTTAAATGATATTATATAAAATACAAAGATTATTTTATTTAATTATTCTAATAGAAAGTTTTATTTTGGCCACAGACTTTATTCTTCGAAAATGAAAGGGGCACTGGTTTTTGTTATTTGCATACTTTTTATTTGGTCTTTCTTGCCAAACAATGTTAGAGATTATTGAAATTTCCAGATTCGTTATTGGTTGGTAATGGGGATAGATGGCTTCTGGAACAAAGTGGATTTCGGGTTTGCTCACCTATTAATCAATTAATGGAGAATGTTCGTGTGAGTGAACTGTTTAATCTCTTAGCTGCAGAAGTTTGACAGATTATATTGTTTGGCATTATACAAATAATCGAATTAGAGTGGATATCTTGCTTATGTAACCTTCGTTTATAAGAGACAAACAACAAATCGAACATCATGTCTTGAATTGGGAACATCCCAATAAATCTCAATCTCATCTTCTTCCCTTAACTTTCTCCTTCCAGCAAATCCATGAGTCAACCTATCAACAAATACTAACTTCCTGAAGTGCTCATTTCTTGAAAATCAAAATTATGCTTTGTTTTAGCACCAACATCCCAGAAACAACAGGAGCAGCACAATTATTGTGAACCCCATTAACAAGATCGCTACTCAAAAGAGGCAAACATATTTCTTCACCAAGTAATGGAAATCAGTAGAGTGGAGTGCACGTGCCATCAGGAGTTGAGAGGAAATCAGTATAGAACGACTTAAAACAGGCCATGGCATGGATTTTGATTTTACCTTTCTTGACAAGTAATGAATATATACACAGTTTTAAAAATATGAAATGATATTTCAAACACGATCAATAAGACAGCTCAAGCTCAAGCTCACTTTCAGACAAGATAACATTACAACTAATTAGCAGAGAGACTAAATAAGGTTAAGGTTCAAATGCAGCAGTCTAAATTTGCCATTACAGATGAACGAAATCCAACATTATGATATTCCTACAGCACAAATAGTTAAAACAAACAACAAAACGATAAAATCCTAATTTTACATATGCTCAATTTGTCTTGACTTGAGGGGAAGAGGGGTCCTACAGGATAACAACAAGAAGATCAGATAGGCCTGGAATCTTACTGTTTATCGTGGATGCTCCTTTTCAAATCCTCATTTTCCTTGTTGAGAAAATCAATTCGAGATTGAAGAATGTTGATCATCGCATGCGCACTCATCATTTCAAGCTTCAATGTCTCTCTCTCAACAGAAATCTTGTGGATCTCACTCTGCAAATCATTGATAAATTTCATGCAGCTAGGAGGCACTGTCGAATCAAGACTAATATTACCGAGGCTAGGAGGAGGAGCATGACGATTTACTTTGGGGTCAATTGATTCCATTAGAGAAAACTCCAATAATGCAGAGATTGCAGTAGTGGTTGCTGCAGCTGTTGTCATCGTTGTGTCTGTAGTTGTTGTTGTTGCTGCTGTTGATGTTGTAGATGAGCAAGGATCCTGAGTTGTCCTGGTTGACTTGTCCGAAGCATTTGAATGATTAGATACTGTATCATTATTGTGCTTTCTCCTTTTATATTGGAGTAAAGGAAATGATGCTTCTGTGTTAAGCACGCAAGGAGGATCATCATCCACTGTCTCGGTCTTGCACACAAGTAAGTCATCTCTTTGAAATTCGTCAACGTTTTGACACTCCGTAGGAAGTTCATTAATATTAAGAGGATTTCGGTTGATGGAATGAGTGTCCTGCTAGACATGACCAACATTTTGAAAGCACATTTGGGGATATGTTAATTCTGAACTATTGTTATCATATTCCAAGCATTTTCCACGAAGACAAATATATGCATAACAAGTAACAGAGTTAACAGACAAATAAAGCAAATAACAAAGTCTTAATGTTTTGAGCGAAGAGTAAAGATAGCACTGTGATTTTGATGTAACGATTGTCATTCAACTGGGCTTTATGACTTTTTTTTTTAGGCTTTTTTCTTTTGTGCTCTTAATTTCTGATAGCATATTCATAGCTTAGACAAACAAACAAAACAGAGCATGTTTACACAAGTCAGAACCAGCTCAATGGTATATATCAAAACTCCTACTTCAATGAAAAAAAAAATTATGCAAAAATATGCCAGCCATATAGCTACACGTTAATTACTATCACTTATACGGTACAAATCATCTCAAACTAGTAAAGTATACCTATTGAGTCTATCTTTTTTTCACATGATTACTGTGCCCTTATCGACATCAAAAGTATTGCTGAAGTCGGCACTTTTATCACTATTTTCAACCAAAATATAACATGAAGTAAATTATCAACTTTGATTTGGACCAGCAGCACCAAAGATGTAGGATAAACAGGGCTCAGGGCTACGATGATATGTCAAAGTGGTAACTCAGAGATAACTAACAAATCACAAAAAAATTTCTTGGTATAGATGGACCAGTTTGCCTTGAAAACTTGGAAATATACTTACAGGTCCGCAGAGTTGCCGTATGCTACATTCATTAACCTAACCTAAACGCTTATTTGTTAACATCTGATATCAGTACATATACGACATTCCTCATAGTAGTAATTCTGATTATTCAAGCAATTAACCTCAAGCTTGTTAAGCTGGCGATTCTATGAAATGCTTTATGCCCATATTTCAGTTATCACTCAAGGAGCAATGGAATAAAAGGACAAAGTTGATGAAGAATAAACAGGGGTTCTTATGTAACTTACCTTAGTGACTCAAAGTGTCATAATTAGGGTGTTTAAATGAGCTGAGACGGCTCACGAGCTGTTCAAGCACAACTCGAGAAAAGCTTGAAAAAATTCAGCTCGAATTGTGCCCCAGCTGGCTTGTTTGGCAAATGAGTTGAGCTTTATCGAGCTTCTATATATAAATATATATAAAACATTTATTTTAAGCTTACTCGAGCCTCGAGCCAAGCTCAAACTTAAAAATTTAAGTTGAACTCGAACCTCAAGTTGAGCCGAGCTTTCATCAAGCCAAGCTCGAGCCTAAAATTTGCAGGCTCGTCAAGTTTTGAGCCAAGCTTCGAGCCTGGAAGGTTCGACCTCGGCTCCTTTACACCCCTAGTCATAATACCAACCAGTGTTCTTTTGTGCTAGTTCAAGAAGGCCATTTGCACTGATTGACCAATGTTTAGCAATATTGGCTGTCGCTATACAATATAAACATTGCAGAAGATCTAATTGATGAAAACATGGATATTTCAATTGGGTGGCTAACTTTTTATAATATTCTACTTGATTAATGTTAGTAAGGAATGAGAGTACTTCAAAAATGGAAATGTGCCATAGTTCTCATCTCATTATTTTTTGCTACCAATAAGCCCATTTACTCCAGTTTTGCTTCTAGCTGCTGAAACAGCCTGTTTAAATTGATCTTCATTAAAAAAAAAAAAAAAAAATCAACAATCCAACAACTGTCACCATTCTAACTCCAAATTATTTTCTTTGCAATATGAAGAGTTCCTTCACAACTAAAAGTAAAATGTTGACCCAATCAACTTTCTCAGTATTTAATTCTATATTTTTTTACCATATGCATGAAGAAAATTACTGTGTCCATGAAGAAAACAAAACCTTCAAATCCAAATCAAGCAAGATCTGAGTATTAACCACTGGATAGAATGTTGCTCCTTTGAAGTTCCAAGAAAGGCAATATTTTAATCTTAATGGCAAAACCTCTTATTGAACATTAATAACAGGCCAATCCTTCCAATCAATCAAATCCTAACATATTCCATCTGTACTTTAATTTCAAGATGGTACCCAAAACCATTAAATCAGTAAGCTTGCTAGCGACTCTACTTTCCTCACTCAACATGGAATTTCCACTAATCCTCTCTATCCCAAAGCTCCATAGTAATGTTGCATGGTACATCATGCAGTTTTTACCCCAAAATACGCAATTGTATCATCCTCAGTGAGGCTTCTAGATTTTCTACTAACCACCTAGACATACTAGTTAGTGAAGCAGCATCCCTTTCACATTCAACCTTTCATGTTATTATACTCAAAAAAGAAAACAGTTCTCTGTGTTAAATCTCACATCTCACACGATATTCTTCTCCAAATTACAAGGTCAATAGACTCGATACTAATAACTATAGAACCATTGAAACAGAGTCACACATGAATGTGACATGCACCAATTTTGTTTCTTTTGGAACCAAGAAGGCATGCAAAAAAGAAAATGGGCCTTTTTAGAAATAATCAATCAATTTAGTTCTAAAAAAAAATCATTTACAAAAACACCCTTTAAATCCATGAATTTGATCTCTAAAACAAAGAAGAGAAACTATATCAATTCAAGAAATTAAAAACCCAAATTTTTGTTTATGTGGATTTTGACAAATTCTATGAATTTTAAAACCCTCAATCCAAACGCTACTAAAATGCTTAGCAACTATCAAATATCCTTACACAAGGAGCTTGTTTTCCTTTTTATACAAGGATAATGTTTCTTCTCACTTCCTTGTTTTTGACTTAATATTAGTACCTTTAACCTTGAAGACATATAATTTGAAATAATGTTGCTTCTCTAAGGCCATAGGACACTTGAAATTTCCCATTTTGGTTTCTCCTTTCTTTTCTTCAACAACTTGACTTTATTATCAAAAGAAAGAAAGAAAAAAAAATACGCAGATCATCGAGAGTTTCCAGTGATTTTATACATGCAGCTCATGGACTACAGCACGGAATCTACCATGTTACCATTGTTTCAATAGAATATTTGCCTTACACCAACACAAATACAAAGATAGGGATGTTAAACAAAAAGATCTATAACTTGTAAAAGTAATGACAGTTGGCATAGCAACTCCTGCCTGAAAAATTCCATTTTGACCGCTATTTGGATAGACCGCTAATAAAGAATACTATGATTAATTATATCATTCTGTATGGAGATCAAGTCATTTTGAGGCCATCAATTAATGATGACATCTAGATGCCGATATCAGAACTTTTTTGAGTTCAATTATTTACATGACAGCAGTCCATAAGGATGGGAGCATACTGCTCAATGGATTTTGTCCAAAAAGTGGTCTTAGCATAATATATGATTATAAACACACAATAGATATGGGAGGTGTGAAAAGCAATCCTTCCTTTGCAAGGAAAACAATTTGGAAACTTAAGGTGCCTTCCCAAGTGTCCTTTTTTTTCCCAGAAGAAGCTTGGGAAGGGATCTTCACATTAAATAATTTGATCAAAAGAGAACTTTTGAGCAACTCTTCTAAAGGAACTTAAATATAGATGGGAACAAACACCTTGAGAACTTCATAGACCATGCTTTCTTTAAAGTTCCAAATCCTATTGCTGCCTCCATCTCTCAGTTCTTTTTCTATTTTAAGAAAAAGAACCTATATGGCTGAGCCTCTAGATTGAGACCATGGCTAGTAAGCTGAGCTGAGCTTCCGTAGAGTAATATTTGGCACAAACACTAGCTTCATATATCCTCTCAGCACATTCCAATTTGACACTTAGGCATCCCACCTTTTTGAAGCATATTTTGCCAAACAGCTTCTCACCACAACCATTCCTCGGTGTTTCTTACTAAAAGTTTATGCAGTGGTTTACCACCCTTCTCATGCAATATTTGATAGTCTACAAGGATTGTTTATTACCAAGAAAATATATAATTTCTTGGAGTTTTTTCAAAGAATCTAGTTGCATTTCACTTTGTTGTAAAGATATCTCTTTTGAATTATATTATTGAGCAGACTACCTTATTGCCTTCCCTGTCTATCATATATTTTGAACACAATTATACCAGTGTAAACATTTTTTTTATAACATCATCATCAAATAAGGCTTATTTTTATGTTTAAAGAAATCAACATGGAAACTTAATTTAAACAAAACAGTACACATACCTGCTCAATACGATTTATTTCAGTACAATTATCATGACCAGCCACTTCCTCCACAGCCTCTTCCCCTGGAATAAGAGCTGTCTCGCCATCATCCCACTCCTCCTCTATAAAAGGTGCATAACGATTCCCGTTTGGAGGTCCTATATTATTCTTGTGAAACACTCTACACAGCACGTATGAATCCGTCTTCACCCAAAGCAAGAATAACAAACAAGCAACATCCATGAGATTACCGACACCAAAACAAATAGCATGCACTTTGATTGCTCAGATATTGATAGAAAAACAACAAAAATCAAAGTTGCAAGCTCTTCCCAATAATTAGGACCCCAGAGCCTGCTAAAGTTTCCTACTCCACTAACCTCAACTTGCCAATGTGAAATAATACCAGTCCTATAAAAGAGCTTGACACATAATAAACCTAACATTTTCCTTATAAAAAGAAAAACACTGCTGTTAGTTCCTCATCATTGTCAAATGAAAACAGGTAAGACATACTATTCAAGCTTACATTCTCTCTCCATTTTCTATAACTTTTTATGCAAGTAAATTCAAACCTGCATCATCATCATCATAGACCATTAACAACAATTCTGCCAACAGGCTCACCTGCAAGGCTCCAATTCTATCCAACTCTTCATCAACAAGCCGGTACTCATGCATAACCCAATTGGTGCGCTGCCCCCCTGGAGCACGCCCACTATGAAACACGAGTGTTTTCTTCATTGCAATCAGTTGAGAGTCCCGGCGAACCTCCCGGTCTTTTCCAGTAGCTTTCCAGTAACCTCTAGTTGTGGCTCTATTCATTCTTGCTCCATTCCCATACTTCCTGTCCAATGCACTAAAAAAGTACCACTCTTGGTCTCTACTTTTCAACCTTGATTTATCTATAATTCCATAAAGTTCACACCTTTGTAAGAACCCAGATACGGATTTAAATTGAACTATTAAAAATAACCATAAAAACATTTGCAAGAGCATTTAAAAAAATTATGTACCAACGTAGAACCAAATATACTACACACTATTTGCTGAACAAGCAAAATCACAGAGAAATTGAGGGTGGGGAAAAGACAGGAAGGTGCTAAACCATAGCCAAAATCAACTATTTAATCGAGAAATTAAAAACAAACTGAAAATACCAACTGAAACATAGGTTTTCAGAGACAAGACTAAATTGTTTTTCATCCAACAAAAAAAGCATAACACAAATTTCAAAAATAAAATAAAATAAAATTGGCATACTTTATCATAAACTGAAGATAAATAAGAAAATTGAAAAGGGGTCACCTGCAAGGTCCCAAGGCTCGTTCTTGTAAATATCGACCTCAGCAATAGCATTAAAACGGACAGGTTTATTAGAAACCTTCCGTTTCAGGTAATAACTGACGAGCTCTTCATCAGTAGGGTGAAATCGAAACCCAGGAGCCAACGCCGTTGTTTTCACAGCCACTGGTTGTGGTGACGGAGTAAGGCTATCCCTACCCATGAAAGAGGAACGAAGGGAGGAGAGAAATGAGGTGGGTTAGGGTTTTGAGTCTCAGAGCATCAGAAACAGAGATGAGATGAGAGAGAGAGATAAGAGTTTAATTGATTGACAGTGAAGAAACAGAGGGTACCTTCAATTGCAAGCAATTTGGTTCGGTTCTTATTGACTGTAATTTTTTGACTTATTAGGTGGATTCATTTGTGGGTTTCTGTTAAAATGGAAAACTAATAGATGATAGAGTAAACTATAAGGTGAAGATTTATTATAGTAAGCAACACTCTGTTTGGTTGGCTCCAGAATCGAAAATGAAGTCTGCAGTAATTTTTAAAAACTATATTTTATTTATATTTAAATAAATTCAATTAATATTATATTTCATTATTTCTACTGAAAATATTTTTTTTAATTTAAACATTTATATACATTTCTATTTTAAGTTTTTTTTTTCTTTTGCGATACTTATTAACAATGTTTAGATTTGTGAAAATATTAAAACATATATATTGATAATATCATTTTATAAGAGTTTTTATTTAATTTTAAAAATTCATATGATAATGTTATTTATATAAAAGAATTCAATTTTAAGTCCCCTAATTAGTCTTTTTCTGTAAATTTGATATTTCCTTTCTTTTTCTGTAAATTTGAATATTTCCTTTCATATATATATATATATATATATAATATATATATATAATATATATATTAGATTTAGATTCGACTTAGTGCATAAATTATATATTATGATTTAGATTCGACTTAGTGCATAAATTTGCTACTGAATTTTAAGGTTTATCTTTGTGGTATCCAAACTTTATAAAGCACATATTATAACCCTAAAATTATAAATTTTGAAAAATTACACATGTTGGTACTAACAATAGCGTTTTAATATGTTTAATTTTTATATGTAAAATATTGATTTGATACATAATTACTAGTAACTTTTAGAATAATAATATTTAACCAAATATATAAATTCAGTCATGTACTTTATATAAAATCTCTCGTGACACCCTTGATTTTATGAGAGACTTATTATATTTCTAAAGTTATAAATTTTAGTAATATTACACATTTCTTCATATTAATAAAAATAGTTTTTGATATTTTTAGCATTTATATGAAAAATATTGATTTGATGTATGATTTCGCATTTTTTAACTTTGCGTTAAAAATTATCTCCTAAACTATATAAAACAAAATTAAGTAAAAGGTATGTATGAGATTAAATTCTTTATTTTTTATATAACAATTGTCACCAAAATAGTAATGACAATAAAAAGGAATACCAAATTATTTGAGTTTGAGATGGGGATTAGGTCTATTATCATATGTGAATTTAATATTCTTTGACTTATGGCATTTGATAATTCTAATCTTATATTTCTATTTTTTTTTAATTAAGTTTTATCTTCTTTAGATAAATATAGTATTTCATATCATATTTGAGGTAGTAATTATATTGATTTTTGTGTGCTTTTATATGCCAAATTTGCCATATGATAATAATAACCTTTTTTTTATAATATGGGAACATCATAATAATTCAATATTGTAAATAATAAAATAATTAATTGTGCACATTAAAATATATTTTTAAATTATTTTATTTGATTCATCCATCGAACATGAATAAATTATTCTTTGAATTTTAACTCGTCCTTCCTTTTTTTTTATTTGATCTCTCTATTCAATTATAATCTCTTTATTTAATATTCAATTCACAGTTACATAATAATCTTAAATAAAACACTATCTCTTATCTCACATAAATATGATGCATTTAAAAATGAGTAATCTTGTTTGATGTGAATACAACTAACATATAAATTATCTTATAAATAATAAAAATAAAAATTTATTATCTATATATCAAATTTAAATTATAATATTTCAAGCACATAATAATTTCAAATAACACATAGTCCAAATTTGGTAATAATTTCTTTTAAAGTGTTTAATAAATGTATTTTTATAAATTGAAATCGTTGATGGTTCAAAGTAAAATTGAGAGCGCACAAGAGTGAAATAAAAAAATTCAATAGTGAATGTATGTATTCTGAAAAAAAAAAAAAAGACATTATTTAATCAAGAAAATTTTTTTTATTATTGAAAGAGGAAATTCAAATTTAAATTTATTATCAGATAATATATATATTTATCACTAGACTATCTTTTGATATGCATTCAAAAGAAAGTTAATCGAGTTACTTGGGAGGCAATCTATAGAGTAAGAGCTAGAAAGGCAAAACCAAAACAAAAGGAAAAAGGAAAATTCTCGAAGTGGTAAAAAAAACCAAAAAAGTGATTTAAGTTTCCAATTTTCCATGAAAAGGAAAGAAATGTTTCTTTTTCTTTGTATTTTCTTTGGATGCCAATAGATAGAAGAAAAGAAAGAAAGAAAGAAAGTATTCTATCCTCTAAAAATCCAATACTGCCCAAACAAGAAATGGTTGGTTTTTGATTTGATACTTGTCCACTAAGGCAAGTAAATAAATCCTTTCACCTTAGTGGGACCAAAATTATGTTCACCAAGTTTTATTTTGAAAGTATGAAACTTGGTGTTGCTTTATCATGACACTACAGCAAGTTTTGACCATTTGGGCATTTGGATGTCATTTTTTGGTCAGTTGGTTTGTACACTTTCGCACTTCACCTTTTGAGTGTAACAAAGTTGGCTGTGTAAGTAACTCAAAGACAAAGTGTGCTTTGCTTTTTCAAGATTGATGTCCGTCTCCTTCTATCCAGGCGTTCCTTCCAAGATTATTACTCTTTCTTAATCAAAACTTAAATCTAAATTAAATAATTCACGTGTCCCAATATATAAATCGTTTTAAAATTTTATCCAAAATTTAAGAAAGTAATTAATTTTTATAAATTATAATAAAATTAAAATTATTTGACTAAATTATTTTTTATCTCAAAATCAAAAGAAACTTGTGAATTTAGTTATTTTATACTATATTTGTTCCATAATACATGTTACATTCGAGAAAATAGTTTGTTTTAAAATATTTATCACATTTGTGCTTTTAAGGAGTCATAAATATTTTTTCCACGTTTATCATTTGTATATGACCAATAATTATTACTACAATTTAATAGTTTTCTTACAGAATTAATATTAAATTAAGAGTAATATAGTTAATTTACTCACTAATTTGTTGTAACTTAGAAAAATTTAACAGTTTTCTTAAGAAGCATGAATTTCCAAATGTGAAAAGTATTATGGAATAGAGATAGTATAATGTAAATAAAGGTAATATTGAAAAAATATTATACCTATATAGTTCAATTTTGGTTCGATTTTTAAATATAATTCAATTTTTAGTTTTATGAATTTGATTCAAATTAAATCGAAATGACAGATTGTACACTTGTCTTGGAAGAGCTAATCAATTTAATAAGAATACAACTTCTTATTTTTTATACATTAGAATATAATATTAGTTTAATATATTATTTCACCTTCAATTTTAAATTTTGTTGCAATTTTACTCTGATTTAACATTTATGTAAATTTCACCCAGAATTTTAATCGTTTGTTGCAATTTCACTGTAATTTGACCTTTATACTAATTTTATTTTGAGCTTTGACATGTTATCTTAATTTATCCATATTTACCCTTTGTAATCAATAATTACTGCTTCAATGTAATGATTTTTTTAGAAAATTAATGTTAAATTAAAAATAATATAATAATTTATTTACAAATTTGATATTTTTTTAACTGAACATTAAATTTTAAATACGGCAAATATTAATAAACAACAGAAGCAGCATCCGGTGGTATCGGGAACTGGATACCGTGTTAGGTAGTACTTTTACGTATTTTCAGGCCCAGATATTAAAGTGAATTTAGATTTATTATTTGATGCTTCTATAAAAGTAGATACACAACAACTTAATATGCACTAACCAGAGACTAGAAGATGGATAGTAGAAAGGGTGTTTGAACTTTGAACTATAAGGACAGAAAGCCCACTGCTTCAATTGGGTACTTGAAACCCAATTGCAATTTCCCAAATTAGCCCAGTGCCTCAGTCTATAATAAGATGAGTTGATCTTATAAATACCTAATATAAAATGAGAGTTGCTTATCCAACAAGTTCCATAATCTTATACTATTATAATTTATAAATGTCAATTAATTCAATCATTTCATTTTAAATTCTTATTCAAACATCAATAGCCTTCAATTGTTGAATATTTGTTCCGTTACACATCTTCTGGAGTCAAATAAAATAATATTTTTACTTGTGCACTCGATTGGACAAGAATGATGTGACATCCAATGTGTATTAGGGTTATGTTGACATGTAAAATGACTTTGAAAAAAATATAATTATTTTGAAGTATATTATTATAAATAATGTGTTATTTTTTATTTTTAAATAATTAAGTATTTAGTTCTTAATATTTTATTGAAATTATTAAATCATTCATATTATTTGCTGAATCAATTATTCAGTTATAAATTTTAATGACGTTAAATTATTTAATACTTCTATCTAAATAGTGTTGTGCACTTGTAGTTAAATCGATAACTAAATAATACTCCATCTGTCTTAAAATATAAGTTATTTTTGGATTATTTTGTCCAAAAAGATAAATCGTTTTGAGTATTTTAAAGAGTAATAAATGATGTTTTTTCAATGTTACTATTTTTTACATTAGATACAATAAATATTTTTACAAGTAATTATTAGTTTTTGAGATAAAGGGTAATTTGGTCAATTTATTTTTGGTTTATTATAATCCATGAGAGTTAATTACTTCCTTAATTTTTGTATAAAAACTTTAAATGACTTATATTTTGAGATAGATAGAGTAATTTAATAATTCTTCCATCTAATATAACTTGATTTTGACTAAAATATAATGTTAATGATAATGATAATAATACTCCATCCATCTCAAAAAGATAATCTATCTTTTATTTTTAGTTTGTCCCAAAATATAGTCTACGTACTTTCCTTTTTTACATTGTAGTTAATCCTTAAACCCTTAATAAATTTTATTTTATTTTCAATGACTCTTATTAATTCGTACTTATTATTTTAATATAATAATTACTCATGCGTTATTTAAAATGTGCACGATAAGAAAGTTATATGAATAAAATTATCATTTAACTATAATAATTGTTATTTCTTAATCTCTGTGAAAATAGAAAGTTGACTATTTTTTTAGATGGGAGTAATAGCAGTAGAAAATAAAATTCTAAATAAATTGTAGTCAATGTTAAAAATAATACTCCCTCCGTCCCATTTTATTTGCATGGTTTGACAAAACACGCATATTAAGAATTTAGTCAATAAAAGTTATTTTGCTCTTTTTTATCCTTACCGTCCCATTTTATTTTGCATGGTTTGACAAAAGCACGCATATTAAGAATTTAGTCAATAAAAGTTATTTTGCTCTTTTTTAATCCCCTCCGTCCCATTTTATTTGCATGGTTTGACAAAACACGCATATTAAGAATTTAGTCAATAAAAGTTATTTTGCTCTTTTTTATCCTTAATAACTCATTAAAATATCAATAAAATTCATTCATTTAATAAATAATCATAAAAGTTATTATAGAAAAAATAATTAATTAAATTTACAAATTTAGAAATCTTATAAATATTTTAAAACATCTAAAAATAATAATAAATAAATAAAATGGGACGGAAATAATAAATTAATGATACTCAAGCCCATAATGACAATCTCAAAGCTAATTAATTTTGTAAAGCAGTCATTATCATCATGGGCTTCAGAGAAACAAACTTCAAAACAAGCACGAACCTCCAAATTCATGGGTTTGGTAGGTGACAGGTTGTTAGCAAGTCCGCCAACAACAAGCTAATTAATTAATTAATCAATCAATCAATTAAGATTTGCTAAATAAAAGGCTCTCAAAATCGTCAACACTCCAAAAAAGAAAAACCAAATCATATAACACTGACGTTGCGTTTGTTTTTTTAAAATTAACTTCCACAAAAATATTTTTCACATCTTTTATTGTTTGGAGTGTTGAGAAAAATAAATCGACCTAAAATATTTTTTTAGTCATTTTAAAGAAAAGTGATTTTTTATTTTTAAGAGCGTAAAATATTTTTCAGACTTTAATAATCTTATTTTGACCTTATAAATTTATATTTTTTTAATTTATTAATCATCGGTAGCCACTACCACCACTCACAGTTCATCACCGGCCATTATCATTGGCTACCATCACGAGTCATTGGCGACTTTTATAACTTACCTTTTTTTTTTTTTTTGCATTATTGCCATATTTAACAATAAACTTTTTAAAATATAAAATTTACATTATTATCATTATTATTACTATTATAATTTAAGAGTTAAAAATTTTATTGCCAAAAAAAGGTTAAAAATTTTAATTTTTAATTAATTTTAATATTACAACTAAATACGAAAAATAAGTATTTCAAAAAAAAAAAGGAAGCCAAAATTTACTAATAACATAAAAATTTAGGTCTTCCAGGGATTCAGCAAATCCCTCTATCTGTTCTCCTCCAAAAAAAAAAAAAAAAAAAAAAGGTTTTCATTCAATAGAAATATTTAGTCTCTCCAATATTTTAAATTCATTAAATTTAATTAAACTTTAGTTCATAAATTATTAAATTTTAAAAATTTTGTATTCTTTTTATTAGAAATATAGAAATAAAAAATGATTAATTTTTAAAAAATAAGTTATAGTATATAACTTATATTAGTATTTCAAATGGTAAAAGCACATTTAACTTCAGTAGATAATTTATACAAAATCAAAGATTCAATTTAGAAAAAAACTTATGAAATGCCAATTGTAAATTTTAAAATGAAATTACTTTTATATTTTAAAAGGACAGAAAAATGTTTATTATGAAATTAAAAAGGAAAATAATTATAAATATTAAGATAGCTTTTCATTTTTTATTAGTAAAACCATTAGAGATATTGACATCCTTTTGCGGAAGAGGAAGTAATCAAAACGTTAGAATTGTTTTCAAGCGATAAAGAAAATTGGCATTACATTAGAGTATAAATTTTTGTCAACAAATGATTTGATCAGGTAGATGACGTGGCTACCAAAAGTGTACATGTGTCAGTCTATATGCAAGTGCAACATTCAAAAACAAAAAGTCTTCTTAACAGTAATATATAAATAAAGTAATTTATTATTATTAATAAGGTGGAGTGATGGTATTTGGCTATTTTGCATGTTGCACACGTGTTTATATATAGAGGATCATGGCTAGATTTCTTGGTCATGACCTGTGGCTAGTCTCCTCCTTCCACCTCACTTTCCCTATTCACTCGCCTTTCAAGCGCGTAACCAAGTAAAATTCTCTTTTTTTTTTTTCTTTTTGAAAATTAACCAAGTGAAAATCTCTTTCGTGCTATATATATCCATTGACATTTGAGATATTTTTTTATTACTATTGGGCTGACTGGTGTAGGCCGTAATTTTTTTAATTTAAATTGTACATACGTAGCGTCTTGCTCCTACTGTCAGAGAGATTGTCTACTTTAATTATACGCCGTACGATTCGACATGCTTAATATCGGAATAAAAAAAAAAGTCCATTATATTTAAGAAAATGACTGCTTTATTAAGAAATTAAGGATTTAAATTTTAATATATATATGTATAATTGGGAAAGAAGAAAGACAAGAAAGAAGCAACCAGCTAACGATCCACCTAAAATATGTTATCTTTCACAAGTTATGAAACAACTTAGGAGGCCAACCCTTGGGAAGAGAATGACAGAAATTACCGTATCGATTGAAAATAAAAGTTTTTTTTCTCTTATTAAAAGGAAAAAATAAGAAAATTTTTCCTTTTTAAAGATGACATTAGACAATTTTAGTGTACCAAAATTTTAAATTAAATACACTCATCAAGCAGGCTGCGAAATTTAAAATAAAATTAATCTCGTTTTAAAAGGTATAACAATATTTTGAGAATATAAAAATTAAATTAAATACATATTTTTATTTTTAAATTTTATAGGAAAACAATTATAGCCATTTTTTATTTCACGTATCTTTTGAAAAAAGACCATAATATTTAACTGTAAAATTATTTAGTACGACCACAATTGCTTTTTGTTTTATTTTCAGATAAAAGAGATCATTTTATCAAAAGGCGCATTTAGTATTTAGTTTCTCCATTTTCAGTGAGAGATTCGATTTATTTATGTGTCCCGCATTCAACTAAGAGCCCGTCATTTGTGCTTTTTAGCGCTATCATCCAACCTCTTCGAGCCAATTTTAAGATAGAAAATTTTTGACATTGTTAATATAGAAAAAAAGCAATTAAGGATTTACCTATTATAAGCACAACTATATCATGAAAAATCTTGATTCTTAAAGCTCAATTATTGATTTATAAATCATGTATATGCATAATTTTCATCTAGGGACTTCAAATTACTTGTTACTCCTTAGTTCTTTTTGCAAGAGATCGCTTGGTATGAATAAACCCTCTTCTTTTCCTGCAAACAATTGCTTTCAAATTGCTAAATGTATATAAATAAATATTTTTTAGAGGTCAATTTCCAATTAGAATGAACTTATTATATATAACTGAGCATAGAGTAATATTTAAAAAGAATAGGAAGAAAAATAATTTACAAGAAGGCAAAGAATTTAATTACAAAGTGCATAAAATTTGATGGTGATGGGTTAACTGATGTGGGACTGCCTGGCGCGTGGAGCTATCAGAATCAGAAACTTTGAAGCCACCAAAAAGCCGTTCAAACTAAGAAAACATTTGTCTCAAGTTTTGAAATTTTATGCTACTCACATGTATACAATTTTATTTTTCTTTAAATTTTATTAATTTGAAGAAATCAATTGCCATCAAACAGAAATACTACCCGCCAACCCCACCATTGTCTCCTACCTGAGGAAATTTCCCATTTGGTTTCTCCTCCACTTTCTACTCTTTTCTCTTTCTAGTTAGTTTTGGTTTCTGGTTTTTGATAGAGAACTATCTCCAAACTCAGACACACTGTTCACTCTTTCTGTTTTTTCTCTGTAGTTTATGTTTATAAAGCAAGAGTAAAATGATGGGTTCTTCTTCAAAAGTTGGGAATAATAGTTATGATTATTCTTTCAAGATTTTGTTGATTGGAGATTCTGGTGTTGGCAAGAGTAGTATTCTTTTAAGTTTCATCTCCAACTCTGTTCATGATCTCTCTCCTACAATTGGTATTTTCTTTTCTCTCTTTAACTACTTTTAATTTCTTGGAAAGTAAAATGATTTTTTTTTAATAATTGGTTGCTTGTGATGTTCATTTGTAAATTTGTATAAGCAAATACTTGTAGCTAAGCTTTTTTTGTTGCATGCTCGTGATTTTTAAGTTCATGAATTGTGTTTTCTTTTAATTTCTGGTTTATTGGGATATCTTTGATTAGTTTTGCTAGTTAAATCTATTTTTGCTTTGCATCTCCATTCCAGTCAGGAACTATCTGTATGCATTAGTTCTGGCCATCTCTGCTTTATATATCTTGCGTCTTGCCCAGTCTGGTGTGAATCTGTTGTCATGTACATAGAGAGAGTAGCATCTGGGTTATATATACACATAAGCAGTCATGGTTCTGCTTATTATATTTTTGTTTTTTAGATAGTAGAATAGGCCCTTGTAACTTTAAAAATCCTTGAAGTATGGAAAAGGCAGAAAGCGTAAATTCTTTAAGGGAGATTCTTTTTTTTTTTTTGGTTTTTTCACAGTTGGTAAATATGGTCCCCCTTCAAGTACAGAAAAAGGAGGGGGAAAAGAAAGAAAAAGGAGACATCCTTTTCTTGCTTTTAAATTCCTAATTGCATTTTCAATTGTTTGATTCATTTCTTTTGTGATGGACTAATTAGATGAAAAAATTGGAAATGTTATGACATTTAATAAGGATAGCTGAGAACATATTGCGGTAATAAGTCCCCTTCATAGGTCATGGCTGAAGTATGGTTTTAGGATAAAAACAAACAAGCTTTTCCACATGAAAGTGCGTCGTGCATTTTAAGCTAGGGGACCATTTGATGGGTTACAGACTCTTAGTTCTTTGGTTTACTTTTTCCTCCCTGAAGGAAACTGGGGCCTCCAAGAAAGCATTTTCTGCTCTCTGGGTAACTTTGGTACATTGCTTTGCTTCACTGCTGACAGGATGTGGAAACATAAAAGGAGGAAGTGATGCAGTGGCTGATCCTTCATTCGATGAACTCTTTTGTTTCTATTCTCATGTTGACATTCATCATATTTAGTTCGTTTTAGTGTGTTTGTTACTTGGTAGCATCCTTAAGTTAGCGATGAAGGAAAAATAATACGTATCTTTTGAAGCTAAAGAAGAATATTGAAAATCAATTCATAGAATTCATTATCTACTTTGTTTATCTTTAATTTTATGCTATTTTAACAATGAGCAGGTGTTGATTTCAAGATCAAGATGCTCAATGTTGGTGGGAAAAGATTGAAGCTCACAATTTGGGACACAGGTAACTGAAGGCTACCCCTCTTCTCCCTTTTATTTGCTACCACCACCTTGCTTTCCATCACTTTCTGGAAATTTCTCTCATGTTCTTGTACTGTAAATTTTTTGTCTTTGCTCTCCAGCACTTGGTTGTGGAAAGTTATTTCTTCGATGTCATCACTTTTGGAGCTGTTTGTATTAGCAAGTAGCTGAAACTTTTAGATGTATTGAACATGCATAATATGCACGACAGATGATGCTAGGACAGGAAAAGTTTTAAACTTTGTTTTTGAACTCACTAATAACAAGTTTGGAAATAATTTGGAGATCACCTATGTAAAAAGGATTAGTGGAACTTCAGAAGTTAAAATAAGATTCAATCAAACATTACATTGAAAATCTAATCACAAAATTTTCATCAATAATTATTGCAAGTTCAATATGAACGACATGTGGGTGTCTGTGGTGGATAAGTACACGAAATATCTATGATATCCTATTTTGTTGAACATTTACATATGTCCATATGCAAATAGTCAATAAACCTTTTCTTATGTGTCACTTTAGGGCATTCTGTCCACCAGTTATCTTGCCAAATGCTGGTTGGTTCAGTGCTTCAATCAGCTATTGCAGTAGATTGCATAATAATTCAACACCAAGTTAAGCTTTTGGCTGAAAAGTTTACTTCTTGAGAAGTTGCATTTAGTTTTAGCATAGTTTGCAATTTTTTTCTCCTTTAAATTGCATGATGTGAATCTTAGGTGGTATTTGGTAAAATTGAAAACTAAGTGCTGAAATTTTAAGACCTGTGTAGATTTAATGTGGGAAAATATTTTTCTATATTTGATTCATCAATAGGGACACATATATATACACATACAAGATACTATAAACCTATTTAGAATAGATTTAATTGTGGGAAATATTTTCTATATTTTGATTCAATCATAGGGACACATATAATATAAACATACAAGATACTATAAACCTATTTTTAAGAATCTAACTCCTAATAGAGTTCTATTTACAAACTCCTAATAGAGTTCTATTTACCACTAAATCCTTAACACTCCCCCCAAAGTTGGAGCAATAGATATTATCATGCTAACTTGTTACAAAGATAGTTCAAACCCGGGGTCCGTTTAAAGCTTTTGTAAGAATATCCCTAACTGTTCACTTGTTTTACATGTACCTGTAGAGATAACACCTTGTTGTATCTTTTCAACGAATGAATGACAATCAATCTCGATATGTTTTGTTCGTTGCATGGAATACTGGATTTTTGATTGCAATGGTGAAGAGCAGCTTTGATTATCACACATAACTTTGGCAGGCAAGGATGACTTTGAAGCCAATTTCCTCTACAACTGACGAATTCCAAATTAATTCACAAGCAGATTGTGCCATAGAGCTCTTATATTCTGATTCCAGCACTCGATCGTGAGACTACATTTTGTTTCTTGCTCCTCCATGATATCAAAGTTTCCACCTACAACAATATCCTGAAGTTGATCTTCTATCAACCTTCGAACCTGTCCAATCCGCATCTGAAAAACATTCAATGTTCAAATGCCTATGATTACTGTAAAGGAAGCCACGACCTGGATTACCTTTCAAGTAGCACAAAATCTATCCTAAAGCTTTCCAATGGATAACAGTAGGAGAAGACATAAACTGGCTCAAGACGCTCATAGAGTAAGCAATATCTGGACGTGTTACGGTAAGATAATTCAATTTGCCCACTAACCTTCTACACATCTCAAGATCATCAAATAGCTCACCACCAATTGAAAGTTGGAAATTTGGAGTCATTGGAGCACTGCATGGCTCATGGCTTGGCACCCAACTTCATTTCCTTCAGTAAGTCAAGGGCATACTTCCTTTGAGATAAGAAGATGCCTCTCTTACACCTAGACACTTCAATACCCAAAAAATACTTCAACAGTCCTAAGTCTTTTGTTTGGAACTGGGTCTGGAGAAATGACTTGAGTGATGTAATGTCGACTGAATCACTTTCTGTCACTCCCTGTAATAACAATGTCATCAACATAAACCACAAGTAGAATCAAACCAGTCTTAGTACTTCTGAAAAATACAGAATGATCAGAAGTACTCATCTGCATGCCAAACTGATTTACCACATTGCAAAATCTACTAAACCAAGCTCGAGGACTCTGTTTTAGGCCATAAAGAGATTTTCGAAGTTTACATACTTTACCCGACTCCCCTGAGCAACAAAGTCTGGTGGTTGCTTCATGTAAACTTCCTCCTGAAGATTCCCATGAAGAAAGGCATTCTTAACGTCCAGCTGATGTAAAGGCCAGTCAAAAGTAGCTGCTAATGAAATAAATAAATGAACAGAAGACAATTTGGTAACAAGAGAAAGTATCAGAATAATCAAGCCATAGATCTGAGAATAGCCCTTTGCAACTAATCGCCTTTGCCAACTAATCGAGCCTTTGAGAACCGGAGCAACAGTCCCATCAGATTCATTTAACGTGAAAACCCACTTACAACCAATAGCTTTTCTTACCTGCCGGGAGAAGGCACAAGATCCCAAGTACCATTAGTATCTAAGGGCAGCCATCTCTCCTCTTTCAAATTGCCTTGCACACAACCCAGGATGAGACAAAGCTTGGACAACAGTTTTAAGGAATAGAACAGTTTTAGGAATAGAGACAGAGTCTAAGTTACTTACAAAACAACGAGATGAAGAAGAAAGATGATCATAACTAACAAAAGAGGAAATAGGGTAGGTACATTTGCGTTTACCTTTTCTAAGAGAAATGGGAAGGTCAAAGTCTGACTGGGGAGTGCATGGCACAGGCTCAGGTTGAGTGGAGAGAACCGGATCTTCTGGTGAAACGGCAGGTGGAGGAAGTGAGTCAAGAGTTCCTGGTCTCCTGGAATAAACCTGTTCAAAACGAGGGCGTGTAGATGCTGGTGCAGGAGCGGGAATAGCGACACTTGGCGTTAGGAAGCAGGGAGCGCAAGGTCAGGAATTACGATGCAGGAGCAGGAGATTTATGAAACTTTGGCTGGATCATGCATAGACTGTAAAAGGTCATCATTCCTCCCCCTCATACTTCTTATGTATTTGAGCAAGAAGGAAAAAAATGGAGTATCTTCAAAAAATGATGAACATCTGCAGAAATAAGCATAACGGTCAGATACGGCGTCACTGGCTGGAGTGAAGACAACAACAGATACCCTTTTTGATGCCACGAGAATAAAACCCAACGGAAAACACAACGAAGGGACTTTGGATTCTAATTTGAACCTTGTGGACGGAACAATCCACGAACAAAACAATACAACCAAAAATACGGAGGTTCCAATGGGAATAAAAGTTTTAGAAGGAAACAAGGACGATCTAATAAGGTAATTGCACCATTAAGGAAACAAGACACTATAAGGAATAGCACCATTAAGCACAGAAGAAGGCATGTGATTAATAAAAAAACATGCAGTAGAGACAGCATTCGCCCAAAAATGTTTAGGGACCTTCATGTGAAATAGAAGTGCCCTAGCAATCTCAAGAAGATGTCGATGTTTGCTTTCTGCAACCCCATTTTGAGGAGTATCAGCACAAGACGTTTGATGGAGAATATCATTCTGTGACATATAAGATTGGAAGGAACTAGATAGATATTCCTTAGCATTATCACTATGCAATATGCAAACAGAGGTATTAAATTGAGTTTTAATCTCAGCACAAAAGGAACAGAAAATAGAGAATATCTCAGAACGAGTTTTCATTAAAAATAACAATAACCAAGTAACACGAGAATAATCATCCACGAATAGTTTTACAAGAATTACCAAAGCCAGTTTTTTTTTAGAAAATACAGGGACATGGACCCCAAACATCGAATGAACTAACTTCAAAATGGGATTTGAAACCCGTTTATTGACTCGAGGAACTAAAGGATGTTAAACGATTGATATTGGGCAAATTGACAAGCATTCACATTCTTTAAACTTGATAAGACTGAGAACTTCCGCGGACACAACTTTCTTTAAAGTAGACAATGATGGATGACCCGAAAACGACAATGTGAACCTCATAGGCAGGAGACTTTAGAAGCACCAGCACAAAGCCAGAGATAATGAAACGGTGGTATCATACCAGAAGATATTTAAAGGCACTAGACTCACGTTCCTCTACTCAATAATCCGCTTCGTCTCAAAGATCCTTGAAAACACACAATAAGTAGGATAAAAATTTGACACAACAATTCAGCATACGTGTAGTAAATTTTTGCTAACAGATAATTAGATTAAACGAAAAACTAGAGGGCAAACAAAAAAAACAGAAGGACAAAATGAAGTAGATGGTAATGGGTGGCAGTGCCAACACACGAGGATAAATGTGGACCACCCATCAGCTAGAGTAACATTTGACGATTAAATTGTTTAGGTTCTTTTAATGAGGATAAGGAGACTTAGGTTACCCCAACGTGCAACCTAGAATCAATGACCACGTCTGAAAGGTTAGAAACATAAGACAGAGATATGAGAGTACCCTGAGTTCCATCAGCCCAAGCCAGCAATTGATGACAGTACAGCAGCAGCAATTGAGGAATCAGTAGACTTAGAGGAACGGTATCTAGAGAGCTCAGCATACTCCGCAACAGAAATTGTTACATTGTTGTCAGAAGAACTGCATAATTTTGATGTGCCATATTTACCCTTGGTGGCTTATTTATTAGTTTCTTGCAATACCGTTTAGTGTGACCAGGTTCATGACAATAATGGTAGATACGAATGCTTGTCTCCCGAGTGATTGGTCCATTACTGCGGTTATTTCCTCCTCTTCCTCTATTTCCTGGATGTCTAGCTACCTGATTACGACTCATAAGGGCACTATTATCAGAAGGGGAAGGTGTATGAGAACCTTCAGTACGTAGCAATCTAGCAAAAGTCTCCTGAAGAGAGGTAAGTAGACATCACTGCCTTGAAAAGAACTTGTGATTTTGCAGGTTTCATAAAACTGGAGCAAGACCTGCAAGAAAACTCATTCACAGCCATTTGTTCTTCGCTGGTCGTTTTGTTGACCTTAACATCGGGGAAACTAAAAGGCAACTAAAACATTAAGTTCTCGTAAATCTTTTTAAATTCCATTGAAATAAGCGTGTAAGGGCACTATCTCGCTGAGTCAGCCCCGATAAAATCCTTGCAGACCTTCATACATACGAGAACAGATGTATCTTTTCTCCGAATACAAGAATTCAAGATATTTCCATTAATTTCTTTAACAAACTCACAATGATTTGATTAATCCAACTACTTCCACTGGTCAATTAGAATTGTCGAATATAAGTAGGGAATAACTTAGATCTTCCCTGAGCCAACGTTGCCTTAGTGTCATTCAGGTGGTGGCATCATCAATTAGATTGACATCTTTTTTCAACACTTTCGCAAATAAATTCAGAATTGTCTTACTCCAATCTAAAATAAAATTATTTCCTTTCAATTTATGTTCTGTGATCCTTATTCATTGCTGGATCAATTGCAGTTAATAGTAGTTTTAGGAAATCTTGTAGTTGGAGACCTCCCGATTACTTAATTAAAAACTAAAATCTCCTACCAGCACATCGTCAGAAACAGACACTCAAAAATAAAAATAGTCTTTCAATTGCAAACAGCGAACGAAACGGTAACGCTGAAACGACCAAATTGATAAAACTGAGTACGCCCCTACGCCAAATGTTCGCCGGATCGGCGAAAGAAACACACACCACCTGAGTAGCACTGCTGAACAGGAAAAAACGAAGCCAGAACACAAATTTCCGGATCGCCGGAAACAGCTGCGCCGCCGCCACGCGCCTGGGCAGCGTTGGTACATTTGTAGCAAGAAATCTTTATCGGCGCGTGAGGCCCACCGCGCAGGGAATCCGGTGACCTCGGAATTCTTGGGGAAAGACGCATCGGCAGCTGGCAAGGGCAACTCCGTTGGAGTGGCGGCGTGAGCAAAAAAAGTGGACCCCTTAGAACAGTCACCAAACATCTGACAGCACACCACCTGCAGGAAAATCCGGGACCGGATTTTTGACGGACAAAATGACATGGTACTACTCGAATAGGGCAAACGCGCGCGGGAATTTATTTCTATGCAAACGGCAAATAAATCAACGGTTTTAAAGAGCCACAGGCTCTTAGATACACATGTAGAATTTAATTGTGGGAAAATATTTTCTTATACTGACTTCCATTCAATAGGGACAGCAACCATATATACACAGTTACAAGATATTACCTTAAACCTATTTTTAGAATCTAACTCCTAATCTAGAGGTTCTACTTTACGAACTCCTAATAGAGTTTCTATTTACAACTAATCCTTAACAACCTGAATTTAAGTGATTAAATTTAATTTAAGTGTGCTAATATACACATACAAGATACTATAAACCTATTTAGAATCTAACTCCTAATAGAGTTCTATTTACAACTCCTAATAGAGTTCTATTTACAACTAATCCTTAACAACCTGAATTTAAGTGTTAAATAATTTAAGTGGCAAAAATTTTAAATAGTAAAATTATTTAGAAGTATATTGACTTGTTATATCAAATGCAAACTCTAAGATAAAATTTTTCACTTCTCATTTAAGTAAATTTCAACTTAACTGAGACTTTTTAAGTAATATTCAGAAAGTGTTATCAAACAACTTAAAACTATTAGATGCTGAAAATTTTAATTGTAAGTGCTGAATGGTTTTATCAAACAGCACCTTAATTTTTTTGGAACAATCTCTCTCTCAAGTTCTTCGTGTTTGTATGCAATTGCTTTGTATTATTTCAATATTAGTCCCTTAACATGAATTTAGATATTGCGTTGCTATGTTTGCATGACAAAAGAAGTTCATCTTATATTAAGCAGGTGATAAGGGTGAACAAAAGTATCATAAAATCAAAGCTATCACCTATTTGTTTGAATTACACTATCCCTTGATAACTATGTCTAGTTGGGTTTGATAGCATTTCTCCTTTGTAGATACAAAAATGAAGCAATTGGTTTGTTAATCCGTTCTGTTGCATTGCAGCTGGGCAAGAAAGGTTTGGAACGTTAATCAGATCTTACTATAGGGGAGCACATGGAATTATACTCGGTATGCCATCAAACTAGAATTTTCATATTTTGGTGAATTAAACTCTTTCTTCAGCTGCTTGGGCTTTGAAATAATCAACCATTGAGTGAAACAGAGTTAATTTGCAAAGTGATGCAATGCACAAACAAGTAGATTTGGTTTCTTCACTATTTTGATTATGAAATTTTCACTCCAAAACACAGGACATTTAGATCTGAAATGAGAAATTGAGCAATTCAACTGTTGTATCGCAAAACACACTAATCTCACTCTTTGTGGTCAAGTGTTAACAAAATTTATAAAAATTGCATAATCCTATCAATTTTGAAATGGCATTCTTATTCTACCTCGTCTCATCTTGTGTTCCATAACTGCTTGTATCCATTTTGCTCTTAATTTTTGGTGGAAGTAATTTTGCTTTCTGTTTGATAGATTTTCTTATTGTTAAAATAGCATTTTGTTTCATGAAATCTTTGTACAATAATCATCACAATCATCATTTTGGAATAGAAAAGGTTCATCTTCTTTGTATTCAAAGGTGAGAGATGCAGAACCATCATTTCATTCTGTATTCAATAATCAGCGTGTTCTCCTCCTTTAACACACTATCATTTCATTACTTCCTGATCTGAATATTTAAGACAATCTCTATGGCTACTTCATTGTTTTTCTTCTGTGTCCTGCTCTGAGTTTACAGCTTATTGAAATTCTTGCAAAAGAATAAATGTTTCAAATTATTGCTGCTCTTTAGCCAACTAGGATTGGATATTTAATGGGACGTTTAGATTTCAGATTAATTAAATGTAAGTACAGAAATTTCGTTGCCTATTACATGATATCTGAAACCCAAAGACGTAGATGGTGAATTTATTTGGAAACCTCTAGTTTATACTTTCCATATTGTCTGAAGTACGGATCACAAGGAGCAAGGACATGAACAGTTACTTGTTTTGACCTAGCAAATTGGTCCTTAGCATAGTACCTCAAACCCGCCTGCCAATAGGAACAGGATATCAATAACAGTTAGGAGCATTCATAAAGAACTAATTTTTGGTAAACACTGCCTATCCGTTGGTAATAGTTTCCCATATCATCATCTACTTGGTCAAGAGAGGAAAACAATTTGGCAGGCTTATTTAATTAGAAATTGTTGTTTTGTTTTTTAGAAGTGCCTATAAGTAAAAGGATATGTCTGCTTATGTAGGTATTTTTCTTTCTTATTAAGTGATCATAGAGTTCCTTCACAAAATACTTTTAGTTTTTCCATTACTTTCTGCTAATGCATAATAATTGAAGAAGGAAATACCAAAAAAATAAAAAGTTGCACAAATATGTTTGATACGTCATTTTGTTTTATATCTAAATAAGTTCATTAAATCTTTAATTTTGGAGTTTTATATATGTTCTCTGAACAATATCCATTATATATGTAACCCTGATCAGTTTTACTTTGATATCCATTTAGTTTATGACGTGACTCGCCGAGAGACCTTCACAAACTTGTCAGACATGTGGGCAAAGGAAGTGGAGCTCTACTCTACTAATCAAGATTGTATCAAAATTCTAGTTGGAAATAAAGTCGACAGGGTAAGTATAGTGCTTATGACTTACCATCCTTACATCATACCACATATTTGCATATTAAATATAGAGCATAAATTATTTTTGGAAATGAAATTCAAGAATTTGTATTGTAACTAGAGTCACTTCTTGGTGTTTTTTTTATGCGATTGTAAACTTTTTAGAAGATGTCGCTTCTGATGAAGTATTTTTCAGGATAGTGAAAGAGTTGTAAGTAGAGAAGAGGGGATGGCTCTTGCAGCGGAGCATAAATGTTCATTTCTTGAATGTAGTGCTAAAACCAGAGAAAATGTGCAGCAATGTTTTAAAGAGCTCACACTAAAGGTAGATTCTCCACAGTGAAATGCTTTTCTTATAATCTCCTAAATCTGCATTATATAGTAGTTCATCAGACATTGGTTACTGTCTCTGCTGGAAAGACTGCTTACTGCTTGTCAAAGAGCTGACTTAGAAGAAACAATAAGCACTGAAGACATTTTTGGAGTTCATAATTTTTAAAAAATGACCATGTTTCTCATAAGATAATAATAAAGAAACCCCTTCAGTTATTTCTGATAACATTATTTTGAGTGAATTTCCATTAACCAGGGCCTTGTGCCTGGTGGTGATTAGAGATTACTTGAGTGGAATTTCTTTTGCCATGTGGAATTATGTCTGTGTTTCTGTTTCTTTTTTTTTTTTTTTTTTTTTTTATTTCTGATAACATTTATTTTTTGAGTGAATTTCCAGTTAACCAGGGCTTGTGCCTTCGGTGGTGTTAGAGTATTACTTGAGTTGGAATTTCTTTGCAGTCTGGAATTATGGTGCTGCTCGTTTCTGTTTCTTTTTTTTTTTTTTTTTTTTTTCTTTTTTTTTTTTTTTTTTTTTTTTCTGATAGCAGATTATTCCTTAATAGTTTCATTGGTTTCTTTATCATCATTCACATGGAATATCCATTGCTCTATATTATTCCATGAACTTTGTCCAATTGCTGTTAGAATTTCTAAGTAATGAATGAAGATATGTTTGTACTCTTCATAAAGCCTTTTGTTTTGTGCTAATGCCTTGATATTGAACACTTTTTTCCCTCATGAGTCACTTTGCATGAATAGTGACAAACTAGAAACTTAGGAATTAGGATCCCATATTGTAGAATGCCTGTGCCATATGCTTGCTTTCTGCCTTGATATGTTTTGTCTCAACACCTTAGGCTGGTGTTGAGACAATTTAAGCATTTAAACATGCAAGCTTGCAAGTTTCTCGAAAACAAATTCTCGAAGCACTACATATTGTAGAATGCCTGTGCCATATGCTTGCTTTCTGCCTTGATATGTTTTGTCTCAACACCTTAGGCTGGTGTTGAGACAATTTAAGCATTTAAACATGCAAGCTTGCAAGTTTCTCGAAAACAAATTCTCGAAGCACTACATATTGTAGAATGCCTGTGCCATATGCTTGCTTTCTGCCTTGATATGTTTTGTCTCAACACCTTAGGCTGGTGTTGAGACAATTTAAGCATTTAAACATGCAAGCTTGCAAGTTTCTCGAAAACAAATTCTCGAAGCACTACATATTGTAGAATGCCTGTGCCATATGCTTGCTTTCTGCCTTGATATGTTTTGTCTCAACACCTTAGGCTGGTGTTGAGACAATTTAAGCATTTAAACATGCAAGCTTGCAAGTTTCTCGAAAACAAATTCTCGAAGCACTACATATTGTAGAATGCCTGTGCCATATGCTTTCTTTCTGCCTTGATATGTTTTGTCCATATTCTGATACCATTCTTGTTACTTAAAGCAGATACTGGAGGTACCTAGTTTGTTGCAAAATGGATCTGTAGTAGTCAAACAACAGATTTTGAAACAGAAACCAGGATACCAGGCCCCTCGTGGCAGTGGTTGCTGCTCCTAATTGAAATGCCACAACACCAAGGTACAGCAGAATCAAGCATTATCAAAATCGACGGAAGAACAATCACTATTGGACAGCCAGTTTCTTGGACACTGTTCACACTCCAGCAGTGCCAATGATGACTGTATACATGCTCTTCTTGAAGCTCCATTTTTGTGGTTCTGAGTAATTGGGAAGTGGGTTAGTAAAATCTTTCTGGTAGTCAGAGAAAAATAGTCCTTTTCTTTTTCCTTGTTTAGTATATAGTTTGTTAGTTATATGTAAAGTGAATAGTTGTGTAGTATCAAGTAGTTTATATAGTTTTGAGTAAAAAGTGTAGCTTGAGCTTGAAGAAAAACAGATGTATAGATATTGCATAATTTAGGAAATAGATCTCTTAATTTCTTTATTCTGGGTTAGAGTAATTTACAAATCTATTGAAATATATGCTGATTTGCTTGAATGAGCTCTTCTGATTATGTGAATTCTAATGTAGGCTCCGTTTGTTTCTATAAAATAACTTGTAAAAAAATATTTTCACAATTTTCTGTTGTTTAGGGATGTTCAGAAAAATAAGTCAATGGAACATATTTTCGTGATCAAAGAAAAATTCAGTCATTTTTAAGGAAAATGACTTCTCATTTTCGATAGCCTAAAACATTTTTCCGACCTTAACAAATTCATTAAAATTTTATAAATCCATTTTTTTTTAATTTATTAATCATCGATAGCCACTGCCACTATTCACCACTGGCGACTTTTATAATTTATTATTTTTTTACATTATTCTCATTTTTAACAATAAAAATTTTAAAATATAAAATTTGTATTATTATTATTATGGTTTAATGCGTTAACCAAATGACAGAAAATAAATCATTTTGGAAAATATTTTTGAAAAATTAAGTTATTTTTCAAAAAGAAACGGAACCATACGTGTGAAAATTGATTCTTGCTAGATTTTGACCGGGAATTAAACATAAAAAAAAAACAAATACCAAGTTTAATACTTCAATTTCAAAGGACAAAAAAAAAAAAATAAATAAAGAGGTAAAGAAGACAAAGCAATATCAAGAATTTGTAATTTCTTTTTAAATTTCATTTTTAGAACAGAAGGAAGAAAATCTTGGCATGTTCTTCTTTGGAATTCTTGATTGAGTTTTAAATCAATATTTTTGTCCCTTGGTTCCCTTTTCTTGGTATATTACTATTACTGTACTAGAGACAGTTGTAAAAAATAATAAAAAATAATTTTATCAGCGAAGATCAAATAAAAAACATTCACCATATTAGTTAGCCTTTATTTTTTTAAATAATATTTTTTAAAAATAGTTAATATTTGCTACGTTAAATTGAATAAACCTACGCAAGAATTGGCTCTAAAACTAGTAATAATAAATATAATAATAAAAGAAAAAAAAAAGTCATTCTTTAACCAATATCAGTATTGTACATCTAGCTAGTCTTGCGGCAAGGATATATACTATCTAATAATAGATTCAGATTCAGATACTACTTCTTCAACTACGAAATAAATAAATAAATAAATATCACGAACAGATATTAAAAGACAAATAAATAACAGCTTGTGTACAGATTGGCCAGAGTCAAAAACTTGCCAGCAAGCAGGGCTGAAGAAACCAAGCCAAACCTGTCAGCTTCTTATATTACCTTATTTGTAATGTAATTTAGCTATTTCTGAACCTAATTAGATCTATTTTAGAAATATATATTTAAATAATATGTTTAAATATATAACCATAATAATGCTATTAATGATATAATCTTGTATTATTATTGATTTCAAAATTTAATTTCAAACTTATTACTATCTTTTTATTACAAAATTTATTAAAATATTTAAACTCCCGAATTTCGTAGTCAAGTAATAAGATACATCTTCATGTTAGAGCGCAAATTAAGGTAATGATAACTATAGATTTTTTTTCCTAAAAATAAAAAATAAATAAAATTATAGATAACTATAATTAAACTCTTTAAGAAGAAGATAACTTACAAGGATTTAAACTCTTAAATACCTATATTATACGACATGTTATTAACTATGACCTAATGCCCTAATATCAATAATTTATGTGAGTTTGAGTAATTATTATATATATAATTATCGAATTTTCAATATATAAAATAAATTAAAATTATAGATAACTCCTAATTTAAACTCTTTTAAGAAGAAGATTAACTTACCAAGGATTTAACTCTAAATACTATATTATACCGACATGTTATTAACACTATGACCTAATGCCCTAAATATCAATAATTTATGTGGAGTTCTGAGTAATTATGTATACTATTATAATTTATCGAATTTTCACTATAATATATATATAATATATATAATAGTAATATATACTCACTCATATAATTAATATATATCATATACTATATCATATAATTATGCGATGAGATTAATTAATTACTTTAGAACAATATATATAATTAGCGAGAGATTAATTATTACTTAGAACTTATAAAGTTCCTATACATATATATATATACACAAGGCCGTCTCTGCCTTTCTCCTACAAGAGCAAAGATAAGAAATTGACTGGTAAGTTTTATGTCTTCAATTTTTAGGTTTGGTTACTTGCTTTCCACTTTTTTTGTTTCGATTTGAGTTATTTATTTTTGTATATTTATTAGTTTTTCCTATTTTGTTTTAAAAATTATTATGGGATCTGTTCTTGTTGAAACTTGGAATCTACCTGCTCCTGAGTAGCTGGAGGTTAGTGACAATGATGCATGGAAATTCCTAGCAATGGGCGTTTCCGCGTTTCGGATGTGTCCGTACGTTTCAACCAATTTTAAAATACCTTATTTTAAATGTATTTTCCACGTAGTTAATAATAATAAATAAATTATGAATCCATTTAATCATGAAAGCTATTAATTAGGAGAGCAATTAATAAGCCCCTCCTTATATATTGGAGAGAAAATCTCTTAATTTTTAACTAATATTCAAATACTGTTTACGTATATAAAAGGAACTAACATGTTATTATGAGCTTTGCTTTTAACTTTTCTTCTTCAGATTTATAAGATTTTTGATTTTAGGGTTATTAGTTGAAAATTCTAAGAGATCAGACATCAAATCTAGGGCAACATCAAATTTAGGGCAAAGAGTGTTCTTTTTTTTTTTTTTCTTTTTTCTTTTCTAGGTATGCGTATGTCTTTTATTTTTTATATAATTTCCTAAAACTTAATTCTTTTATTTTGTTTTGTTGGCTGATTTGATTAGTACAAAAAAATTATTAAGCAAAACGTTCACTTTGATTAATCATGTTTAAGGTTGTGAGTTGCTTTGAAGGCAAACAGAAAACAACTTGTATAGTATTTTTTTTTTTTTATTGCATAAAATACTCAAAAACAATGTTTGATGTCAATAATTAATTATGTTAAGAAAAGGGTAGTTTCGTTGAAAATTAAAAATCGTATTGTCATTAACTATTTGTAATTTACTCTAAGTATGCTTCTTAACCCTAACGTCGTTGTGATGATTATATCAAGGCAAATTATGTTTTAATATTAATATATATATTATTAGCCTTGCTTAATCCAAATTAATATTTTCTTCCTTCTAGTTAAGGCTGTTTCTTCATTGTCATTACAATTTTTTATTTTTTATTTTGTATTTTCTTGAACCTTACAGTCTTATATTTAACTTGTGATATATTTCTTGATTGTAGTAATTGTTCTAACAACAAGAAGAAGAATGGTATTCTTTGCCAATAATCATCCTCCACCACCACCGCTGCAACTCTTTCTCTCCGTTCTCCTTCTTGCCGCCACCATAACCGCCGTGAATGGTGCTAATATTTTTTATGAGTGGAGGGTTGCAGTTGACACAAGCATCAAACCAGTATCAGTAGATCAACCTGTTATTACTATCAATGGAATGTTTCCTGGACCCCTTATTAATGCCACCACTAATGACATGATTAACGTCAATGTGTTCAATGATTTGGATGAGCCTCTCCTCTTCACATGGTATTTTTTAACCTTTATTTCTTATGGAGTGAACTGTATTTTTTTCCCTGAATTATAAGATTCATCTTTCATAAATTTAGGTGAATCTCACCTAATTGGAAGTCTAAAGTGCACTATTTTTAGCTGCATTGGCCGAGCACAGATCAGTCTCCATCCGCATAAGTAGGTGGAGACACCATGCTGTGCAAACCATAAATTTTTTATTAGAATTAAAGAACCAGGAAAAGTTTAATATTTTCGGAAATCTACCCAAAGACAGTAAACTTCCTGGTGTTTAAGACTCAGTTTAATTCGTTAATTCTTCGTGTTAATGGGTGCAGGAATGGGATACAACAGAGGCTAAACTCCTGGCAAGATGGAGTGACAGGAACAAACTGTCCAATTGAGCCCGGAAAGAATTGGACATACCAGTTTCAAGTTAAGGACCAAATTGGAAGCTTTTTCTATTTCCCTTCTCTCAATTTCCAGAAAGCTGGTGGAGGGTTTGGTCCTATTCGAGTTAACAATCGAATAGTCATTAATATCCCCTTTCCCAAACCTGAAGCAGAATATGATCTTCTCATTGGCGATTGGTATAATCTCAGTTTCAAGGTAAACAAGACAATGGGAAAAAAAAAAAAAAAAAAAAAAAAAAAAAAAAAAAAAAAAAAAAAAAAAATTTTCTTTTTTTTTTTTTTTAGTTTTTTATTTTCAGTTATTCATTTTCATGTATAATTGTAACAGGATGTTAGGTCCATGATGTCAAAAAGCTCTGGCTATCATGTTCCTCCTGATAAAATGCTAATGAACGGAAAAGGCTCATTTAAAGACCCTTCTGCGAAATCCTATGAATCATTCACTTTTACGTCAGGTATTTTAACTAATATGTGTAAAAACCATTTGAGATTATAATTTTGGAATGGAGAGAGTAAATTTTTTAAAGGTACAACTCAAATAAATATTTTATTTCATTAATGGCAATTTTTGAAGTTATATTTGGGCCTCTCTCTAATAAAATAATTTATTTATATAATATGCAGGGAAGACATATAGGTTGAGGATATCCAATGTGGGGAGTGCATGGAGTTTCAATTTCAGGATTCAGCATCATAAAATGGTTCTTGTTGAAACTGAAGGATCATACACTAGTCAGATCCTAATAGACTCTCTGGATGTGCATGTTGGTCAATCGTACTCTGTTCTTGTCACAGCAAATCAAAACCCAGCTGATTATTATATTGTGGCAACTCCTAAAATGATTAAACCTGATGATATTAACAATGTTGCTGCTGTTGGAGTGCTTCATTATGATAATTCCACCAAAAATGCTACTGGGCCTCTTCCAAGTGGGCCTGACCCTTTTGATATTCCATTCTCCTTGAATCAAGCCAAGTCTATCAGGTATTTTTTTTTATTTTTTAATTAATAATAATTTTCATATAGTTCAATAATTTTCTTAAAAATTCTTCTATATATAAAAAAGAGAAATGTGAGAATGGGGTTATAAATGTGTCATTCAAACTTAATTTAATAAAGATATACTTAAGCTCAGCTCATTTATATTTTATAGTTTTTTAAAAAAAAAAAATTATTTTTTTTAAAGTTTGAATTGTCCTTATAGAATAAAAAGAATAGACTCGACTCATTAAATTTATTGAAAAGCCTTTCTTGAGCTAAGTGGTTTGACTCTTTCATAATCGTACTACGTGGCATTACTTGTTAAAAGTATTTCTATTAAGTATTGGATTAACTAATAAATTATGATTAATTCAACTATACAGGTGGAACCTGACTGCAGGAGCTGCTAGGCCCAACCCACAAGGAACCTTCAATGTGACCAATGTGACATTATCACAAACATTTATCCTGCATGGATCAGAAGCTAAAATTGCTGATAAACCCTTTTACACTGTCAATGATGTCTCTTACACTACACCAAATACCCCATTAAAGTTAGCTGATCAATTTGGGAATTCTTCTGATGTTTATCAACTGGATCAGTTTTCTACTAATTCAAGCAATGGAAGCCCTACACATGGTGTTTTTGTTGCAACAGGGGAACATAAAGGTTGGATAGAACTTGTTTTCACCAACGATTTTGATGTCATGGATTCTTGGCATTTGGATGGCTTTAGTTTCTTCGCAGTTGGGTAAGAGGAATCGGTCTCCCTTTTTAATAATTCTGATCAAATTAGTAAAAACTCATATTGTTAATTGATTCAGATATGAAATTGGAGAGTGGACACATCAGTCGCGCTATACGTATAATATTTATGATCCTGTAGTTCGTTCGACGATTCAGGTATTTTATAATTCTATGTTGTTGGTATATGTGAATATATTTGCTCACAAATATGTAAAAATTTTTAATGGCAGGTGTATCCTAAAGGATGGACTGCTGTATATGCATATCTTGACAATCCTGGAATGTGGAATTTGAGATCGCAAAATTTGAAAAATTGGTACTTAGGGCAAGAGCTCTACTTAAGAGTTTTTGATAGTGACCCCAATCCTGCCAAGGAAAGACCACCTCCAGATAACCTTCTTCTATGTGGTAAATGCCTTATTAATCTTTTTTTTTTTTTCATTTATTTATTTATTTGATATATCAAAACATAGTTAAAGACTACTTAGTTCAAAAATTATATATTTTATTTCTTACTTGTTAAATTATTGTTGTATTTTTGTTTTCTCTAATTTATATTTGGTAATAGTTAACATTGTAGTTTTTCTTCTAAAAGGAAAATACATCAGTTTAGCTCCACCACCCCCTGCACCAACTACTCCTACACCAACTGCTCCTGCTCTTCCAGCTTCTCATGCATCACATAGAAAAATATCATGGTAATTATAATATTTTGTATTTTTTATGCAATATTCCCATTTATTCATAAATCTTAAAAAATATATATTTATATTTTCCTATAATAGATGAAAATTTTTCAGTTAGCTAATAATTATTTTTATTTTTGGATTTGATATTTGCAGGTTTCACAGAACGATAGTGCTCATTGTTGCATTTTTCTACATTGGCAAGCTGTAGATGGTGAAGTGCTTCAAATTATTGACAAGGAAGTGGAATTGCAAAGGAACTTGTTGTGGCATTTTAAAGGAACTTAGAATTAATTTTATTAATATTTCTTGGAAGATATCCTTAGGCATATGGTCTCACAGTTAAGCTATTATGTGCATTATTTTATTACTAATTATCTAGGGAATGGTAAATTAAATTAGATTATTTTATATCTAATTTAGATTAGGGAAGAGTTATGTTGACCTCTCTCTATATATATATGGATTAATGGTAATTGTGAATGGAGTTTTACTGTTGGTGTTTAAAATGCTTTACTAGGCTAATTATATATATATATATATATGGAGTTCTATTTCCATATTTAAGTCTCGAGTCTGAGAAATTTAAAAATAAGGGACTCTTGATTATTTATCTAAACAAACGGTTAGATACTAAATTTTTTAGATGTTCATATACCAATTTTTTTTCTTTTTTAGTGTAAATTACTGGTATTTAGACTTTATTATCAAGGACCAGACTACATAATCCAGCTTGAGGTTTAGTCACAGTTAAGGTTCTTAGTCACAGCTAAGGTTCTTTGCTCCTTCCTGTAGGTGTGTTTAGTGAAATCGAATTCTATAACTTTTTCCACATGCCCGGCCTGCGTTGCCAACTGAGGCAGTAGGTATATTCTAATTTTTTTTATTGCCAGTATAAACCATCATTAATAACAAAACAAGTAATACAATTGTATGCAAGAGTTGACTAATTTAAAAAAAAAAAAAAGGAGGCTTGACAGATTAATTCCCTCACACATTCCTTTTCTGATGATTTAGGATTCTTTGATTGCTTAAATGCAAGAAAACATGTTCCATTTGAGTGGATCAGAAGCCATCTACACTTCATGGATGGCTTGTGAAGTACAAAAAGTATAGTATTTCTATACACACATATATATACCAGTATAAATTAATTAATTATACACTGGCATTGCTTACTTGCTAGCTAGCTAGCAATCTCTTCCAAGTTAGCCAGCTCTTTAATTTTTGTTGAAGCATGTTTTCATTTATTTATTATAACAGACACATGCAATAGCCAGGAATAATTGGTTTGTATGTGAACATCACTTCTGACAACTTTTTTTTTTTTTGTTATATAAAAAATTTAAAAAAAAATTAAAATTTCATATTTAGGTAATTAAAATATTTATCTTTTTATAAATAATTTGTGAAACTTAATAAATGATTATGTCATACTCATGTATTTATAATTCTGGTATAACTTTTAGGAGAGGCTTAAAAGATTATTAGATAATTAGGAGATCCTTTCCTTGGCTAAATCATTAGTTTCTTTGATTGGTTTGTTCATTATTGGAACCTTACGTGCAGCTCATAACCCATCTCAATATCCCTTCTTCACGCCAAGAACTTGCTCTCCTTAATCTATCCATTATCCATTTATATATATATATATGCGTGCGCCGGAATTACGATTACAAACTTCTTTTTTTATTAATTAAAATTTGATTAAAATTCAAAATTACGAGATTGGCATTTTAGTAGAATTCAAATTAAAGATCATTGAAATTTCATTTAGAACTTGTTACCAAACTTTTCTTTACAAAGTAAAGATTTCTAAGAAAAAAGGAAGAAAATTAAGAGAATGTCAAGTAAAATTGTGGTTTTATGGATTTTTATTATTATGGTATAGCACTTTGTACTTGTGACTAAGTTTTTATGATTATATAAAAGGCTGCTATCGTTGACTCCAAATTCTGTTGCTTGAAAGTAAAAAAAAAAAAGGTGGAAGTTGATTTTATAATACAAATTGTAGTTTTTCTTTTCTTTTATAATGAGAAAAATTGAATTCTTTGTAATTTATAATAATTGGCTCAAGCGATAAGTTATATTTGAATTTCAATCCGAAATTAAATGTTTGATCTTGAAAAGCATTAATGAAAATAGATAATTACAAATCTCGAAACGAGAACAGTGTTATAAAATTTTCGTTCTAAAATATAGAATTGCATAACACAAACATGTAATGGGGTCAACAGCACATGAATTCAATGATTAGAAACAAATTATTTCCATAAAAAATGCAAAATCATGTACCTTTCACTGAGATACTTATCCAATTTTTAATATTTTATCCAAATTTGTATTATTTGGATAAATTTATTGAAATATATAATAAGTGATATTAGACTTGATGAGAAGCAAAAGCAAGCTAACATATACCTCACGTCTAACGTTGACCCATCAATTCTTGATTATTACTTACAGGTGTCAAATTCAATTTTTTTTTTTTTTTACAAGATTAGGGATTAAAATTGAAAATTTAGAGTCGCAGTTATTAGAATATTTTATTTGAATTTTAGAATCGTTGTTAAAAATACATGTAAAAAAATAATTCAATTTTCTACCAATTTTTAAAATAATATATACAACAATTTATGTTTAATAAAGTTAATTACATGGTAGCTGAATATAAAATTTTAATATAGTCAATTTTATTGGACATCTTGATAGGGCAATTTAAGTCAATGCAATACACATATTTGACTAAGTAAACTTGAGCCTCAAAATTTGATTTAATTTCAATTAAGTTTCATTAATTCACGGAAACCCAACACAATATGTTAGTTCAGATTCTCTAATTATAATTGAAAACTGAAATAAAATTTTTGACTAATCTTGAATTAAGTCTAAACTAAACTAAATTTAAATTGGCAATTTAATTAATTTTACATATTTAAAGGAAAATAGTAAATATTATAGAATTATATGTTTAAAATTATTATGCTTTTGTATAAAGTTAATGTGTCTGACAGTGATTTTCGCAAGTGTATAAAATCGCAACAAGTAATATAGAATGAGTAGAGTATCGTATTCACAGGGATTATATACCAAGTACCAAAATTATGTTAACCTATTATTATTTAAATGGCAATAAGATGAATTATTTTAAAAAGTTAAATTAAACAAATAAAAGAAAACAAAAAGAAATCAAGCAACAATATTTGACAAAAAGAAATCAAGAATTTAAAGCTACTAGCAAATAAAAGAAAACAAAAGAAATCAAGCAAACAAATATTGACCAAAAAGAAATCAAGAATTTAAAGCTACTAGGGATTTTGACCTTTCACTTCATTCTATCCAATTTATTTATTAGTTTGATAATCAATTTTTAATTGTTTTACAGTTAGGGGAAACAACCCTAAAATCACTAACAAGCTCTCCCGATTGTATTATAGCTTATTTTTAACCCAATCTAATTACCTATCTCTCTAATAGCGCAATCAAACAATGAATTAAATCATTAAGTTTTAATGGTTTGTTATAAATTCATAAACCTAGGGGTCATTAACTTGTGAAAAACCCACATGAGGTCAAACCATATAGGCTTTCGCCATCAAGTTATTATTTCTCATGTAATTATTACCCTATTCATATGAAAACCTTTCTCCTGATAGTGATTAATGAAAGAAATCAATCCAGGGGAGAAACTACTGTCTGGAAGCCATTAAGTTCAATAATAAATTATATCATGAAACAAGGAAAAAACAAATCTAATATTATAATTGGAGTCAAAATTAAGCCTATATCAAATCCCCTAGTATGAGAGGAGGAAATTTTAGTTTCAACATAATAATTTAAATAAAACTCAATTAAAACTTGCTAATTATTTCTCATAATCAAATATGGAATATTTGAAAAATAGAAACAAGAAAAGAGTTCTAGAAATTTAAAAACTAGTTAATATTAGCTTGGTTGGCTTCCTTTGAATCTTTGACAACAAATCTGAATACTTGAAAATCTTGGAGAGAGAGAAAACAATAGAACAAAAGATGAATATTACAATGAATGGCTCCCTTGACTTGCTAGTCTCTCTATTTATATAACTTTCTGGGAACTATCTTCGTGTTCGTTTTAGGAAAAGTGAAATCTTTATTGAGTTAAGAAATCTTTTAGAGCGATACGAAACTTTTAGGCTTTGTGTTTTTCTTCCCCAATTAGAGCTTCTTTCCTAGTGCAACTAGATAGGAATAAGCTGGGTCTTTCTATAAAACAATAGAACAAAAGATGAAATATACAATGAATGGCTCCCTTGACTATGCTAGTCTCTCTATTTATATAGACTTTCTGGAATATCTTCGTGTTCGTTTAGGAAAGTGAATCTTTATTGAGTAAGAAATCTTTTAGAGATACGAAACTGTTTAGGCTTTGTTTTTCTTCCCAATTAGGACTCTCCTAGTGCCTAGATAGGAAATAAGCTGGTTTTCTATAAAAATCCTGCAAAATTCCTCAAGATCAAGCGAAATATGATTTAAGGAAGTTTTACACAAAAACATAAATAAAACAAAATAAAAACTAATTGAAGTAATTAAAAAATGCAAAAAATCTTAATAAAACTATATTAAAAATACTATAAAAATACCAACTATCAGTGTCAATTTATATATTTAGTCTATATAAGATTCGATAAAATTAAGAATGCACTAATTACAATTAAGAAGTCAAAGCTAATTGGAGACTCAACTAATTTATATTAAGTTGAAAAAAGAAAAGGATATTGATGAGAAAACCATGAAACATAATGAGAGTTGAGAGGTGATGCAATTATAAAGAGTGATTGAGTCGAGAAAAGTAAAGAAAGAGAAGAGAAGAGCAGCGCAGATTCCGTGGGTTCCAGCCTTGCACTCCAATCATGCTCTCTCTTATTTTTAGACATCCGTTCAGCCAAAGTAATGGCCTTTTCTCTCTCTCTCTCTCGGTACACATACTCTTCCTTCTCATGGCTCTCTCATTTCAGTCTTAATTACAAAAATTTCTTGAGTGGTTCATGTTAAATTATTTTATATTCTCTATTAATTTTTTAATATGTGCAATTTACTTTTTATATATGTAAAACAAAATATATTCCAATTTAAAGCATTTTATTTTGAGTTAATTAAATTAATATCACAGAGGAAAATATTTTCTATACTTAAACTTTGCTCGGCAACAGCTTTTTATGTAACTTTTAACTTTTGACTTACTCAAAATACTATTTCTATTATTTATAATATTTGGTGCTGTAGCATTTATATTAATATATAAAGTTTGAGAGAACAAATTATGAAATGTTATTTTCTTCAAAGAAAAGATACCCATATTTTTGTTTACAATCATAGTTGTTACTAGATATGATAAGGATCTGGACCCCTAACTTCGCCCTAAAAGCTAGCTCATAGGGGAAGGACTGAACTTAAAAGCTAGCTCATAGGGGAAGGACTGAACCCCCAGCCCCATAAGACCCGACTGCCTCGGTCAGCGTTCTGACGAACCTCATGAGACACCACCCTACGAAGCCAGAGCTCTGATACCAAATAATAAGGATCTGGACCCCTAACTTCGCTCCAAAAGCTAGCTTGTAGGGAAAAAACTGAACCCAACCTTATACACTAGCCCAGGATATACTCCACGGGCAATGTGGGACGCATCAAGATACTCATGCATGCTCCTTTATTCATTCAATACTCCCATTTTATCACCACCATTCATTAGGTAGCCAAGGGAACATGTTTCTGCACGTTCTTTTGATATTAAATTCCTTTCTTCAATCAGATTATTTACACTTACCAACTAGACTAATTTCATTGGATAACTTTCTTAAATAATAATATTTACAATAAAAAATTTAAAGTGGTAATTAAATTTATGCCTAACACTAGTAGTATGTAGCAAAATGCAAGCTAAGAAAGGGAGTAGAGGTGAGGAATAATTAATTTAATTACTCATTTACTAGCCAAAGAAAAACAATGGTGGATGTTTGTTACTATTTGTTGCTTATTGGTATGGTTAAAGTTGTGCGTTGGCAAAGTGTGAGAAAGAGAGTGTGAAACGGACTTAAGATTAACAAACTCCGTTTTCACACTCTCTTGTCTCTAAATTTATCAAATTTTCAGTTACATTTTGTTCGTTTTAAGCGTGTTGTTTGTATTTCATCATATGGTTTTCTCTTCTATTTCTCTTAATTATAATTAATTTCCAACTCTAATTAATCCTATATATGTTAATTATATATCTTTAGCTACACTAATTCACACACTTAATTACTTTTGACTCTACAAAACTGTCACCCCAAATATAATATATATATATACATTCCTTTCATACCCTTTTCTTATTTATATACAACACCACTCTTCATCTCCCTTTGCTTCCTCCTACACCCCACCAATATTTTCTCCCCTTCTTCTCTTCTCTTTCTTCCCTTTTTCTTTTATTTTTAGGTGGTGTAGGAAATGGAAGCTCAAGAGGAAGTCATCGAGGTCGCGACCACCATCAAAGGAAAGCGAACCAAGCGGCAAAGGGTACAATCGCCGATTCCTTTTGGTAATTTGACTGCTAATTCGTCGAGCGGAGATGGAGATGGAGACGGAGACGGAGATGGAGATAGAGACAGAGACGGAGATATAGACGTGGACACAGACGGAGATACTAATATCAAGAATTGTACCAACTTGTCACCTGCTAGTTCTGAAGAATTTCAAGAAAGCACACAAGAAGAAGAAGACATGGCTAATTGTCTTATCCTTCTCGCTCAAGGTCATAATACCAACAATAATAATAATATTAACAATATTACTGTTAATAATCATTTCAAATACTCGTCGTCGCCAAAGCAAGATTACTATGACAATGATGCCGGAGTATACAGCCCTAATTCCACCACCACCACCACCAAATTCAGCAGTAGGAAATTCTTGGAAACTGGGTCCCCGGGTTCCGGCAAGGCCGGATACTATGTTTATGAGTGCAAGACTTGTAACCGGACATTTCCATCATTTCAAGCATTAGGAGGGCATAGGGCAAGTCACAAGAAGCCAAAGCTAAATATTGAAGAGAAGAAACAGTTTACATTATCATCTGATGAAGAAGAAGGTCACTTGAATAGTTCTTCTCTTTCGCTACAATTAAGCAGTAATCATAATCACAGAGGTGTTATTTATAGCAGTAGCAGCAGCAATAATAATCATCATAACAAGAACAAGATTCATGAGTGTTCTATTTGTGGAGCGGAGTTCACCTCTGGTCAAGCCTTAGGCGGCCATATGCGGCGGCACCGGGCACCTATAACGGCGGCCGGAAGTAATAATAAGGGCGGAGGCTTGTCATTAACAACAAGAATGGCAATGGAATCTGAACAACAGCAAGTCAAGAAAGCAAGAAACCTAATTTCTTTGGATTTGGATCTAAATCTTCCTGCCCCAGATGAGGAAAAGTTGCCCTTTGCTTCGAAGCAACAAAAACAACCACCACAACAACAAAAGCAACAGCAAGAAGAGCAACAAAAACCAAAACCACCTCTTGTCTTCTCCGGCCCGGCTTTGGTGGATTGTCATTACTAAAGAAGGTCATAATTCTTCTTTTTTGTTTGATTTTGTTTTTTTGTAAAACACATATTTTTGTTTATATTTAATTATATTTGTTCCTTACATTACTTGCTCTCAAACACTGACCATTTAATTGTTTTCTTTGTCAATGTTAATTAATTCTCTTTGTACAATTCAAAGAATTAATTGTAAGATGATTCTTTTTATTTTTTATTATCTTACAATCGACTATTATCAAGATGTTCTATATTTAAGAAATAGTTGAATTTTATTTTTTCTTCCTTGTGTTTATCCAAAATTAAATTTTTATCCAATTTTATATGCATATATCACGAGACTAGACCTGGAAATGCTTATTCAAGCAACGTTATAAGGTAAATATTCAATTACTAGATTAATTGATCACCTAAATCATGATTTTTTGCTGGTAAAAGCTAGTTAATTACTTGCAGTTATTTCAATTTATCAAAAAGACTTTTTTTTTTTTCTCCTTTTTCTCTAGCTAGTTCATGAAAAGTTCATGATGGGCATCTTTTTTCGCTCTTTATCATTGATTTTTATTCTTTTATTCTTTTTTGTAAGTGAGAGAGAATGTGTTACACAACAGAAAGAGAGAGACAGTGTGTGTTTGGCTTGTGTTAGTCACCGCTGTGGCTTAGGTTGTTCCATTGTTTAATGTACAAGAATACCTGTTTCTCTGTCTCTGTCTATCTCTTACACATATGTTTTGGGGACAAGAATAGAATAAAAGAAGAAGAAAAGCTGGTAAGTAACTGCACTTCCCATATGAATCATCTTCCTTGTTCCTTTTTTTATCTTAAAATAACTAATTGCTTTTTTAAAAAAGGTTGCCACTTAAGCTATTTTTGTTCTTTTCTTGGCTTGTTCCATCTCTCTCTTGTTTGTTATACGCTACCCTACTCAATCAACCTAATCACTAATCAGTATTGCAATCATTCTCTGCTTCATTCCCCACACAACTTAACATGCACATACAATCACAACCTGATTCTAAAATCTCATATTGCTCCCTCTATGCTATTAATATTAGATTCATGAGTTACATTTACCAGCTATTGTATTCAAGGGTAAGCATTTGGTTCAACCCAACTATTCTAACTGAAAAAAAAATCCAATTTTTTAAAAATACAGAAATTGAATCAAAATAATCTAGTTTTACTCATAAAAAAGTAAATAAAAAAATAAAAAAAAAACAAATCAATTTTCAACATTTCAATTATAATTTTTAATTTTTAATTTTCAAACATTATTAATTACTATGTTTGTTAAATATCCTAAACACCAATTAGTGACTCTTTAAAACAATAATTCTATATATCCATATAAATAAATAAATAAATACTTGTTGGCCTAAGAAATTTGAACCAGAATTTCTTTGTTTGGCTTGAGTCAGTGATTAATAACAATCACATAAACCAATGGCTAGGTTTGATTTGGTTGGATAGCAAATTAGATATTATCATAAAACAAGATGACTAATTAATCTAAATTATGAAATTTTTTAAAAAGCATTATTAGCTGTTCTTAAGTAAGGGTAGCTGTCTGTCTACCTCATTTTTGGGTAATTTGTGCCAAATTAGAGAACTAGGTCAATTTCTGAGTTGCACATGAGGGAAGTGCAAGTTGTACACTAGTGTATTATGGGAGCTATTTTATATATTTATATATATATGGTCATTTTTTTTTTTTAATTTAATGGATGGGTGTATGCTCTAGCTAGGTTATGCTAAGATGGGTTTGTTAAGACCAAAGCCATTATTGAGGAAGTCTAAATATGCAAATGGAAGTCAACTCTTTTAGTCATTTGTTCATTATGTAATATTAATATATTCTTTTTTGGTTTTAAACTATTCGGTACTTGAAATCTATTTATTTAACTAAATTAAATACGCGCCACGAAAAGGATAAATGACTCACTTTTAACTTTTAAGTATTTAAAGAGACTTCATAGTGAAAATTCAAACTCGAAATATCTTAATAAAGGAGAAAGCATTTATACCATCTCATTTCATCTACAAGGGTTATGCAATATTAATATTCGTACAATATAAAGACAATAAATTTTATAAAATTGTAATTCAATTAATTGATTATTTGCATAATAAAACTACATGTTATCGCAATTAGGAGTAAGGAAACAATCGATTTGTTTCAAAATAGAACCAAATTGAAGTTTAGACAAATAAATTAAATTTACAGTGAGAAAAATCGGATCAAACTAAAATTACTATAATTAAATTGAACTAATCAATGTGGTCAACTTAAGCCTAATCAATGTGATTTTATAAAACCGAACTAAATTTATAGCAAAAATATTTGATTTGCCTATGCAAATCTTGAACCCATGATCTCATTATTACCACGACGCTTTAACCGACTAAGCTAATAACAAATCCAATGCAATTTTAGTACATCCTTAATGGCTGAGACAGTGGAATAATAAAATAGATTGATAATTTGGTTGCATGAAGTATTGGCTTATTGTCATTTCTTCAATGAATGGCTGGTTCCTGAAAATGATTAGTTCTGAAAAATACGAACAATAAAAAAAGTAATTTGTTGAAGAAAGAAATTAGAAGAAAAATGACTTATTTTCATTTTTCAATATTTATATCTTTAAATTTGCTTGAATTTTTATAATTTATCAATATATATTTTTTTTGCAGTCTCATTTATCATTGACATACATAAGAATTTTATTATTTGAAGGAACTTTATTTTTTCAGAAAATAAAAACGAGGTGTCGATTGCACATTTTTTATAGTCATTGGGCCCATAAAAAACGGACCTCTTCAGGCAGTAGACCACCTTCCCATCCCATCAGCACTCTTTAACTTAAGTAGGAAAAGTCCATTCCAAGCAGTAAAAGGGGAAGGGGAAGGAACGATTGATAATTGGGATTAAGGACTTTGTTGTCCATTTTGGATGGCTCCTGAGTTATGGGCAAATCCAAGCCCAAGCCCAAGCCCAAGCCCAACAGCAAAGAAAATCTTTATGCAAAAATTATATATATCGAGTTTTTATAAAAATTAAAATGTCATTTAATTATAGATCATCAGAAGATTTTTGAGATTCAGTATAAATAATTTTATAAAATTAAAAATAAATGTATAAGTAATATTTTTGAGGTTACAACTATCAAATATAAATTTGAACATCCTCTAGAAATATGTGCTATTATTGTATATACATTTTCAAACGAGTTTCATATAATTTAATGTGTTTTTCTCATTTATTAGTTAAATGGTATGATTTAAGTAGGAAAAGAAAAAATAACTTAGTTTAATTTTTTCCAAAGATTTTATGCAAATGGGAAAATGTTTAGAGGATTCTTTATTATTATTATTTTTAAATAAAAAATCAACACATCACTATAAGGTTTGAATTAATATAGTAACACTCAAGTTTTAATTTGCCAAATTTTTAATTTTTAATTTTTTTTAAACATTAGTCCAATGAATTAATATAATTTTTTTCCAAAAATTTTTTTCTTACAAAATTAATTTTCCATAAAAATGTCAAATTCTCGTGATCAAACTAGAAAAAGTCAAACGAAATCCAACAACATCAAATATTTATAGCTTTACTAGGAATTTCTTTAGAATTTATGATAAGAACATACTCCTATTTTGTAGTTGACGTGGCAAGTTTTTGGTGGAGATTGCATGATAAGCATCACAGGATGTCCGCAGCTAGAACTAATCTCCACCATATAAATAATACGCTCTCTCCTTCTAACAGCTTCTTCTTCATCCGAGCTGCATAATAGTCAGTTGCTAAATTCCAATTACACCATTCCATCGAAACTCAAATCCCGGAATTCGAATTCTCCGCAAATTATACGGAAATTATTGAATAATTGTTGAATTTTAGATTTATCTAGGGTTTTTGATAGGCTCAACAATGGGTGAATTGAAAATGGAGGACATGCCTCTTCCAGCTCTGTTCGAGAAAGCTAGGAAGATTCACCTAACCGCTACAGAGTCCGGTGCTGATCAGGTAAACTATATCCCACGTTTAGTTAAGATGGTCATTCATCTTCCTTTTTATTCTATTTGTTATATATACAATAAATCCTGATCTGGTTCTGCTTTTGGGGGTTTAATTAGGACACGATACGGAAAGGATGCGAAGCACTTGAGAAATGTGAGGAAATGATAAGTAAGCTTGGGTTGTTCTCAGCAAATGAAACCAAAGATGATATTAGCACTACAAATCTTAAATATATTCTGGTTTGCTTCTCTTCTTCTTTTCTTTGGAAAATTTTTAATTTTAGGGTTTTGTGGGTTAATTTGAAATATTGAACATTTTAATGGGTGTAGTAGTTATTAATGGTTTGATGACAGCTACTGATCCTTCCTTGCAGGTTCCATATTACCTTGCTGAGCTTATGGAAAAAGTCGTACAGGATGATAGGATACAAATTCTTAAGGCTTCCCAATCAAAGTTAAAGGTGCATGTCTTTCAGTTCTCGAAGTATATAGTGCCAAGCTTAATTTTTCGATATTGCTGAACTTTTTGATATATGTTATTATTGGGTTTGCTCTAAAGTTTTTGTTATAATATCAATTACTGAAAGGAAAACATGTTCTAGGAATTTCTTTCTTTTTGCGAGTCAATGGAACTTGTACCAGAAGAAGAGTTGCTGGCTTCTTCTCAAGGGGGTTCAAATACTTTTGCAGAAAGAAGGGCCCAAAAGGTAGCATTAGTTTCCTTTTTGTGTGCATGCATGTGTATGTTAAGGTCGTGCTGGACAATAATCTTGTTGAATATCGAGCATCTTTTGTAATATATGGCTTCTATTTCACTGTATAGATTGCTCGGTTCAATCGCCAAAGGGCTGCTCAGGCAAAGCTGCTGGAAATAAAAGAACGGAAAGAGCGTCGTGGTCGTTCAAGTAGGGCAACTGCCTTGTCAACTCCAGTTGAGGCCGGAGAAGAAGATGTGTTGGACGATGATGGAGAAGAAGAGCGGGAGGTTAGTTGTTATCTATATAGTAATTATGAGACTTAAGTGCTGCAATGATATTGATATAAAGATCGTTTTTATTTTTTTTTCTTCAATTTTTTACGCTAGCATGTGCAATTCCTTTATATACTCAATTTGCTAAACTCCATAATATTATTTTTTCTTCTTGTTTTAGTTGTCTTTTCTTTTTTTCTTTTAAAGATCAAACTGCAAATGATGCATAATAATTTCTTCATTGCCTATCTCCAAGCCCTGGACAATCCCCTCTTTTAGCTCTCTGTTTACTGTCTTATGGGAAAAAAATTAATGAGAGAAAATGGTTCACTTTTTCAATCTAGGATGAAAACATTCCTTCCCATGATTAGATTGTGGAAGCTCTGATTGCTCCACTATAAGAAAGTTCATTTAAGAATAAACTGTTCCCTATTTCCTATGTGCTTATTTTTCAATTCCATTAGCCACCAAACACATCTAAAAAATCTACAATGTGAGCACTTTTTTTAGGGGAACGGTGAGCACTTTGAGAACAGGACATATATCCTCCAAGACACAAAGCTATGATGAACAGAAACTTCTAGCCATGGGCATTTCCGCGTGTCTGTTCCCCTGTATAAAAGACCGTTTTTCCATGTAAAATTATATTTTAAATGTCATTTCCCCATACTCCTCGTTTCTGTTTCCATACAACATAGACACAAAGAAAAGGGTGCGAAAACTGATTTATTTAGTTGTACAATCACAAGGCTTTCCCCTGAATCTTCGCCATCTCGACCTCTCCCTAGTTCACTTGCTGTAGCTTGTTCCTTTTGGAAAATAGGAGAAAAAGCTTCCTAACAGACCCCTTAGGAAGGGGCAATTCAGCCTGAGTGTATGCTTCTCAATGACATAAATCCATGAGTTTATGGAGGTGTATTGTGAAGTTCAATATGGAGCTACCAGTGTAAATAAGTCAAGCTACTTGTGTGCTACATGGATTCCTCCACTTGCAAAATATTTGAATTTGACTCAATTTCAATCATATCATTTGATCTTGAGTATTTTGAGACTTTGAGTTGTGAGTTAAACCAACTTGAGTATAAGAGTGACTCACGAACCTGACTGAGTATTCAAGTTTTATATTTTAAATATAATTTGTGTTATATGTAGTATTTAAACCTGTGGTCACTTAAGCTTATTCGAACTTTAATTTGAGATCAAGAAACAGTTTTATCTATAGTTGGAATGGTAATTCAGTTGACAGTGAGTAATTCCGAATAACCCATACAATAAAGCTTGGCATGAAAAATAAAGCTTAATCAAGCTTAAGTTGAGTTTTGAGCTGCAAGTAATTGACTTGACCTCAAGCTTGAGTGATATACTATATTGAGTCAACACAGCTTGATTACGCCTATAGTTCCTTGAACAGATACTCCATTCATGCTTCTTTGAGACATTAAATAGGAATTGGTGAACCTCAATTTTGTCCCACCCTTGCCTACCCTCTCCAATTCAGGTTTTAGCTATTTCTTAACAATGTCTGTGAGATTGTTGGTGTCGCTTCTTTCTATCCCTATTTTGACTATTGTTTGTCCAGCCTTTTAGAAATGTTAATTTAGTATGCATAATGTGAGTGGACCTTGTCTCTACTCAAGCCATTGCAGGCAATCCTGCTTGACTTACTTTTCTGCTTAAGTCTGTAAGTATGATGCAAGTTTTTTGGCATAAACTAGGTTTTGATGGATGCAGTCTTGGACCGTCAAGTAAAATTTCTTTGTGCCCATGATTTCATTACTTGCTTTGTAATTGCCCTTGGTTCTAAAAAATGATGTAAACCTTTTTTTTTTATCATTATTCTTCACTTCTGATGCACGCAAGTGTGATTTAAAGAAAAAGCATTTTCCTCCATTTCTTACTTTTGTCATGCTGATAAAATGATTTTCGGTTTACATTGAGATGGTTTAGCACAATCTATTTCTTTGTGTAACAGAGTAGTCTGATTTCAAGTTGTTTGAAATAATCTGTGCTATGTGCTGAAACATCAAAAGCTGGATATTGAATATTTTGGTAGATCTATGTAATAAATGACGCGTTAACTTTCTCACAAGCCAATGTCTAATTCTGTAACTTGTTTCTTAAAAACGTTAGTCTTGCTTAAATCACCGTACTCCTTTTTACAGGCTTGGCTTACCACCATCTCACTGGCAATCTGTAAGGTTTGTTTTACATTTCCTCATAATCTGTTTTATACAAGTTCTCTAAACCTGTCAATGCATACTGACACCGCTATTTTGCCATGTGACCATGCTACAGGCATTCGATCTGCTTGAAATGTTAAAGAAGGAAGATGAAATGCTTTCTGCTGTAAAGGAAAGACAACTGAAGGTATTTTTCTACTTGATGGCTTGTGGAATCTAAACGATATATTGATGATGTAGGACCATTTCTGGATGTTCCAACTGATGTTTCATGGTGAGAAAATATCCAGTAATTGACGGATTTGGAGTTCAAATTTAGAGAAGCAACTGACTTTTAGAATATGAGCTTGAATTAAGATAATTAGAATGATAAAGAAAGAGTTGAAGAATGTTTAGGAAGCTGTGAGCAGTAAGTCGAGGGACTGTAGCAGCAGCAGAGAGAAAGAAGAGAAAACTGTGCATGCTGGCCTTGCAAACAAAATCATAATATTCAAAGTTCATTGTCAAAAACCTAACGAAAATAAATAACTTGTTTATTGTAGAGGTTTTTTTGTTTTTAATTTTTTTTATGCAAACTGCAGTGATTATGAATCATCATCAGGTCGTCATTGTTCTATGAAGTTCACACCTTCGGTTGAAAATTATTCTCTAGTTCTGTCGTATCTGGCATTGAGGTTTCTCTGATGTCAACTTAACAGGGTCAAAGCTAGAATTCCTTTTAAGCATTATAGCATCTGTTTTCATCATGGTTTTGCATCATTCCTAATTAGTTAATTACACTGTCGCTGTCTAGTTTTGTCTCTATTTGATTCAACTGCTCCATGTTCATCAGTTCATCATGTCACTATCTAGTATTTAATATGTGTTCTGCTTTTCAGGAAGGGGACAAGGATTTTTCTCAAGCTATACTTGATGAACGAATGAAGAAAGCAGAAGATTGGCATCGCAATGCTGCTGTTCGAGCTCAATATACCAAGCCAGCACCACCTATCACATGTGCTACTTTTGCTCAAGATGTTCTAGAAGGGAGAGCAAATGTCTCACAGGCACATGATCACAAGCACCAGCCGATGATATTTGGACCAGCAAGTCTTATTGGTGGAAGTCTAACAAGTGAGAGGGAAAGGATGGCAGCACAAGTCTTCCAACCTAGTTACAGGTATATTTTCCTTGCCTCATTATTAAATGTTTAATATCCACTGAGATGTGTGCTTCCTATTTATTTTCTTAATTTTGATCTGCTTTGGTGCTATTCCATGGAAGGTTGCCAACCATGAGTATAGAAGAAGCAGGATTAAAGGAAATGGAGATTATGAATAAATGGCAAGAGAGAAATGCAAAACTCATGGCAGAAGCCAACTCTGCATGGTACAAGGATGATCAGAAGTTAAAACCAAGCGAGGAAGATGATGAAGATGATGATGCTGCTGTAGAAAAGGCAAGGGCATGGGATGACTGGAAAGATGACCATCCTCGAGGTGCTGGCAATAAGAAGCTCACTCCATGTGGTTAATGTGGCAGGGTTGTTTTGTCTCGCAGTTGTATTCTCCAAACAGGGTTGGGACTCTATTTTTTGTTTTTGCTAGCATTCTTTTAAATTCTCTCTTCATGGATATTATTTCTACAAAATTTTGGTTCAGTGTCCTCTTTTCTAGTGTTTTTGTTGTGTTATATTTAGGAAGTTGATCGTGCACATATTGTTGCATATACACAAGATTTCAACTGTTAGATTAGCACTGTTCATTGGATACAATGTTCAATATCTATTTGCATACACTAGGACGTGTGTGGAACCATTTCTGTATAATATTTTTATATCTATAGTTTGCCGAAACTTGACATGGGTCCAACGGGCTTTGGCGGTTCTGATATGTATGGCTTTTGTCTCTACTTAGCACTTAAATGCTTGCTTGGTGAATGAATAGTAAGTATTGTTGTGATTTTGGACCTGAGACCAAACATTTGGAGCTTGTTCGTGCATTCCAATGTTATTTACTAGCAAATAGTTTTAGGATGATTGAGGTTTAAGGACTGCTGCAAGAGAAGGTAGATGAGGGTTTCCTTGTATATGGCATTTTCCTTTTTGACTTTTATTTTTTAAATTAATTTTGGTTGATTAACAGTCGAAATAAGAAAATATTAATGGAAAAGATAATATGGTATGACAAAATTTAAACAACCATAGAACTAAATTTCTAAAAATAAGGTCTGACTTGCGTATCTAGGAGGAATTAAATAGTAATCACCTTATATAAAATTGCAAGGTAAAAATATATCGAAGAATTTATCCCTCCTTTTGTTGTTAGAATTCATTAGGTCAAGGGAAAATTAGAATGTCAAAGTTATAAAATTATCATCTGCAACTTTTCCTCAAGATACAGGTTTTAATCCCTCTCAAGGAATCTTCAAATCTAGAAATTATATTTTACTAAAAGAGAATAAAACTGGAGGATACTGAAACTAATAAGATAATGAAGTTAAACAGTTACTACCATAAATAATTTGAAATGATTGCACACTAAATGATAGTAGCAGTAGTAATACTAATAATAACAATAATAATATGAACACGAAAGATAATGAGAACTCAGTTGAATTTATTGAAGTCATAGCCAAAGATGTACTGTTCAATCTTCATAACATTACATTCCACAGAACATCTCAAGTTTAGTGATTTTCTATTTACAACTCCTAGTGGATGAGAACTGGCATACGCAAAATTCACTAGCTCATTTGTCAACCATTTTGCCTTATTAAAAGCATTCTTAATGCATGGTTTCCTCGACTTTCAAAGGGTTGGAGAAGGGCCATCGTGGTAGAGCACAAGCACAGGTCGCCAGACTATTTGCAGATCACTCTGCTTAACTTATTAAATATGATGATGATAGAACTGAAACACAAAAATTTCCAGCAAACAATAATTATGTTTCCCTACGCTCGACGAACACAGACGTTGTCCTTGCCGGCACAGTGAAGCACCCAGAGGGTGCTTCATAGGTTGAGTTCTTTACAACTTCATCAGAAGACATTAGCTGCATAAAGATTTCCATAAAATATGGAAAAGTTATGATTTGCTAACAAAAATTAAAAGTTACAAATGAACAAATAATGCAGTGGTAGTTGTAATGATTCAACAATTATGACTCCGTTGCCTATTTTACAACTTGAACCTGAATTCCAAACTGAAACATACAAGATGAAAAATTGTTTTCCTTCTTATTCTTTTATAGTAATTAATAAAATCTCCTAGAAATATTTTTCCTTATATTTATGTTTGGAGAGGGCCAAGTTCAGCATGCGAGTTAAACTACTATTTTTTGATTAACCTTATTGAAAACTTAGCCGCGAAGATAGGAACTGGATGCCTCTTAATCATTAAAACGAATAACAGGAGAAGTTTAGATCAGGAATTTCATCCTCAAACAGATTCCAAATGAAAGTTACCTGGACAGGATGCAGCTGAAAAGATCTTGCCCTCAGCGCAGGGCTGGCAAATGACACCTCAGTTGGACAAGCGTTGAAGAGAACCACAATGTATGAGAAGCTGTAAAAACAAGAAGTTCAATACCATTCTTTAATCTCGGAATCATGACTGAAAACTTTCATATTCACTCACAAGGGATCCAGTTGAGATAATCCGGGGAAACCATCATGACCATCTTCAATGCTCATCACTATGACACCAGGGACCCAAGAATGACCGGTGTTATGGAATCTTACTCGTTCCTGAATGCCATATTGTGCCACCAATATGCTCCTCATTAGACCAAGGCAAATAAAACATAAGGGAAAGGAGAAACTAGAAGAATGCATAATGAGGCCTTTTTGGAGAAAAATTTGAACTAGTATCAACATATATCAATCCTTAATCCTTAAAGAAAAGCTATACTTTTGGTTTTGTTTTTTTTTTTTTTTTTTTTTTTTAAGGCAAAATTAAAACATTAAGGGAAAGGAGAAACTAGAGAATTGCATAATGAGGGCCCTTTTTTTGGGAGAAAAATTTGAGACTAGGGTATCAACATATTATTCAATCCTTTAAAAATTCCCTTAAAAGAAAAGGGTGGGGGCTTTTCTATACTTTTTTGGTTTTATTGGTTTTTTTTTTTTTTTTTTTTTTTTTGCCTTGGGGTGGGGGATTTGGAAGGTGTGGGGGAGGGGAAAAAGATAATGTGGAAATATTCCAAACCACCAACAATTTAAGCTTACAAAAAAATAGTTAAAGAAAGCTTGAGAGCCATCTTTTTTTTTTTTTTTTTTTTTTTTTTTTGCCTGGGGTGGGGGGATTTGGAAGGGTGTGGGGAGGGGAAAAAGATAATGTGAATATCAAACCACAACAATTAAGCTACAAAAAAATAGTTAAAGAAAGCTGAGAGCACTCAGAATCCATACAGCAAACTCTCATCTCATCTTTTTCCAAGACAAATAATCAGATCAAATATACAACATAAAGTAGCATACATGTTAACAGCAGTGGTCAAGCTAAAAGTGTTTAAAACATTCAGATAATTGACAGGTCCAAATCAAGTTATGATGTCTTAGTTTCTAAAAAGAAGCATTCAGAGGGTAAGAGATATATGGTAGGAATTGGGGTTATGCAGAACATTATAACAATATTGGCTGCTTCAAGAAGAACGTGGTTAAACTTGTCTTTGGCTTCCCAGTAATAGTTCATTACCAGAAAACAATAACTATTCAAACATGGCTCACCTGGATAGCATTAGCTGTCGTCAAGCGGAAAAGTGGTGAAGAATATCGAATATGTAATACATCTAAAAAATTCTCAACAGCAGCAAGGACGTGGGACTTTTGAGGCTTGAAGGATGGATCTGCCAGTCTGGGTTTTATTCTGAGGGAAAAACGATTAAAACAGACAGCTCCAGTTACCTATTCAGATGTCATAACTATTCTACAGACAAATCATAAGTAATTTATCTCTCTCACACACATGCATATGTAATCCAAGTAATTTCGAGAGGGAGAAAAAGGCAAAAGAAAAAATAATTAATTCAAAATATACAGAAAGTGAATGCTTACAGTGGCCAGTTATGTTCGTTTTTTTGCTTTGGAGGAAGTCCAACACCCCAATTGTTAGAATTGTATGAGAAGTCTAACCTGAAAGTTGCAAGTACATATTAATCTTTGAGAAAACAGAGGCCTCTTACAGTGAGAACAGAATCCCTGATCATTACAAGCATTAGGATTTGAAATTATTAATTTGCAGTGGTTGATTTAAGGATTTGATAGTTATTGCAGCCAATCAAAGTTACCGTTACCCAACAACTTACTAATCAAATTAATTAATTAGGAAGAATCTTGAAAATAAGAACAACAAACCTGTTGAACCAATCACCAGAGTTGTATGAATCACGATCAAGTGATTTTGAGCGTAGCATCTCATCACCAGCATGGAAAAATGGTATTCCCTTAAACCAAGTGAAAGAACTCAGTATATCAGGTCATCATAATTTATCAAATACTCAACAATAGTAACATTGAACACTATGAATTATATAGCATAACTTGCTTCTTCAAAAAGCCCTACCACCCAAAGAAAGTCTGTACTGTCTCCAACTTTATCAAGCCTAAGATAGGTTCCATGTTTAGCTGTTTTCATTTCCATTTGGGGAAAGCTAAAGTATGGAAGAGACAAGCACTTGGGATTATGGAAAAAACCACAGATACTTAAATAGAAAATGTGTGATTGTCCAACACAGTAATTAGACTGACCCTGAGCACAGGCCAGGTACTGTCTAAGGAACCAAAATCTTAGTCTCTCTGCCTGATCATGCAGTCCATTGCAGGAGAAAATAAAAGATTACATATAAAAAATAAGATAAAATCTCACCATTTTTTGATGCATTGGAGAAACTATTATTCATCAACTAAAAAGGTAAGTAGCAGAGTTATAAGATATAATAGCGTGCAAACTAATATAGGAATGCAAATTTTTAACATGGTTCAGCAAATCAACTATTCCACAAATCCACCACCAAGAGAAATTGTATGATCACTAAAAAACTCTCACAAGCTCAGAGCCTTGTACACCCTGTGGATCTCTTCCTAGAAAAAAGACACAGAACTTCTCTTTTACACAAAACCACAGCCTACTAATATAAAATTCCAATTAACAAGCCAAAAAACTCTACTCCAACAAAGAATAAATATCTCCTAAACCAAAAATAATCAGGGACCGCAAGGGATGGATCACTGCCAAACCAGGATGGACGAAAAAACAAAAATGAAAAGCAAAATGTGAAGGTTGAATTATAAGACTCAGTTGAGAGGGTAAAAAGTAACAATCTTAAATGGCATGGTCCAGGATGATATCTAAGAAGGAAAATAATCCTGTAGAAAATATAGAATTTTGTTATTAATTAATGAAAGGAGTAGACTTACCTGTGAAAGTGCTATTATACTTGTTGCCAAATGATTTAATCTGCATCTCTCATCCACAGAAATATCCATTGGAGTCTACAAGCAAGGTCTAAGTTAGAAGAAAATTAAATGTCTGTCTTATTATAGATATGCAAGTCCACAAGCAAGAGGCTAGTTAGAGCAGAGCTGTCAAATGGAATATTATCATAACATTGGAAGGATAAATGGAGCATACCTTCATGCAGATAGTGTCAAATAAGGTTTCATTGTCATGTGCAGAAACGTAATTAATCTGTAAAACAGGCAAAAAAGTCAATCAGCATGTTAGAAAAAATGTTTCTTATCTGAGCATAATCTTAGTTTATAACATTGTATATTTGACAGACATTTACCGATGATGAGGTCTACTAACAAAATAGAGAATTATACTTGGATCAGTGTTAATAGCAGAGATACAAAGTTTGATTCAGACTCCAAATACTTCCAAATAAAATGTTACATGGGATGTCTGGCAAGTTTGCCGCATGCCAATGAAATTCTTCAGAAATATAATCATAGATCGCTATTATTACATCATGAACAAACAAATACAACTCAATCTCAACTAACTCTTAAATCTCAAACTAAGTGCTCTGGTTATATGGAACATTTACTCCATCAACAGAGTAGGATTACCTCTTTAGATAGATATATAGCTATTAAATCCTTTTCCTACTTCCCTCCATGTTATCCTAGCTAGAGTCTACCTTTTGTTCTTATCATGAAAAAGGAAAACCCAGAAAAAAATTTCCAATTAAATCTCACATTGCATGATAGCTTGTATCCAGAACAACAATACTGAAATAGCTTCCAATTAATCCAAGGCCATTTCAGTTGAAAGGGCAGGCAATATTACATAATATGCAAAGATAAGCTAACGTATGCTACATATATACCATTGTGGGAAATTTTGTGATAGAAGATCTCAAACGTTGCATCTGGAGTGTTAGCGATTTGTTGATGACAATATAAACCATTGTGGATGACAGATACAGGTAATTCTTTTCTTACCAATGATCATGTCAAAGCTATGCGCAGTGCACCAGAAGGCGATTCTTACTATTTTACAAAACATGATAAAAATTTCATATGAGAGAGTCAATTATTGATTCACAGGTATATTATCAAAATGGTTATGCAATTCTTCAGCTAAGAATGTGCGCTTGAAAATTTCAAACTCAATCAAATCGAGTAATGGTGATGCAAAAAAAAAAAAAAAAAATCTCATAATGCAACTTATCCTCTTCTTTACACTGACATGGCATTGTATTTGATAACCCGTAACCATGAACTTGTGACCAGTTCCCAAAATAGGCCATTTGTCACTTGAAAATAGCTTTTTTATTTTTTTCCCTCTCATAAAACATTTAATGTAATCATCAATATAGTCAAGATACTTACTGTTTCCATGGGGCTGCAAGAATATGCAACCGGTGTTCCACCATGAACCAATATTTCTGATCCTTTTACCTGGAAAAAACAATGTAACGAAATATGGACATTTTTTGTGTGAGTAATAGGAATACAAAAAACCAAGACTTAAGGTAGTAATTAACATATTGACAATATACAAAAAACAATAAGTTGAAATTCTTTTCCTTCCTATAGTACCACCGGCAATATTCAAAGTTTCAAACCCAAGTCATTTCTTAATTGACAATATAATGGATGTGAACCAAGGGAAGGCTTAGAAGGCTTCTAAAAATCCCCTTAAGTGAAGCTGAAGCACCCAATTTACAAATCAATCAGAGGAACCTGCATAAAATTCAGTCACATTGAAAATAACAAGTGCCTCTTCATGTATCAGTTGATCTCACGCAAAAAGCAATGGACAATATTGATTACAAACTACAGGCAGGTCCTCGACAACCTCAGGTAGTTCAAGAAAGGATGTCTAGTATATATAACTGACTTTCTAGTAGGCATATACAATCAAAAACAAAAAAAAATATATCTACAATCATATTATGCAAACAAATGAAAAATACATTACAATTAGACATTAAAATTAAGCATCATTTATTATGCATATGTAACACCAGTAATGCCAATTCTAACCGTCAAATATGAAGTATCAGATAGTATGATGCAAGTGCATTTTATAGCAGGATAAAATATACCTCTTTCCCTTCACTATTAGTCAGTACAAAATCTCTCAAGTTTGCAGCCAACCCAACCTGGAGCATGCAAAAGCAGTTAAATAAGCCTTAAGCCATGAAAGAAAATAAAACTTACAACCATCAGAATGATCAGGATTATTCATTGGATCTAGAAGGGTAGAATAGTTTACTCAATGTTATATCAAATGATGATGTATGTATTTTTGTTTGTCAAATTACAACACTTTATTCATCGGATCTAGAAGGGAAGAATAGTTTAGTCAATGTTATATCAAATGATGATGTACTTATTTTTGTTAGCCAAATTATAAAACTTTATATGACCTCTGGATGGCATTAACTTGAAAGTGTTTGAGGATTTTGAATTCTTGATGATTTTGTATTGATGTCCAAGACCCTTTAAATAGGGAGAATACAAACAGAATATGGAAAGGAATTACAGAGATTAATTACAGGAAATTAATTGTAATCTGTTCCTAAATCAGAGGAATCTGGATTGGCATTAACTTGAAGTGGTTGAGTGATTTTGATTTATTCTTTGATGATTTTGCTTTATCTTGATGTCCCAAGACCCTTTAAAATAGGGCAGAATACAAACAGGAATATGGAAAGGAAAATTACAGAGATTTAATTACAGGAAAAATTAATTGTAAATCGTTCCCTAAATCAGGAGGAATGATCTGTGGAGATATCATCGGCTAAGACTCCCCCGCAGTTGAGCGGGCAGGAGGACAGAGACGCTCAAGCTGGAATCGAAATGACTGGAACAACTGTCGGAGTATAGGCCTTATTTGGTAAAGATGTCAGGCATATTGAAAAGCAGCATGGGACATGTGAGGGACCCTATGTTGGCCTATATCGAACCTTTCTCCCTTACAAAGTGTTATGTCGATCTCAATGTGTTTGTGCGTGCTTGATGTCTGGACAGATTGTCAGACATATCAACACACATTGCGGGAAACATTTCACAGTTATACGGACGGAGCCTGCTGATAGTGGGAGGTGTAATTCCAGAAGTAAATTGCGAAGCCCAGGTTGGTCTCTGCAACAGCATTGGGCTTACTCCTCTATATTCTGCCTCTGCACGTAGACCTGAGAAGTAGGCTTGCCGTTTTAGACCATGAAATCAAATTATCACCAAGGAAACACAGTAAGCCACTAGTTGATCTTCTGGAGTCTGGGCATCCCCCCACATCTGCGTCTGGGAGTATGCTACCAAGTATGTGTATTTGTTTCTTGCCAACTTCTTTATACCGTAGTCAACTGTGCCTGTGTAAATTATTCGCGATTATTCTTTTGAGGAAAGGCATAGTGTGGAATCCCGCGGGTCATGCAATGAAGAGGCATATTGGAACAACATATGATATTATCTGGGCGTCTGTGATATTGTGAGATACTTTTAATGGCTGCTAGCAAGACGCGGGACGTATAATGTTTGGATCATGGAATAGAGGTTCCATCAGAAGCCACTCAGTTTTGAGGATTAGATCGACTTGGGTGGCCACACGGTTGTGCAGAGGGACATTGAAGCTCTGGAGATGATTATCCTTTGTGTATTTGAGACTGATGCCAAAAAACCACCAGCATTGTCTCGCTGTCACTTTGATTCCCAGGAAATGATTGCATCCCCGGCCCAACATTGCTCATTGCAAAACTCCGGGAGAGCATGCGAATTAATATTCTGTTTAATAACTCATTTAGATAATGCGAGATGAGCACTATAATCCATCAACATACAGAAGTAATAAGCAAGCTGATTTCCCTTTGAGAAATATTAGAATAGGGGAATGTCACCACACACGTGCCTGCGAACCCATGAGACAGCGAAACCCATGAGACAGCAGATGGGTTGCAAATCTGGTGTACCATGCCCGTGGCGCCTGTTTGAGCCCATAAAGGGATTTTTTCAATCTGCACACAAAATTAGGGTATCTTCTATCTGTGAAACCCGGGGGTTGATGCATAAAAACAGTTTCATTTAAATGCCCATGTAAAAACGCGTTTTTGACATCCAACTGGTGTATTGGCCAAGAACGGGAAACTGCAATGGATAACATAGTCCGTATAGTTGCAGGTTTCACTACGGGACTAAAAGTATCGTCACAGTCAATGCCCACCGTTTGAGATTTGCCATTTACCACCAAACGTGCTTTGTACCTTCGTTTGCTTTGTACCTTTTGAAGTGAACCCATTCTGCAATTTAAAGTTTTGTTGACGAAAAAGCCGACATACACCGACGATGACCGGTCCGGTCAGTGAGGGCGAGGCACGAGTTTCCCATGTATTTCATCCCTGCAAAGCACGAAACTCAGGCCGTGCATTGGGAATGTAACCAATGAGTGGTCAGGAAAGAAAAAAGCTTTTGCATAAGAGGTGGGTATTTTTGGTGAACAATTGACAGGTGGTCATATAGTGGTCATGGCGAGCTTTTGGAGCGGAGTGGTCAATTGGATGGGTATTCTGTGCGGGTTTTTGATACAGGCGAGTGTGAGTGTTGGATTTTGTGAGACAGGTGCAGCAGTGTGTTGGGGTGCTCGTAGCATTTGGCCACTGGGTTAAGGGGCTGTTGTTTATGGCGGGCGGTGCTATAATATGGCGGTTAAGGAGAATTGGGCGGTTTTTTGAGTTTGGGTGGTATGTTTGGTGTTGGGTGAGGTTTGTATAAACTGAAAATCCTTGGTGGTGGTTGTTATCAAGAAATGGTTGTATGTTTTCGGGTGGAGGTTGGAATGGTGTATGGGAAAGTTTGTTCTATCAAAGGTTCACATTGTCGTGATAGTGGAAATCTTCCCGGTTGTAGGGTTCAAATGGCATCTGGTTATCCCCTAAAATCTGGAGAGGGTATCCAATAAGATGCATCTAACGGATCTTTGGGTTGTAATTTTGGGTTGGGTTGGGTGGGACGGTACTGGGATATTGGGATAACAAGCACACCCGAACACACGTAAGTGATCGTATGTCGGGTGGCGGAGATATAAGGCAAAAGTGGGTGTGAAATAATTGAGACGTTTGGTTGGAAAGATGTTATGGAGATAGGCAGCAGTGTGAAGTGCTTCGACCCAAAACATAGGTGGTAATTCAGCATGGATGAGGAATGAGCGGATGATGTCGTTGAGACGACGAATCATGCGTTCAGCCCGACCATTTTGGGAAGATGTTTGGGGGCATGAAAAACGGAATAACAGACCATGTTGTTGGGCAAAAATTTTGAAGTTATGGTTGTCAAATTCTCCCCCCAACCCCAAAGTTTCACTATTGAAAAGTTTTTGATATTACGGTTAGAATGGGTTGGCTATTTGAGTTTATTGGAATTTTAGTTAAAGGTTTGGTTGAATAGTTTCAGATTTGAACTTGAAGAGGGTATAACCCCAGAGGGTATACCCACACATAATTGGAAAAATTATCAATTAGCACCATGTAGTATTTATATCCAGATTTGGTTGGAATAGGGGAGGTCCACAAGTCACAGTGTATCATATCAAATGGTGAAAAAAGTAAAGGAATTTGACTCATAAAAAGGTAATCGTTTGCTATTAGATAAATGACAAGAATTGAAAAAAAATAAATGCTTGTTCTTATTACAAGGAAGACCAAACTGTTTGGTTAAAACATCTAAAACTTGTGTGCCAGGGTGACCGAGGCGATCGTGCCAAGGTAAATTTGGAGATGTGATTGAACAAGCTTGTGTAGGTTGGGGAGTGACAGGATAGATCTCGGCTACATTGTGGCGGGAAAGGAAAGGAGCTGTCCCGTTTTGAGGTCCTTCAAAGAGAAACCAAAAGGGTCAAATTCAACAGAAATATTGTTATCACGTGTAAAACGGCGGACAGATAATTTTTAATGATATGTGGGCTGTAAAGTATGTTTGGGAGGATGTATGTACGGTTAAGGATGGGAAGGTAACCTGTTCCTGAGCCCTCAATTGGTAAATAGTGTCCGTTGCCGACTAAAAGTTTAGTGTTAACAGGAAAAGAGTCAGGGTTGTGAATCATACCTCGGTTGTCGGTGACATGACGTTCTGCCCCTGTATCCATGATCAGATTTGGATCTGTGTAGTTGAGTTGCATCGTGTTATAAACTTGGCTGAGATCGGAAGGACTTAAAGCATCATATCCAGTATGCGGTGGAGGGGGATATGGTGGTGCTGGGCCGTATGGCTGCTGTTCTAAATAAGCGGCATAATGGGCATTGGGTGTGTTTTGAATATGATTTGGTGGCCATGGAGTTTGTGTTGGGTAGGGACAAGGTGGAGTGTTCCACCAAGCCCATTTTGGGTAGGTTTGATTGGCGGACTGAATTGTGTTAAGCCCAAGAGTCCCCGTAAGGATTTCCCCTGTAGCGCGTTCCTCTGCCTCTTGCCACGTCGATGCCTCGACCACGCCTCTATTAATTGGAGTGGTAAGAACTATTGTTGAGGCTGATTGTTTTTCAGGTTGTTGAGTTGCGGGCCGGCTGGTTTGTTTGTTTGCGTGGTTGGAGCGACAAGGACAGAGGTGGGTTTGTTGTCGTTGCAGCCTGGCCGAATGACCTTCATCATTGAACATGGTTCGGTGCAAGGTCCCAGTCTAACGTTTTGTGAGTTAATAAGAGAAGCTATGGCGTCGATCTTGGGAGAAGACCACGAAACCGTTGTAAGGACCAAATTCGCGGATTTCTGTAACTGGTTGGTCAACAATCGTTTTCAGTTTGGTCGCGATGTCTTCAATTTCTTGCAGTAGATCATCAACGGGAAACGTGCAGGCTGCAAGGGTGAGATTAACAAGGGTGAGATTAACGAATTTTGTTTCAAGAGCTGCCGCTTTTGCTTTCTTGTTGCTAAGGAAGATTTTCTCAAGTTTCAGCCATGTTTTTCTAGCCGTAGCTTCAGTGTCAAGGATGCGGGTGAGCAGTTCATCAGACACGGTACTGTAAATCCATTGAGACACCAAGGCATCTATTTCTTTCTAGGCACTGTACGATGGATCTGTAGAGGCTGGGGGTGGCGTGTCATCAATGTGATCAAGAACACGGTATGCAATAGAATGAAACTTGAATAATTTCACCCATGATGTGTATGTAACTGTGCTACCATCTAGGGTTCTTATTTTTGATTGGATGTTAGTCACACAGAGTAGGCAGGGTGAATGGGGGTGGGTGGTTTTTAGTAGGCAGGGTGAATGGGGGTGGGTGTTTTAGGGTTGGAGGTCGAAGATGGGACTTCTGTTTGTGTCATGGCTATCGGCGGCAGCAGCTAAAAAAAAATATGGGAGAGAAAGGAGAGGGAGGGAATTCAGAACTGAAGCTCTGATACCATGAAAGTGTTTGAGGATTTTGAATTCTTGATGATTTTGTATTGATGTCCAAGACCTTTTAAATAGGGAGAATACAAACAGAATATGGAAAGGAATTACAGAGATTAATTACAGGAAATTAATTGTAATCTGTTCCTAAATCAGAGGAATGGTTGGAGATATCATCGGCTAGATAAACTTTCAGTGGTATATGGAAAGGAATTACAGAGATTAATTACAGGAAATTAATTGTAATCTGTTCCTAAATCAGAGGAATGATCTGTGGAGATATCATCGGCTAAGATAACTTTCAGTGGTTGCTCCTTAATCCTAACAGCTGAGGAGTTGAAATTTTAAAGATGAACCATTCCAAAATCTAAAAAAAAAGAGAAGAAATAAAATTTTAAAAGCATCATTTTCATCTGTTACTTCTAAACTGCCAAACAATAATGAAAAGGTTTGATGGGTATGCCTAGTACCATCCATCAACTTCAAAATCTTAAAGTAAAACTAAGGCCCAAAAGTAGCGTTTAACTGAATAAAGAAAGTGAAGAATCAATCTTTGGGAAACATCTAGTTCTTATGCCCTTTTTTGTTTTGGTTTCTAAACAAGGTGTAAGGATTGATCAGCAACCATAACCTCGGGGAACCAGTTGCTGTTCGAAGAAATTTGGAATATCTGGTGGGAACTTCCTGCTCCAGTCCCAACATTTGGAACAGGGAAAAGAAACAAAGAATTTCAAAAAACCCCCTGTTAACCAGCTAGAAACAGCTAACAACCAGAGATCTGGTAGGCTCTTGCCGGCATAGGTTGGAACCAAAGAGGAACTAGAACCGCCAGTTTGGTTTTGGCGTTGAACCAGTGGCCACCACTAATGAAACTGGTCATTAGGTTAAATGGATCTTTACTCTTAAGCCTCAACCCTTTATGGCAAGAGAAACCAATATAAATCCATATCAGTATAGGTCCAAAGCAAGCATCACAATATCTAAATACTAATCCAGTTATAACAGTGTTTTAAAATTCCTAAGCACAATGGTTGAGCAAGCCAGAAAGTCCGCATTGGTAGGCCAAGATCTGATTTAATACACATCCATCCATTCATGTATTCGGCATTATCAAATATAACAAACGAATTAAGATGCTTAACCTGGATATGATCCTTTGCTGTAGTAAGCATGAGTTCTTGAACATCTTTTCCACCATGGTCATGTCCATTAGGCTGTAAAAGAAGAATCAATTAACATCATTAGCTGCTGTAATAATAAACAGGAATTTTGCAGTATGGCCTCAATCCTTTTCTCAAATTCTAGCCATATTTAATAAGTAGACATTATTACAACTATACCAGCAAAACCAAATTTACACCTGACAAACCCCCCTCTCCCCCCAAACAACCGGTCAAAGTTTCTGACTCAATCACTGGACGTAACCAATAGAAACTGAAAGGGCCAACTGAGATATTCTCCTTCACTCATTTTACAAGTTTTCTGAACTAAATTCCCTGCATAAAATGCCATTAACATTCTCTGAACACTCAAATTCAATATAAAAATTCTAAAATCTAACAAACTAAACTGTTACTAGAAAGCAACGCCATCAACTACTAGCTATTATTGCTGGCTAAGATTTGACTGAGATGTTCAACAAAAACTTCAAAACATAGAAAGATAAATGTCGCGAGATGAGTAATAAACAATAGAAAGTAGCAACAAAATGAGCATATTTAATTTAGTTATAAACAAGTGTTGTTTACAAATGCCAGCTGTAACATAAGCATGATGAAGTTTTTGCCAACTATAAAAATATTTTTACCTCCAACATTAAACCAGTCACATATCCTTGCTGAAGAGGGTGGCCAAATGGAGATCCACCAAGCATTGCATCTCGCAGCCGATCATTAAAGCTGAATTAGATTTCCAAATACTTCATTCAACCAAATAGCTTTAGAAGAATTCCAAATACTTCATTCAACCAAATAGCTTTAGAAGAATTTAGTCAATTGACAAGTGACTAAAGTGAGAAGATGCTTCTTTCTCTATGCAAAAGCAGGCTTGAATGACTGGAATCATTTGCTTCAACTTTAGAACAACACAATCTCTTAACTTTTTCTAAACAGGCAGAGATCTCTAAAATATACAAGTCAGTTCCAAGAAATGCCAATACAGTCCCTTCAATTCTCAAAAGTTCAGCCTTGCAGTCTCGATGAATGGATGTATATCATTGTTCAATCTTTCATTTCCTCTGAAACTTTGCATTTTTGATACAGGAAGCAAACAATAATACAACAGAAATTTAAAAAAAAAAATAATACCTTCCAATTCCAGTACCACAGAGATTGAATTGTGAAGCATTTATTCCACGTCCATTTTTAGCAACTTCACCGAAGTCCCAACCTTCACCATAACTGTAAAGAGCAATGTTAATATGGGCATATGCATCAGTAGCAATAAACAATTTCTTCCACCTACCACCCCACCTGCCAAATAATAGTTAGTATAATTTGCACTGTAATGACACTCCTAACTTACATGTAGACACTTGATCCATCAACTCCATTCCTTTCCTTTGTTAGGCTGTGGATTGCACCTTTTGCTTTCACCTACACATGAATAATAATCTTGAGCTGGACAGCTCTATAGCAGTATTCATGATACATACCTAAATTCTTGCAAGCACAAAATAAAATTGATCTTAAGTTTCAGCTCATGTCATAATTTGGCAGGTCAAAAAAGCTGCGTGTCACAGAAAGACATTTATATTATTATTTTCTGCTGAAGGTGGAAGTACATGACCTAGTAAAATCATTTCTGAAGCAACTATAATATTGAAAAGGATAGCATTTCAATTAACCAAATTATTAATTATCAACGATACAAATTGAATATAAAACCCAAAATAGAGAAATTCAAAAAAATCATGTACCATTGTACTTTTCATTATATGACCCATAAGATCAAACCGGAACCCATCAACCTGCAAAGAAAAATAAGAAAAAAAGAAAAAAGCAGTCATCAACTATTAAAAATTTATAAGAGCGCCTGTGAAAATCTCAACCAAAAAAATGTCACAAAAATCCCTAAAATTTCATCAGTTCTGCGTGAAGCCAATGATGTATCAAGATATAATTTTAGAAGGTTACAGTTAAAAAAAAAATAAAAAAAAAAAAGGAGGAAGAAGGATGGTAACTTCAAAATAAAGGAGAGAATAGTGATATAAATGAGACAAGGTATTCGAGCTCAACTTGAAAAATTTTCAAATTCAACTTATATTTAGTCGAGCTCAAGCTCAAATTATGAGTCAGGCCACGTTCAACTATTGTAATACTTGACTCGGGTGGCTCCCAAGCCTAATAATTTTTTATACGTTTCATGTTATATAATTTTAGATACATGTCATGTGTTATATATATTATCTAAATAATAATTTATTAACTCAAGCTTATTTGAGCTCATTCGAGCTTTATATTAACCTAAACAATAAGTATTTCAAGCATTTCTTTCAGCGAGCTTGAGCTTGAAAATTGAAAGTCGATCAAGCACAAGTTGAGTTTCAAGCCTCGAGTATTCTAATTGAGTTGAGCTCAAGCTCAGCACTGTATATGCTCAGCTCAACTCAATTGTACCCCTGGGATAGAACAAGCTGATGGATAAAGGTATATTATTACAAAAATAGATTATGGATAAGCACCTTGTAGTTAACTACCCAGTTTAAAAGATCATCGATAATCAAGCGCTCAACCATATAATGCTCACTAGCTGTGTTGTTCACGCAGGTACTATTTTCGATAAAGCCATCATTATTCCTTCTCAGATAATAACCTGGAACAACCTAAAGAGAACTTGAAGTCGGAAAATCAGTGGGGACTAACCCTCTACTGTAATTAAATATATTAGACACAAATTTGTAATTAAAATCCCAAAGCACTAACTAAAGTACCATTAGATAACCACAAATGGACATTGGAAATTAATACAAATATAACCTTATCAAGAACAGAATTTCCATCAAAAGGCCCATTTCCATGCAAATGATTATAGACAACATCCAACACAACACGGAGACCAATACGATTAAGTGCCTGCAATTGATAAGAATCAATGACAAGAAAATGTCAAATATTAACTGCACTGACAATCTATAGCTCCAAAACCAATATAATCATGGTCTATGTTCAACATCAATCTCACAAAATCTGTTCACCATCATTAGAAACTGGAGGAGAACAAAGTTCAGACCTGAACCATCTTTCTGAACTCAATTGTACGGCAAGCACCATCTGGATTGCTTGCATAACTTCCTTTAGGAACCCCCCAAAGAACAGGATTGTACCTACACAAGGCAAAAGAGATATGAAAATGATATTGTTTCAATTCAAATAAGCCTGATAATAACATTTGTCACAATTAGCATTTAGGAGCATACCCCCAATTATACCCATCATTATCTTGGATGGCTGTTATCAGAGCTTGTTGCTCAGATGAATCTGGTGATAAATGTTCTAGCATCTTGTTATCTGCAAAAGCCTTAACGTCATACATATGAATGATGGAACAATAACAAGACATATCAAGGAAATTGATCCCAGCATTTCCTATTTTAGAATAGATACAAGCACATTGCAGAATAAAAAGCTTTCACCATCTAATTTTTATCATAGATTCCTCATATACAAAAATATATATTAGCAACAAAATTGTTCCCTGCATTATCCTGAAATAATGTTCCAATGAGCATAATAAATTCTTAGACTCTCTTTCAGGATATGGAAATCACCGTTCATCAATATTCCTTCTAGTGTTTCAAAGCAACTTACTTGGCAAAATCCAATTGACATGCATAATGAATTAGCATTGGAAAAAAGAATGAGCATCATAATTTTTACAAAGTAGTGAGATTTGCAGCAGCAACAACATGATTTCAAACCAGAATTGCAACCATCTATGTACTCTGTTGAATGAATAGCACACAAATGCATCACTAGTACGCTTTGGAGTAATGCAGATTACAATCACTAAATTTCATATTTTGAAGAAAGAAGTATTCTTACCCACACGCTTCCAATTCTCCTTAACGTCATCAACCTCAGCAAATTGAAATGCTGGGAGCAGATGGACATGAGTAATCCCAGCATTTGATAATTTCTTTAGATGAAGTACACCTGCTGAATCCTTCAAGAAAAAATGTGAAAAATGTTAGATGTTACATTATTACACTAGTTATTCCTAATGTGAAAAATAATTGAAAACACGCACAAATAGAGCTCCATTCCCTCTTATTTATGCAATATTGTGATGTATTAGGCACCAATTAATGTATCAGAAAAAGTCAATAATGGTAAATTTGGTAGCAGCGATAAATATTATTTTACTGAGAATAGAGAGCTACTTGATTTGCAAGCAAATGACATGATTTAAATTGGGGTTGCAGTCATGTGTAGGGTACACAGGGCCCATACAACTACAATGTAACAGGAAAGGCTGTAATTGCACAAATTTTTTTATAAAACCCAAAATAAATAAATAAATAAATAAATAGATATTGAGGAATTGACATAAAACTAAGCAATGCTGTTGACTATGAGCATAACAGCATAATTAAATGACAATAAATCCATGATTTATATTCATAATTTATCAATCTACTTAAAAAACAGTGCAAAAGAGAAAATTGATTACAGACCTAACCTCGTCAATAGAGTGTATGCTTGTGACTCTTAGCTTTGAGTTAGAGTGTTTTGTTGTCAAAATGAAATCAAGTAAAAATTTCATATATATTTTGAGAGATTTAAGCCAATATAGACCAAAAGAAAGGAGAAGAGAATGGGTGGAAACTGAAAAGTATGGGAGAAGAAATTGGAAGAGCAATAGATTCCAATAATAAATAATAGAAGAACAGAACTACCTCCAAAGTGAAGGCCAGATAACCACCCCGAGAGTCAGGATGTACAGTTTCATCATTGGCACTGCAATGATGGCAGAAAATACCAGAATCACAAGCCACAACAATACAGCAAATAGCAAAAATAAACAATCAAATATATCCAAGTGACTTGTTTTTAGCAAATGAACCTTAAATTGGTACTCTTTATTTCTAATACTATATGATGATAAGAAAGGCAAGGAAAAATACAACTCAAGGGATGTACCTAAAATCTCTTATATGCAACTCATAAATACTAATGTTGGAGAAAGAAAGTAAAGTGGGTTTTTCATCGGATAATTCATCCCATCCTTCAGGTTTTGTAGCATTAGAGTCGAGATTCACCAATAACGTCCTCTTTCCATCTGATGAGAGTCTGTTCCAACAAAGAAACAGGATGAAAACAAAGGATTCAGCAGACAAGCTTGCTGTTGAATCAATAGAGGGATAGCAATACATTTTTAAACATATTGCATTTATCAGTAGTGTTTTATAATGTCTTAGTATATGTAAACAACTTAACTATTTTTCAGACAATTGTTCGCAAACTGAGACAACCAGCATACCCTCTAGCATATGGATCATTTGCATAGCATTTTTCAATGCGTAATGTGCTAGGATGGTAGACAGATACTTCATATACGTAATAACAACCTTCCCAGTCTTTTGGTCCTGTAATGCTCCAAACTCCATCAACCTCCATGAGCTGACCAATTTCCAAGGGTTCCTGGTTGAATGAATCCCTATAAATACAGGCATGAACTGCCTATTTTTACACAAAAACAATTGAAAAAGTCATGGTTGATTCTACATAGGAAGACAGGTCCATAACAGTGCACAAACAAAAAAATAGCTCTGTTAAAATTTGACATACTTGAGCAGTGGGAGCCCAAAGATGGAGTGATACAGCATCTTCAGAATAATGTGCACCAAGGGGACCATCATATGAGAATAATTCATCCAAAATACCAGGTAACTGCATACCAGTAGCATCCTTACATTTCCCAACAGCTGTTTTAAAAGAAAAGAAAGCATTATGGTGGCAAACATTTAACTGTTTGTACCCAGATTCCAGAAATAGATCTAAGTGAATTGGTCAAATGCTCTACTTCTCAACAAATAGATCTATGGATGCATTTAAATGTAAATGTAATTTCAATAATCATTTAGTAATAGCACTAATAAGTTACCAAAGAAATGAAAATATTAAATTTGAAGGGTAACCCAAATAAGGTCCACCCTATCTGCAATGCTTTGGAAGAAAATTTCAGAAACATTTTTGTACTTCCTCTCAATTTTTCAATTAAAAGGTCACTGTTCTTGATACTCAAACTTGCATTGATTTGGTTTCAGGTCCAAGTCTTTTTGCCATTGCTCCAGTCAACAGACCCCAGTTATTTATATAATTTTACAAGGGTACATTTGCATGAGTTAATCAAAACAAACAAGCTCAAAAAAACACTCACAGTCAAATGCCGCAACTGCTAATTGGCATTTGAGAAGAGGTTTGGCATCAAGAGCTGACGGCACTTTAAAAGCTTTATAATCCCGAATATGAGGAAATTTTGCAACTACCTGACAATGTCAAAATCGCAGAAATGGCTCAATTAAAGGAGTCAAATGTCAATGAGAAGTTATGATGTGTTAAATCAAGAATGATGAAAACTTTAGGCACAAACAACTCTAAAATTCAAGGAAAACTATCGACAATGCATCTAAAAAATAAATGGTGCTGCAATGAACTTAATTGTCTTACATTTTCTGGAAGCCCGCCATCATCTTTCTCAAGCTTAAATTTCACGAAATGGCCTGTTAGCATGGGAACTCATTATCTACTAACAAAAAATCACTTGATCTAAATGCAAAATGTTTCACAGATTAATTTGACATAATTGAGATAAGTTGGTAGTAACAGAAACTACAATGAAAAAGTGCCTATCAATAATCAGAAGTGGTAATAGAAATTAGTAGGATTACAAGCAAAAATTTTACTAATTGTGGGAAGCTTATTTTACATTTCTATTATCCGAACCCATCTCAAATCTAATTAATATTCACTTCTTACAGTGGTAACCTTCCCAAATCGGGTTAACACTGTCCTAATGCCTAAATTCATTTAATTTATTCATATATTGAATTGATAATGTATGTATTATAACTATTTTTATATTTTAAGTTTTTAATTATATACCAATAATTTTACTTTAGTGCTGCTAGAGTTGTTTTCAAGAATGCGAGTTTCGGATCAAAATTATAAAAAAATGACCATTTAAAATATTTAAACTCTCTTTTTGTTAACAAACTATTGTAAATTTCACTGGGCTAATTTGGCATTTTATTATCAATAATAAAAAATTTGAGTAAAAAATTATCCCTTATAATCAAAAGTTACCAAGAATCCTTGCGAAGTTAATCCTAGAAAAAATTTCAAAAGTAACTTTAGGCCCATAAAAGTCATACATACTGTAAAAAGATATCTATTGGATTCTAACTTTTGTCATTTGATTCATAACTGCTATTATTAACATTTAACAGTCTTCTCACGCACCTAAAAAAAAAAAAAAAAAAAAAAAAAAAAAGTAACTTTTAGCCATAAAAAGTCATACATACTGTAAAAGCACTTTATGTACCTCTCTCGAGTATTTCTCAACTTTTGTCATTTATTCATAACTGCTATTATTAACATTTAACAGTCTTCTCACGCACCTGAAATTACAAAAAAAAAAAAAAAAAAAAAAAGAAAAAAAAAAAGAAAAGAAAAGAAAAGAAAGAAAATAAAAAACTGCTAGTAAACGCAGCAATGCCAAATGAGAGATAAAGTATTTATTTTTACATGATATTTAATCATTTAATCAAAACGGATATCCAACTCACTCAACCTATACCCTACCTGAAACCAAAACCGTCTGACACATCATTTAACTCCAATCATTCATTTTAATACTTGAATTATAAGTAATTCGGGTCAGGTAGGGAATTAACTAACCCGTCTCCATCCCATTATTCCCATCCTAGACTACCCATTTATGATTTTCAGCAACAACCAATGATGATCAAATGAATAGAAAACATAATCCAAACCTTGAACGCCATCATCGTTAACAGATAATGATGCAGTCTGACTTGCATATAGAAAGCAAGAACCATCCACTCCAATATCCACATTCCAAGCAATTATAGATTCTGTTACCCAGAAAGCCTTCGAGTACAACAAGCTGTCCTGCAACTGCATATTACATGCATCAATTAACACATTTTAAATGAATCAAACAAATTCAACACATTGCTTGTTTTAATGTCTCAATTATTAAATTAAAATCATAATTAATTGATGAACCTGCGAAGTGGAATTTGGGACTTCTTGAAGAGACATAGAGGAGCTGCGAATTGGGTATCTGTGAATGCTTTTAAAACGGTTTGGAATAGAGAAGTGGAGGTGGTTATGGTGGTTTCGTCTCAAATTAAGACGACGTCGTAGGAAAAATGGTGAAAGAGAAGTAGAATAGTGAGTGCTGGAAATGGAAAGAGAAGCAATTAGTGGCGATTTGATAAGCACCACGGACATTGTTAAGCTCTGGCCTTCTCTCTCTGTTTCTGTTATGAAGACAGATTCTCAAAATTATATATATAGTTTTCTTTTGTTCAAGCATCAAAAATTCAAAATTAAAAATTTCCTAAAATATAAATTACTATTTAATTTTTTGGTTTACACTTAATTAAATTTAATTATATAATTTATATACACTATTTAATATTTAGACCCCTTAATTAATAGTAAATTTAATATAAGGATTAAATAATATAAAGGATATGAAAATGAGGAATTATATAATTAAATTTTGTAAATAAATATTTTAATTATTTGAGTACAATTGAGAGATTAAATAATAATTCAGTTAAATATATATCACTTGTTTCTTTTTTATTTATTTTTTTGTCAAGAGTTTTTTTTTTCCTCAAAATAATTTTTTTTGTGCACAAAAGAGTTTATGATTAAAAAAAGGATTTTTTTTTTTTTTTTTGAATTTTTCTTCCTTCGTTGAGTGATTTGGCAAACATACCTTGAACTGATATTTCTGCCCTTGAAATGATCCTATTTCTATTTTTAGGAATTCACTTTTTCTTTGCTCCCATTTATTATTCTTAAAAAAAGGTCAATTAGATAATAATAATGTATCTTATTTCTTTTTTGGTAGTGATAGAATAAAATTATGTATGGGTATATTCCTTCAATTTGTAAGGATCATGTTTTATTCTTATTATTATAAAATTTACGGAATTATACAATTCTTACCAAATCATATCTCAATCAAATAATATTTAGAACTACACTAAAAAAAGCTATGTAACTTTGACGAGGTGAACAAATTTTCATACAGGCGAATTAAAGATCCTACCAAGTGAAGTATTTCATATAGTATCATATGTTAAAAATGCAGTTAGCACACATAAATGAATAAATTAATCTGTTACTCGACCTCGACGCTCATCACTGCCGAGCCTTTGGCGCTCATCATTATAGAGCACCGACGCTCGTCAGAGTCTATGTGCTCATAAAAGAAAGAACAACTTAGCTTAAGTAACTTTGAATTTAGTGGCAACAATCTCTATTTCTTAGCCATATAGGAGATCTTATAAACCATAAAGAGATCATACAACAAGAGATCAAATAGATTATTCCGGAATTCGTAAGATAGAAATACAAAATAATATATTATTTAGATAAGTCTCAAAATGATTTATGGACCAACCAAATTTACTCTATTAATTGTATCTATTCTCAAAATGATTCTTTTCTTTTCTATTCTTTTCTATCCTTTTCTATCAATATTAGATTTTTTTTTTTTTTTGCTATCTTTCTATCCCTTTCTTCATCAATATTAGATTTTTTTTTTTTTATGGTGATAAGATTTCTTTTCTTTTTTTTTTTTTTTTTTTTTTTTTCAGTCAATTGAAAGTTGCATAATAAAATTTATATATGTGCTTAAAAATTAACTATAATAAAAACTCATTTGTTTCCGTAAAATAATTTATAGAAAAATGACAAAGAAAAACATTGTCCGAATATTAACAAACTTATAATAATCTTATGAATTCATATTTTTTTAATTTATCAATCATCAGTACTACCACCAGTATCGTCACCACTGTCGGCCACCGCAACTATCACCGATCACCGGTGACTTTCACAATTTACTATTTTTTGCATTATTTTTATATTTAACAATAAAATTTTTTAAAGGCTAAGATTTTTATTATTATTAATATTTTTATGGCCTTATGAGTTGAAAATTTGAATATTTTTAACTAATTTTCAATATTGCAACCAAATAACGTAAAATAAACCTTCAAGAAATAATTTTTGTTAAAAAATATTTTTAAAAAATAAGTTATTTTGCAAAAACAAAGAGAACCGGCGCATACTAAAGTGATAAGATACAATCAAACTGAATAGATAATATCTAAAAGATTAAGGATTTAATTTGGGGATTTATTATTAAAATTGTCCTTTTATCAATTAATAGGTATTTAAACATCAAATCAAAGAACAAATTGTCTTTACTAAAAAACAAAAAAAGTATTGTCGATTTGATAACAATAATAATATATAAACTCTCAAAATTCCATGCATCTTTTGATTATATTCCTACGGTTGGAATTTAATGTCAATTTGATAATGATACATATAAAATCTTATAATTCCGTGCATCACTTGATTATGAAACCACTATTGAAATTAAATGTCAAATTGATAATGATTTATATAAATTTTTGGAATTCCTAACAATAATTGGACCGGGCTATAGTTAATGCAAAATAATTAATGTAAATATTACTCCCTCTGTCTCAAAATATAAGTTGTTTAAGGTTTTTGTACAAGGATTAAGGACGCAATTAATTTCCTACATTATAACAAATTTAATGGTAATTTGATCAAATTATCTTTTATTTCAAAACCAATAGTTATTTGTGAAGTATTTATTATATTTAGTGTAAACAAATGACATTATTAGAAAAACATCTTTTATTACTTTTTGAAATACACAAACCGACTTATATTTTGGGACAGTGGGAGTAATTTATAAAATTAAACGAACTGGCTAAAATTAAAAATAAATCTAAAGTTTTTTTTTTTATCATTATCCTTTTCAATCAATCTATCTATCTATGATATATAATTTTTAAAGTCTAAATGCTTATTTAGCAACATGTTAGACATGACATTTTATTTTTTTTATTATAATTAATATCTTTTATATTTAAATAAAAATTAAATATTCTTTATTAAATAATGGAGTTATAATTAAATTAATATGATTTCATTATAATTAATATATAATAAATAATTCTTATTAAATAATGGAGGTTTATAATTATGAATGATGATTTCCATTATAATTAATATATAATAAATAATAAATTTTAAATAGTTTCTATTCTATAAAAAAAAGACCCTAAATGGAGTTATAATAGAGTCATAGTAGATAAAAATTTAATTTAAAGATAGTAAATAGAATTAAAAAAAAATAGAATTGAAAAATATTAATTTTTATTCACTGGAAAATTTTTTTTCATTAAGATTAATATTCCTTATACTTCATTTAATATTTGAATATACGTAAAAATTTCAAAAAGAGAAAAAATAATAATTAAACTAAATAAATCAATGAATAAATTTATAATAATTAATTGAGTATTTCAGTTCAATATAAAGAGAAAAAATAAATAATTAACTAAATAAATCAATTGAATAAATTTATAATAATTAATTGATATTTCAGTTCAATATTTGAGAATTTAAAAAAGACTCTATAATTTTACGTTCCATCATTTAATCAAAAATACATAAACAAATTATTTAAGTTAAAGCAATGCAAATATAAATTAAAATAATTTTTAAAAAATATTATATTTAATTTAATTAAAAAAATAGAAAATTATACCATTCGCGCACGGGTATTGGGCTAGTTTTTAATTAATGACATGGTAGATCAATCAACCATTGACTCAACATGGGGTGAGGTTCATTAATAGCCGGGTCATTGTATTCCTAATCACAATTAAATATAGGCTATACAGATAAAAAAAATAATTAATTTATTAATTTAAAATATCAATTTATAAATTAAAAATTATTATTAACTTTTTTTTAAAAAAAAAAAAAAAGCAAAAGATCAAGTAGTTTTCTTGAAAATCTTAACTTTATGACTTTACCCCATTAGGATTCCGAATTTTAATAATTATTTATTGTGCTCCTACAATTATAAATTTTAGTACTAACATTATATATTTTTTCTTATAATCAACAATAATTTTTATGATTTCATTTCTTATGTAACAAATATTAATTTAATGTGTGATCAATATAATTTTTAGAGCAACAATTTTCATATTTTTCAACTATTAAATAAGCATTTAATCATTTTTCTAATTTTATCAGTTGGACATTTCAATAAAGTGATTTTATAAGTTAAAATGCTTAATTACAAGCTAATTGTTCGATAGGTGATTAAAAATTAAGAGTAGCGTTAAAATTTTCTTATAAAGTTGCAGCACCAATTTATGTATTTGGTGCAAATGTCAATTTGATAATTATATATGTACATAATCTCTCAAAATTCCATCCATCACTTGATTAGGATCCTGTTTAGTGTCATGATTGAAAAACTTTGAAATAGTCGATTAAAAAAATTTTCTTAGTATCTTAATGGAAAAATATATTTGGCTCAACTTGAATTTTTTATTATTCGAAATGTTAAAATGTCCTTCATATATATTGGGGGTAAAATTTGCCGCATTAAACATGTTGAAGACATTATTGACATTTTAACTTGCTAAAATGAAGATTGTGTGACACTTAAATTGAGCCATTTAACACAACTTTTAACAAAAAATAATTTTTTTTAAGTGTAATTTACATGTACGAAAATCACTTTCAAAGCAAAATTTAATCATCTTTGATCAAATATATTTAATAAATTATTTTTTTCCGCGACATATCAAATGATGTCAATAAAATGATTATTCCATAATCTAAAATAATTTGTTCTAATCGTTGAACCCGCATTCTAAATAAGAAGTCATGGAAAATTATAAACCCACAGCTTAAAGATAGCTGCAAAGCCCAATAAAAAATATCAACCAATACTTGTTGAGATTCGGCCTGATAGCAAGATTAAGGCCCATTTGAGTGTTTTTATTAATACATTGGCGGTTATTTGTTTCTGTTGAACCACAGTTTATTATACCTCGAACTTATCCTCTTATAGCATATTTATCATACCTCGAACTTATCCTCTTATAGCATATGATAAAAAAAAAAAAAAAAAAAAAGCTTCATAAGCATATGATAAAAAAAAAAAAAAAAAAAAAAAGAGATTGAATTTTCTAAATCCAGTTTATGGTCTCAACCACGGAGTAAATTAATAAAAAAAAAAGATAATTTCTTAAAAGAGAGTATTTTTAAATATACACTGAGAAAAAATAATAAAGTAAAAAATTTTAAAAAATTTTATATTTTTTATATTATTTATCTGAACAAAAGAAATAAATTATTTATCTAAATTTGTGCCATAGATTCCATATAAAAAATATAGGTATCTAAATTTCCAAATGATCAAATCGGACTTGTAGAAAAACTATAGAGTCGAACAATAGCTAGAGTAAGCGATCGCCGATACAAATATTATGCTCTATCAACTCGATCAGATACTTCAAATCAAGATTGTGTTTTTTTATTCTTATATAAGTGGTTTATTATTAGACTTCCTATATAAAAATATTATTCTTTTTTTTATTTTTTAAAATATCTAAAATAAAAAATTAATTTATACCCTTTTATTTATTTATTTTATAATGCAGGCAATTTACTTGCTATCAAATCCAAATGGGAATATAAAGCTTTATGAGTTTGTGATAATATTTGGATGCTTAATGTTGATATTAGCTCAAATCCCATCTTTTCACTCTCTAAGACACATCAGTTTGATATCCTTGCTTCTATGCCTAGCTTATAGTGCCTGTGCCACTGCTGGTTCTGTTCATATTGGTATGTGCATCAAAATATATCTTTTTTTTTTATTTTTTTAAAATCGAACCTTAAATCAATTTTAATTAATTAAAAATAAGCTATTTGAAATAATTGAGTATTCAAATTTATATTTCAAGTAAAATTATAAGTTTAGTATTTTAACGATTCATTCTCTGATAATATTAGTAATTTGTGTAAGTAATTTGAATTAAAAAATTAAAATTTTTATTCTTAATTTAACTATTCTTTTTGCACAGGAAATTCATCAAAGGAACCAAAGGACTATTCTCTAAAAGGAGACACTCAAGACCGTGTTTTTGGATTCTGTAATGCAATTGCTATCATCGCGACAACATATGGCAATGGGATCATTCCAGAAATTCAGGTTTGAATAGTATGTAATATTGTTGTAATTAAAAGATAGATTTAATGTCATAGCCCTACCCTTGGTAAGTATTGTCCGCTTTGGCATAGTCCCCGGATGGCCCGGATGTCCCTACACCTCACGGTTTTGTCCCTTGGGCATAGTCCCACGGATGGGCCCGGATGTTCCCTACAACCACTTCACGGTTTTGTCCCCTTTGAGCCAGGGGTCAACGCACTCTGGCCAACTCAAAAGGCGCCTACCAAGGTAGGAGACTACCCCTACTTATGTATAGATCAGTTTACCTCGTCCGTAGCCGATGTGGGAATTCGCCTAAGGTCGTAATGCCCCCTGATGTCCAGGGATGTCACATTCACCCCCCCTAAGTGGATTGCAGCGTCCCTGCCGCTGAAGATGTTGGGCCCACCCACTAGAGCCATGCAGGGAACGGGGCCGGCGAGGGCTCTAGAATCTAACCAATGTCATAGGCATCCCTTACCCTTGGTAAGTATATGTCGGCGCTTTGGCATAGTTCCCCGGATGGCCCGGAATCCTGACAACCTCACGGTTTTGTCTCCCTTTGAGCCAGGGGTCACCCACTCTGGACTCAAAAGGCGCCTACCAAGGTTAGAGACTACCCCTCTTCATGTATGGAGACTACCCCTCTTATGTATAGATCGTTTACCTCGTCCGTAGCCGATGTGGGATTCGCCTAAGGTGATGCCCCCTGATGTCCAGGATGTCACATCTAATGATCTTCTTAACACCATCCTAGAGCCGGATACAACTGCACACCAAGCATGGGAACGTTTGAAAAATACTTTTTAGGATAACAAAAATTCTCATGCTGTTTATCTGGAAAATCAATTCACTCATGTTCATCTTGATGATTTTTCAAACGTTTCTGCTTATTGTCAGGGACTTAAGATGCTTGCTGATCAACTTTCAAACATTGGTGCACCGATCTCAAATCAAAGGTTAGTTCTCCAGTTAATTGCCGGATTGAATGAGAATTACGATGGTGTTGCTACTTTCATTCAATAGAGTGATCCATTGCCTCCGTTTTATGAGGCACGTTCAGGGCTTGTCCTTGAGGAAACCCGCAAAGCTAAGCAAACAGCCACAACCTCTAATGCTGCGGGAACTGCTCTTTTTACTACTGGTAGTTCGGATAATAATTTTGTCTCTGGTCGTGTCTCAAATCGTGGCTCAAGTAATCAGTACAATCGCAGTAATAACGGACAGAAACGAGGTCAGCCTCGAAACAATAATAAAAGACAAAGCAATGGTGGCCATAACCACAGTAATGGACATCCACAAGGGGGGCAGCAGTGTTTTTGGCAGCAGCACCCACCATTTTATTCGTGGTCTGCCTATCCACCATGGCACTCATGGGGTCAGCAAGCTTGGACTTCACCACCATGTCCACATCCAACAACTCCTTGGGCACGTCCACCTGCACGACAGTCTGGAATTCTAGGATCTCATCCACAACAAGCATATGCTGCATAGGCATTTCCTTCTAGTTATGCACCTACTGATATTGATGCTGCAATGCAAACCATGTCTCTTAATCCTCATGAAGAGCTTTGGTACATGGACACATGAGCTACTTCGCATATGACATAATCTACAGGTACTCTCTCGTCTTATTTTAATATGAGCAATAATAATAATATAATTGTTGGAAGTGGACAGGAAATTCCAATTCGTGGTTATGGACACACATCTCTTTCCCCACCACACCCACCATTCCATTTAACCAATGTACTCCATGCACCCAAACTCATTAAAAACTTGGTTTCTATGCGTTGTTTTGCTATTGATAATAGAGTTTCTGTTGAGTTTGATCCTTTTGGTTTTTCTGTAAAGGAGTTATGGAGAGGGATGCCACTAATGAGATGTAATAGCATTGGGGACCTTTATCCTATATTATGTTCTCCAGTTCATTCTCCATCTCCTTTTGCTGCTCTATCTTCTGCTTTATGGCATCATAGATTGGGACACCCAGGAACATCTATTTTAAATTCTCTTAGCAAAAATAAGTTTATTGATTGTAAACTTTTTTCTTATTCGTGATTCCTGTGTTTTTAGGAAACATGTTAAGCTGCCTTTCCTTTTTCTGCTTCTTTTTCTTGCACTCTACTGCCGATGTGGGATTACCCACATACTCCAACACTCCCCCCTCAAGTGGGACTACCCACTTGACAAGCATACGATGGCCCAACACATGGGTCCATCAGGGTACACATCTTAATAAGAAAGAAAAATCCGGTAATTTTTAAGGGTAGAGAGTTGGTGCTAGTTGTATATGGAAGACATAGTCTTGAAAATAAGTTATTTTATTTAAACCTAAATTTTTGCGTTTTATTAGTCTTTATAAACCCTCAAAGGATGATACGTACTAATTCTATAGCTTATTTCCAGGTTTGATACATTATAATTTTCTTGTACTCCTTTTAGGCACAAAACGTGTGGGACACAAAATTGGATGAATGCTTTATATATTACTTAAACTAGTGCAGTGTGCATATTTTCCATTGATATAAGTAGACTATCCTTTATATATTCTTTTATTCAGCATTAGAAATTGTAATACCACTATATTTTCACTCTCTCTTCTATTTAGCTCCTAGTCTTTGTTTATAATTTGACTTATTGTTGGCATTTTTGTGTCTAAAGCAAATCAACGAACGATTGGAATCTCTTGCCCTGTGAACGATATGAACACATAAAACGCCCTCTTATTTTCCTTTGGTTTTTTTTATAATTTTGCAAATAAACTTTTTGCAAATAAAATTCTGATTCAGGTTGGCAAATTCTCCGTTATTTTATTAACTTGTTATGCTTTGCTGGTTTAGTAGCGCGATTCTAGTTGTTCATTTAATAGCTTGTACTCTCTGGGGTGGGAATTTTTTTCAACTAGGTACGGCTAGATTGAAATTAAAATCAGCTCACTCGCAATGAGATTAAAAAACATTTGAGTGATACAAAATATACTCATTTTGTAAACTAACTAATGCCAATTAGCTGAAAATAATTTGGTGATTGTAGAGAACTTTCATTTCGCACTGTTCCTTGTGTTGGGCGTAAAGGCCCAATTGGAGAGATACTTCAAATCAAGATTGTGTTTTTTTATTCTTATATAAGTGGTTTATTATTAGACTTCCTATATAAAAATATAGAAATATATTAATCTGTATCTCATATTAGTATACAGTTTCCTCTTATTTAAATTTCTAAAAGAAAAGAAAAGAAAACTCAACCTAACATCATTTTCATCTTGAGGCTTTTGGAATCTCTATATCTAACATCTAGAATCCAAAGCCAAAGTCACAATCTAAAAGAAAGAAAATCCTATTTAAGGTTAAGTTGGTCTAGTTGTTATGAGACATGTTGAATAATTATTTTTTTAAACCTAATTTGGTTTTATTAGTCTTTATAAACACCAAATATTAGTCTAATCTTAGCTAACCAGGTGTACATTATAATTTGATCTTGCAAAAACGTGTGGGACCAAATTGGTGAATCTAACACTATCATAGGCATGTGCATTCCATGATGATAGTGATACCATAATCATAGAAATTAAACCACCATACATTTCTTTATTAGCTCCTAGCTTTTTAATTGACTTGTTGCATTTTTGTGGTCTAAAGCAAATCAACGACCATTACTCCTCTTTCCATGTGAACGATACTATTGTTTTCAATGAAAAATTTTTGCCAAAATAAAAATTCTATCAGGTTGGCAAAATTAGTTATTTTATTAACTGTTAGTTGTTTTAGTAGCGTTTAGTTATTAATTATTTGAGTAATTTTTTCATAGAACGCTAAATTAAAAATCAGTCACTCGCAATGAGATTAAAAAATTGGTGATAAATTACTTTTTGTAACTAACTAATGCAATTAGGTGAAAAATAATTGTGATTGTAGAGAACTTTATTTGATGTTTTGTGATTGGGGTAGCCCAAAGAATTAGCCATGATAGTGGGATCTAATTAGATGCAGTAATAATGGCAGACACTCACCATGAATGGTTGGTGTGCTTCATGGAAAGGGAAATCTCAAGGAAGATTTATGATTGTCTGTTATAGTCATACATAACAATCATTTTTCTACTTTAACACATAACAGAAAAGCAAAAGCAAGAACAATAATCTAAATTATATACATTTATAACCATAATAGATCATTTTCAGCTAATTTTGGAGAATTCAGAACTCATTTTCACATTGTACATTACTAAGTCTCTATCTTGACATAATAGAGAAAATGAAGAAAAAAAGTTAGAATCTTTAATTCTAGAAGATAAAAATATAGAGAGAAAATTTTCAATCTAAAAACATGATTATATTGCTAACCATCTATTTCATTCTGATTATACCTTAATTTTCCAATGTATAACAGAATGAAAAAGATGTGCATATAAAATTCTTGACTTGTCAATGGAAAGCAATTTTTTGATGCTTGCTATTAGGGGAAGAAGAAGAAGAATTAAGGCTTTCAAAGATTTCCAAACCCCTTTTCTTGCTAAAGCAAGCATTAAAACTATTGAAAGAGTCTTGATGAACTAGCCGAGCCGTCGGAGAAGAAATGGTAACAGGTGGGATTTCAATGGAGTCTAGTTGTGGAGGTGGATGCTGCCATTGAGGCAGTGGTCCGGCCAGTAAAAGGGTCTGCAGGAGCGGTCCGGCATCTTTTACTGCCTGCAAAAGCTTACCTTTTTGAGGCAAAGGCCTTTCTGCTGCTAATTTTAGTATTACTTCTGGTAATGGAGATTCTATCATTGGTTCACTAACAGTTGTGTAATTAGTGGAATCAGAATCTTCATTGCTGTAAGTTACAGAAATTGGCGGAGCTTCTTGCTTGAGGAATTGCATTTCTTCTTGTAGTTGTTTTTCCTGGTTCTTCTGCAGAAGTGGAGGCTCTTTTTGCTGGTTCTTTAGCAGAGGTAGTTGAGCTTCAAGTTTTTCCTGCATTAGCTTTTGGCATTCAAGTTGAGCTTCATTTCTTTCTTTAGCAGTCTTGGTTAAAAGTTCTTTGAGATTATCAATCTCAAATTCTCTTCTTGTGATCTCTTCTTTTGCTGAAAGAATTGTAGCCTCTAGTTCTGTTATGTACAACAGACAATGTCTTAACTCTTCAATTCCCTGTAAAGATTTTACCAAATTAAGTTAGCAATACCCACTTGCCAAATATAAACTTAAATACAAACAAAACATAAACCCATTATCAAATTTTACAATTCATCACTACCCATTTCCCCAAAACTAAAATTAAGCTCAAGGAACATAAAAAGACCCAATTTTTTTACCTCATCTTGGTAGAAATATGCCCAATGATCCTCCATTTTTTGGTCAAGTAACTTTAAGAGAGAGCTTTAGAGTGTAGAGAATGGGAAAGTGTTATATATATATAGTTCTTTTCGTGGGTTTTTCAAGTTATTGTAAGAATTGAATTAAGTGCTTGAAGTTGGAGACTCTCTTTCTTTATATTCTCATCTTTTTCTATCATGGGACATGAGCGGGTAGACAAATACACTAAAGTCCAAAAAAAAAAAGGTGTATGCAAATCTTGGTGTTGCAAGATTTTATGTAGACAAAGGGCCAAAACTGTTAAGGAGGGAAGGAATGTGAAATTGCAAACCCTCTAGTGGCTCCAAAAACTATCCTGATATATGTGTGTATATATATATATATTATGCCTGCCCTTTTTTTCTTATATATATTTAGAACATAAGAGCTGCATGTGTCAGTAATGGACTTGCACGTGTACATGTTAAAGTAAATATGTGAGATGTTACTCAAAGAAGGGCTTCATTTGTCCCACACAATAGTTTCCATGTTTCTTTTCTTTTTTTTCTTTTTTTTTTAACCTATTTTCACTTTCAATATGTCATAAAAAGTCAGGTTTTATATATTTTTTATATGTAGAAAAGAAATATGTTTGGGTTGATCACAATCACCAATCATGATTTGATGCTCTTAATCAAAATCAATCATAATCTTATAACTTTTATTTATTAAGCAACTAATTAATTAATGCCATTTAAGAGTATGACATTTCATGTAAAAGTAATATGTTAAAAAATGATAAATAAAAAAGAACTTATTTGTTATAAAATTTATTGTATATAATCAGGAAATTTAAAATTATATAAGAATAAGTATGGTTATTTTTAGTATATTTATATTGGAATAGATTAATTTTAAAATTTTTTTGATAGATGAAAGTCCCAATGGACAGGAATAATTTTGTGGGCTACACAGCAGGAGGCAGCCCTTCCTTTCAAATAACATTCATTAAATTGGTGATAATTTTTATGTTGAAGATATCTCACTCCCTACATCTTCTACAAAATGTAGGAAGACTAATCAGACCACACCTAATTGTCAATTTAATTTTAAAGTTAATGATTGATAAAATTATTCTTATATAAGGTGGTTCTTATATAGAAGATGAATAAAAAAATTGAATTAATGCTTAAATAGCGTAAGGTGCCATTTAGTGTGACCTACTTCAAGAATTAATGCCAATTTTCTTATTTATCAAGAAATTAATACAAATTAGCTTGGCTTACTTATGAAAAAAAATGACATTTGAAAGAAATGAAATATAAATAAATTTTTTATAAATAAAAATTTATAGGCAAAATTAACAATTTCCATATTAATTCATTTTCAATTTGTACCCCTTACTAATTTTTGCCTTTATTAGTTTAAATTTTATATACAAGTTGTTAGTTTAAAAGTTTTTACTCTTCCTAAACATAATTTATGCTATTAAGCTCAATTAAAGGGCCTCTCTCTTTAATTACGGGTCATGAATTCAATTTTTACATGTTTTGGCGACTTCTTACACACTAAATAAATAAATAAATATGTTAAATTTTATGCAATTGAATGATATTTCTTGTTTTTTATAAGAAATTATTAATGTTAAAAATTTAGAATTTATTATTTATTTAAAGTATAAAAAGATAATCTCGATGAAACAAAAGGGAAGTCCAATTCAATAATATGAATGATTAAAGCCATCTTATCTAATCCTTTTTAATTTGTTTTGCCTTTTGAAAGTATATACCTCCTTTGTTCACTTTTTGACTCTTTTTTCTTCATGTACTAATCAGTATTATATACCATTGTTGCCTCCAAAGAATTAGTCTAATGGAAATCATGCTGGACAAACTTTTATTGATCATAAGTTTGATCCATTTCTGAGAGTCGTATCCAGAAGGAAAATTTTGAAAAAAATTAATTTATAAGTAAAATGTAAATGTTTTATATATCTTATAATGTAAATTTTAGAAAAATTTTAAAATTTGGGGGTTTGAGCCATTGCTGGTCATTTTTAGTTCTGCCATTGTTAATCTATAAAGAATTACACTTGAGATTTCTATAATTAGAAAAATATTATTCCCTCTATCCTATTTTGTTTGCTTGTTATTCTTTTTTTGGATGTCCCCAAATATTTGCAAAGTTTCTAAATATATATATGTAAACAATTATTTTTCCCGTGATAACCTTTATGATCCTTCATTAAATAAAACACTTTTATTAATATTTTAATGAGTTTATGGTAAAAGTCGGCAAAATAACTTTTGTTGACTAAATTCTTAATATGCATGTTTTGTCAAACTATGAAAATAAAATGAGACAGAGTAATTATTATTTTTCTTAATAGGGAAATAACACATGTTATATCAATAAGTGATGGCTCTAGGTATGTTTCAAAATGAGATAATTTGTTAATAAAAAGTGATTTTGCAATTTATCAAAATTTGTATCATTTTAAGTTTGATCTTGCAAGAATTTAATTTAATTAAACTAAACTTATAATCAAATTGGATAATATCATTATAATTTTATATTCGAGTCAGTTTAAAGTTCTAATATTATCAATTGTATTTAAACAAATATAATAAATCAAATGAAATTGAATTCTTGCAATATGAACATTGACCCTCACATTTTCTAATTTTTTTTCAATTACTTATCATTAATCAAAGAGTTTTTGATTTTAAAAGTTAGAAACTTTAATTAAGAATTTGAGATTTGAACAATTTTATAATTATTGAATTGTTGCTACAAAATAAAGATTTGTTGTTATATATATACACAAAAAGTAGAGCTACCAATAAAAAGGGAAATAGCAAAGTCTCTTGAATCGGGCATGGCATGTAAGATTTAAACTTTGTTACCGTGGAGCTTAGATTCACTAATTTAGACTCTATTTCATAACAATTTTTAAATAATTCATTTTAATTTAGACCGTATTTCATAATAATTTTTAAATAATTCGTTAAAATGCTAAATGCTAGCCATTTAAAAAATTATTCGATAACGTAACTTTTAAATTAATTTTTAAAAGTTATAATAGCATTCTAATATTTATAGAAACCCCTGGACTAAGATTAGATTTTGAAAAATAGAATTATTAGATGTGAAGTGCATGCACTCAGTCAGAGAAAGAAGCTAAACCGAAAAATGTTTGTTCATTTCCATGCGAAAAAAGAAAAAAAACAAAAGAAGAGAGATAATATTTGCTTCCTTCTGCCGGTGGGTGGGTCCTCTTAAACTCTCCATAAAGTATTAGCGGCTTCCAATTTGACCAATGTAATTATACTTCTGCTTTTTGGCGCTATGGAAATGAAATTGAGACTTCGGAATTAATTAATTTATCATTTTTTTTAATTAATAAATATAAACATATCGATTCAATCAGACATCTCTTATTAAATTGTTCGTTTAATAACGATTCTCAATATTATGTATGCCATAAAAAATATAATTAGATTTACTTTTTATAAATAAATTTGAAATTTACGATTTCAGGTAAAATTAATTCAATGTCATAGACTCCTTATAATTAATCATAGCAGAAATAAATCATTAATAATTAATGCTTATAGGTTTATTAATGGTTGAGATAATTATCAATATAATATGTTATTAATGAAAATTTTAATGATGTGATTAAAATTGAAACTTAGAAGATTTACACTTAATTATTATAATGAAATAAGGTAAAATTTTATTCTTTATAAATAAAATATTTAATACGTACTTTATATTAAAGAATTTTAATAAATAAAAAAATAAATATAGATATCAAAACGAGACAATATCGTATCCATTCACGAGAAAAAAAAAAAAAAAAAAAAAACCAATGAAAAAAAAAAAAAAAAAAAAAGACAAATGTCCAATGGAGCAATTGTTCTTTTTGCTTTCCACATGCAAATATTGCTTTAAGAAATTGTTTAATTTTAATGTGATAAGTGGTCCAATTGCATTTTGACACATCATAGTGCTTGTCATTGTCTTAAGTTAAGCCTCTTCCATGTACTTTTTCACCTTACACTACATTACATGTTCGGCGATTATATTGTTTTACAGATTAATTTTCACGCGTTACGCCATAAATATTATAAAACACTTGAATACATGTTTTTTATTCATTAATTACTGTCTAATATAAAAATGTTTTACATAAAACTCATATTTTCCAAACTAATTAATAATACCTCAAACGTAGGTTTCATTTGTACTCAGAAAAATAATTTATCTAGATATTTTATTTATAATATACATATACATTAATTAAAATTTTAATTAATAAGACTATTAAAACATTTAAAAGTATAGAAAATTTTATATTTTAAAAATTTATTGTTAAATAAAAAATAATATCTAAAAATAATAAATTGTGATAATCAGTGAATGGTGATTGACGGTGGAACTAGGAATGGCCAACGGTGACAACAGTCCTCCTAATTAATTAATAAATGTATATATTTTCTCTTTTAAAAGAAAAAAATTATTTTTCTTTAATTAAAAAAATTACTTTTTATTAACTGATTTTTTTAAGTACCTTAAATTTAAAAGTTTGACATTTTCTAAACAAGTTATTTTCCGAACACACACAAGCCTTATTCTCGAAATGTTGTCGTATTGGTGTTTCTAATCTGACTTTCCATGTGAAAATAGGAATACATGAAACATTGAATGCATTGTTGACTTTAGTTTTGAGGCAATTAATGAAAAACTTTTTATATTTGAAGACTTCCAAATCCATTTAATGCACGTCGATGAAGGATGATTTATTATATAACATGTAAATTTTGAGAATTCAATCTACATATGAGTAGGTACGGAACCAAATTAAGTTTTGACTAATTCAGTCTTGATTTGTTAGCAAACAAGTCAAGTCGAATTAGCCTAGATGAGAGTAATCCATCTTATTTTTTTAAGTAAATATATATTAAAAATTTTAATAACAATTATAAAATTTTATAATATTAAAAATTATTTTAACATAATCTTTAAAAACTATATTTTTGTTCCATAAAAAAAAAACCTATATTTATGTATAAAAATATCAGAAAGATATATATAATTTTTCTAATTAAATTAATATATGAGTTGACTAAAAAATCTATAAACGAGCAATTCATGAGTCTAGAGTCTATACTTAGTTCATTTATGAGTAGGAGTGTAAATGAGTCGAGTCGACCAGTAAATTATTTGAGTTTAATTCGAAAAGAGTTCGAAAAAACTCGGTTCAAATCGAGTTCGAGCCTGCTCATGTAGCAAATGAGCTGAACTCGAGCCTTACAAGTTTAGATATAATAATAATAATAATAATAATAATAATAATAATTTTAGATTATTCAAGCCTCAAGCCAAACTAGAATTTAAAATTTTTTGAGTTGAATTCGAGTCTGAAGTCGAGCTCGAGCTTTCGTGGAACCGAGTTCTAATCTAAAATTTTCAGGCATGTTGATTTTCAAGCCGAGCTCCGAGTCTGGCAGATTAAAGCTCGGCTCGGCTTATTTACAACCCTATTTGTGAACTCTAATTGAGATGATAATAAATAGCACACAAATAACTCATCTCAATTTCAACTATAAAAAGTTAAAAATTTAAAATAATATAAAATTAAAATATTTTATCAATCAAATATGGTATGGTTAGTCTTCTCACTTACATAAAGAACCAGAGTTCTCGAATTCTATTTATCGATTACAATGAGCCTATTATTTCAAACACAGAATATTGACAAAATATTTAAAATTGTTACGATTCTTCGAGAAAATATTTAATTAAAAACCTTGTTGAATCTTGGTTTTTTTTTTTTTTTTTCTTTGTTTTTTTTTTTTTTTTTCCGAATCTTTCTTCTGTTTTTAATTAATTAATTAATTAAATGTTCGTGCGGAACCCGCGGTTTGTAGTTGTGAAGAAGTTGAAATTGATGTGAGAAAACGGCTCTCCTTTTTGTCACCTTCTTTTACACTTTCGTTTTTTTTTTTTTTTTTTCCGAATCTTTCTTCTGTTTTTTAATTAATTAATTAATTAATGTTCGTGCAGGAACGCGGTTTGTAGTTGTGGAAGAGTTGAAATGATGTGAAAACGGTCTCCTTTTTGTCACCTTACTTTTACACTTTCGCATGTGAGAAGGTGATAGCCGGTGGACCCGCTTGTCACATTTCTTCCCCTCTTTTTTGGTCTAAATCTAACATTGTTCCCTTTTATTATTTTCTTGGTGAAAATTTTCAAATTTAGTGATCTATATTAATCAGTTAAAACTGTAAAAAGTTCATACTCAACGTATTTTAGACCTTATAGAACACAAGTATAATAAAATTTTGAAATTTTTAGAGAAAATAGCAGTCACTGTCAGCTCCTGTATTTGTCGTTTTATCATTACAAATAAGAATGAGGAAAGTTCAATTAAAATAGAAAGACGAGTATCGTTTGGTTTATTGGACATTTGATACTGTTTTAGTTTGAAATTTTAGATGATTTCGTTTTGGTTTTTTTGTTCATTTACACAACATGTGTGCTTTTCACACGAGATCAATCGGAATTAACCAAATCGATTTATACTGAATTGAATCAATGAATTTGATTCGATTTCAAATAAACTTCGGTGTAGTTTTAATTTTAGAAAAAAGAGAAGTTCGGTCTTCAGACTGAACTGCCCATTTGCACACCCCTAAATACAAATTCAAATCTCTCTTTATATGTATGTTAAGATTTGCTATGATGGATTACTCCTTTGTCATTCCTAATAATTTCACAATCTTGATGAGTTCAGATATCCATATATAGGGGTGACGGGTGAGCAAACAAACGAACTGAATCAAGGTCAGGAAATGCAAACCGAAGTTTTTGAATTACAGACTGAATCGAATCAGTCAGTTCGGCAGGATTTGATCGGGTTTTGCCATATTGCTTCGGTTTTAAGAACTAATAAATTTCTATAAAATTTACTCAAACTAACTAATAAATTCAATTCAAACCAAATAAATTGTTGAATCAAACCTCTCTTAAATAGATGACTGAGCCAAATCGAAGTCAGTGGTTCAGTTCCTCAGTGGTTTTGCACAACCCCACCCATATATATCCATTTTTACTGGCTAATACAAAGTTTCCAATTCTTCATTGCAATGACCCATCTTTTCAAGGACTTTGAATTCTTGTCCAAAAACTAAAGTGTCTAATACTGTATATTTATACTTCATTGCATGCACTATGCACTAGCGTCATGATTGGATAATGTATGTATAAAGTTCAACCAAATATAAGCTTAACATCAGAGAAAAAGGAAATGAAATACCCTCTATTAGATATACTGTCATACTAACATTATTATATGTCTTTACTGACAGTACACAATAACTATCTGCCACAAGCTGCAACAAAGACTATGATTGTGAGACATGTGAGTAAGGCCAGCAGCAGAAATAATTGACCAGACTGGATGGTTCTAACAGAAAAGAAAAGCTTTTAGCTTAAAACAGAAGAATTATGAAAGGACATTTTAATGCTGCAAGAGAGAGAATAGAGATTAACTGACCATTTATCTTTGAAATCAGGAGAAATGTATGTGACTATTGCAAACATAAAGAACCACATATGTTTAAGTCAAGTTTGGCAGTTCTTGTATAAATCTTTCAAGATCTAAAAATATGAAAATCTAAGCCATAACGACACATCAAGAGACCAAAAAGAGGTATAAAATGAAACAATGGAAAATTTGGAAGCTAAATGAAAAGCTATCAACAATGATCTTCATTTGTTTATGGGCAGAAACTAGAAGCTTACCTTTGAATTTCCCTCTATTATTCCTTTTCTTCATGTTGACAAAACAAGCATCTACATGACCTTAAAAGTTTGTTTGTTAGACTATAAACATCTGCCCAGCTCAAATTGATAGAGGGAGAAAGAGAACATTAAATTACACCAAATTGGAAGTTTGGCACTGGAAATTCAATGGTACATCTTGATTGAATTTGTGTACTTCGTAATCATCAACCACTAATTATGGTAAAATTTATGAGTTCTAAATTTACAATGATTAATAGCAGCATTTATACATAAAAGAATCTTTTAAACAACATCAAGGAAGCAAAAAAATGGCAGGATGTAGAAATTTCGCTTGCTTCTTCACTTTCAGGCTATGCTATGTTATGCTCCCCAACAAGACGAATGGTTAGTTTGAGAATGAATTTCTAATCACTCAGTTCTGCGCATCTTAATGTTAAGTGGGATTTCCTTGTATGTTTGAATCTTCTCAGCTGCTTGTCGCTTGGGTCGAATAGATGGCCTTCCTAATTCTTGAGCTTCAGATCCAGGGGCGGTTGGAACTGCTTCAGATTCAACTTTTAGTGATGAGAGTGATGCTGTTGGACCACATTCGTGTAGAGGTGAAACAGAAAATTTAGCATCATCTTTCAGAACCAAGTCTATGGCTGGTTCTTGTATTTGTTCTCTGCATTTAAGCCTAGCAGATTGCCTTCTTAAACAAAGCCTGTTCAGACAACCATTTCTTCATCCCTCAAAAAAAATTCTTTTTATACCAAAAATTAAAAGCCTTTTACGAAATCAAATTTTAGATAGAATTAGACTGCAAACAAACCTCTTGCTATCGACTTCCCTTTCAGTTTGTAATGGTTCAACTGTAGAAGGGCCTGGAGGGTCACTTGTCTCAACCAAATCATTTTTTGGTTCTTGTTCCCCAGCTTTAAACCTAGCAGATTGCCTTCTTGAGCAACAACTGTCAAGACAAGCATTTCTTCTCTGAATTCTTTAGAGAATGCAAAACTAAAAGACATTAGATAACTGAGATTTTATACAGCAGTAGATTGTGTAAACAAACCTCTTGCTATCAACCTTCTTTTCAATTTGGACTGGTTCAACTATAGTAGGGCCCAAAACATCACTTATCTCAAAAGCATCATTTTTCGGTTCTTGTTCCCCAGCTTTCAACCTAGCAGATTGCCTTCTTGAGCAACACCTGTTAAGACAAGCATTTCTTTTATTTCTTCCAATTCTTCTGAAAATGCAAAATTAAAAGAAATTTATGAACTAAAATTTTATACAGTAGTAGATTGTGCAAACCCACCTCTTGCTATCAACCTTCTTTTCATTTTGGACTGATTCAATAGTCGGATCAACAGAATCACTTGTACCAAGAATATCACTTTTTGATTCTTGTTCCCCAGCTTTAAACCTAGGAGATTGCCTTCTCAGACAGTGCCTGTTGAGATAAGTGTTTCTCAATTTCTATTAGACTATTACATTATTTTTGACAACTAAAGAAAAAACCCATTTATGAATGGAAATTTCACGCGAGTTCTATGTAAACAAACCTCTTGTTGTCAATATTATTTTCAGCTAGGACTGGTTTAACTGTAGCAGGACCCAAAGCATGGCTCTCAAACACATCATCAGTTGGATCTTGTTTCCAATTAGCAGATTTCCTTCTGAAGCAAAGCATGTGAGAAGGAAACATTTATCTCACAAAAAATTAGTGATTTATGTAACCAGTTGGCATGCAGATAGAGAAACAAACCTCTTCTTAACAATCTTCTCTTTAGCTTGGACATGTGTAGGATCCGTTGCTACAGAGCAATCAGAAGAGGGAAATTGTCAGTTTGATAAAAGAATTCATAAAATTTGACTCACATTTCCACATGCTAATTACATTTAGATTTCTTCTTCCTCTTTTTATTACAAGGCTCATCTCCTCTGTTGTCAGCTTGAGATAACTCCCCATCTTCTTCATGTTTGACAGTTTCAACCTAAAGTAGTGAAAGAACAGGCGTAAATCCACACAGGATACTGATAAACAAAAAGATAAATCTCATAACAATTTACTTCAGATGGAACTGAAGTCAGTTGCTTAAGTACCTCACTTCCATAAATTTGGCATTTCACTGTGTTTGCTTCATCCTAGAAAATAAAGGAAGTTACTGGTCACTGATCAGGAAGATATATGATAATCTGTAAATGATATATATACCAGGAAGAAGCTGCACCAGCTAGGCTTACCTCAGACTCCAATTTCCAAGCTTTAAGCAAGCCATTTTTGCATCCTAGCTCATGTTGAAGCACCTTAAGCTGAAGAGTAACAGAAAATTTTTTTTAATCTATGAGAACCAAAGAACATGAGAGATTGAGCAAACTTAATTCTGGGGTCAAAATGTTTCAAAAAACGCACCCTATCTTTACATGCATTTAGTTCCTGCAAATTTTACAGAAACAAAATCAGTGTCAACAAGGGTTCAATAGCTTGAAGCAATAATCTCTAAAAGTTATATTAATCTAAAGTCCATCAAGGAGCAGATCCTGAGAAGTCCAAGACATTACCGCCAGCATCTGACTGTTAGTTTGGGCAAGCTGCAGATTCCTTTGTTGAACTTGTTGACATTCAGTTCTTAATTTCTGGAACTCGAATGCATGCAATTGAATTATTTTACTGTTGACTATACTAAGAAAAACAATGGAACGCCACAATGAATTGTAATAATCAATATATGGGGATGGGAAGTGAACCAAAACAAAATTAATCATAAATCAAAAAGGATACTTTCTATCTGCAACAAGCTTCACCAGTGACAGGTTTTCCTGGAAAAAATATTCAGAAAAATTTTTAAAAAAAAAAATCATTAAGCTAATCTGGCAACAAAATATGAAGCTTGTTGACGTAGCTTTAATTTTAAATTTCAAAATATTACCTGATGGAGCTTGTGAATGTACTCTTTAGTATTAAGTGAAGCAGACTGAAGTCTCATATCTTGGTTTTGCATTGGCAAGTTACTAATGTCAGCGAGCTTTTTCCTTGGCATGTTTCCAATTATAGGTCCCTTTGCTATTTCCTCTCCATTTATATTGTTATCTGATCAATATCAATTCCTCAGTTATTGAAGGAACATAAAACCTAAAAGCAGCAAGCTAAATAAAGATAAAGCAATATAGGGCATGGAAAACAATAATTTATGCAGTTTTGGTTCCCTAATGATATGTAAGTTTCCTGAAATTAATCAAATAAACTTGTTAACTTTAAGTTAAGAGCACGTTCTTCTATATTCAACTCCCAATTTTCTTAATTATTAAACAAATGATACACCTGAAACAATCTAATTCCATCAGATGCTTCATTAAATGGCAATCCGCATTAAGCTAAACTGTTATATCAGCTAAAGTTGAGAAAGTGACGATAGTAATAGTAATACCTTTCAAGTCCCAAAATTTTCTTTGCAGCCAAACGCATATATAATAGGTCCTTAACTTCCAACCCAACCTCTGATCTCGCTCATTTCATAAATCTAACCCTCAAGCCTCGATTAGAACCACATATCACAAATCTAATTATTAAACAAAACCCTAAAATTCATAAATGTATAATTAAAAAAATGAAACTCAAACACGGAACAGGGACCCAATCATCGAATTCTAGAACAAACACAAAATGGAGAACAAATTAGTAGTATTGAGAAAAAGAACATACGAAATACCTGCAATATTGCAGTTTTCTGTATCAACAACTATGCCAATGCCACCCTCCATCGAAGGAGACTTGCTAAAACCCTACACTCTTTCTGTCTCTCTACAAAGTCCTATACTTTCCCTGTTAGTGGAATACGAAGAGAGTGTCACTGTCGAGTCGAAAGGGGGAAATGGATGGAAGAAGATGGAGAAGGGAGGGTAGAAAGGGAATTCGATTCAACGGCTTCCAGTTTCCAAAGCAAAGGTCCAGAGCCGCCGAGCCTAAATTTTTGAATATATTTTTATATTGCCCGAACCAGACGTTAATGGGCTGGGTTTGGAAAACGGGGCTCAGTCCAGTTTAAATAAAAGCCTTCAGTTATAAAATAGTTCAAATATCTCACCTAATAGTCTTGGCCAAATGGGTGAATCTCACTTGAATTTTGGCTAATCTCGCTTTAGTAATAACTATCTTTGTAGTCAAAAAGAAATAATTTTATAAGAATTTAATTATAATTTTATATTTTTAAATTTTATTTTGACAAGACATATAATTATTATTGAAATGTGAAAATATGGGTTATAATGGATCTCAAAAAATTAAATGAGTCGTAAGGATAATCTCTAAAAGTACATATTAAATTCATAGTCCTATACTATAAAATAAACATCATGTTATTGAAAATTTATTTGACATTTACCTCTTCTTTCGAATAAATAAATTCCATAAAATTTTATGAAATTCATTTTATAAATACCCTTTGACAATATATATAAGGCTAATAAACCTCTTATCCGGTTACAATTATCTAAATATGAAATATTAGTGGAGTCTATGTTATCAATGACTACTACATGATAAGGGGAAAATCTATTTTAAGTGAATGTTTGCAAATATATTAATATATGTTTATATTTATGTATGCAGGCTCAATACCTTATATATATATAACTTAAAATACCTATATAGTTTAAATTTAACTTGAAATATTTAATCAAAAAGTTTTTATACAATTGAAATTTTTTAAAAATATATAATTTGATAAATTGAAATGTTCAATATGCCAAAAGTATAAAAAAAAAAAAAATGCCATATAATTGTTTTATATAAAATACATGCGACAACTTTTGCATCCGGCCTTTATTAATCAGTAAGGAAAACCCGAATAACACTGAAGCCCAGACCCTTGAAAATTTTGGGCTTGATTGAAGGCTGTAATTTTAGGTCCAATAAGGCCCGTCCCAACCTTGTTGAAATAATCTTAAGCTTAAGAACTATTATCATATAAGACATGATTATGTACTATAATATTTTCGAATCTAAAACTCTTAAATAATTTAATATTTTATTTTTTTTAACTTGATAATAAATGTAAATTTGAGTGACCTAAAATAAATGTATGTTATCTCTATTCGTCCATAGAATAAATATAATGACATCGAGAATTTATAATTAAATTAAATTATTTTTAGAAGAAATTAAATTAATTTTTAAAAAGTACAGAAATTAGTATTATTTTGGATGAGGTTGAAAACAATAAGTTTAGATTGTTATAAGGTAACCTGCAGAAATTAATAGATGACGACCTTTCTTATCCAATGGTGGATTGCAGTTGGTCGGTTGGTCGGTCCACTATTTATTCGTTGCATTTATGAGAACTTTTTTTCGAATCTGATTCCTTCTTCTGATCTATCTTACCTGGGTGGTGTCGTTTCTCTTGTTTTTGTCGGAACGACAGTAACCTAAGTTGCTTTGTTGGTAATTTCTGCAAATTAGCCTATAAATTTATTCTTTTTTGCTATTTAACTCCAATTTAAGTTAAAATCATTTTTGATACATTATATTTATTCCCATTATTATTTTTTCTTTGGGATTAAAAATTATTTGATTAATATTATTGGAACATTTTTTTGGTAAATGATAATAATATATAACATTATTTTTTTAATTAATATTAAGGAAAGGAAAATGTTAAATTGTGAATTTTTCATTGATATTATTTCAGATTACGCATATATATTTAATTATATACATGAAGCTTATGGATGTCTTTTATGGTTTAATGATTGTCTTCAACCTAATACATTACAATTTAGGGAGTTGAATAAATTAATTTTGGATGGAAGTATTCATTCTAATTGCACATTATATTCAACCTAATTGTAGTATTTAAAAAATTAATTAATTTTGTAATAGAAAATATGAATTTTTTAATTATATCCAATGACAAATTATTAGAAGAGAGTTCATTTTTTAATAAAATGGGAGATGAGCTACTAAATGATTGTTTAGTGACTTGACATTGAAAGATATATATTTATAAATATTAACAATGAATCACTGTGAACAAATTTATTATAACGGTTTATTTTATTTTTATTAGGAATTCTCGTTTCATCGAACTCCTCACTGAATTTTCTGATTATATACTGATATGAAATAATACAATAAGTAAGAGATCTCGATTTCAATTTATCTCTATCACGAGAGTTTTCATCATGAAATGCATGTTATTTTAAAGGAACGATATTCCTACTGTATAGCTTAATATAATTAAACTTAATTATTAAATTTAATAGAGTTAATTTAAATAAATATATATAATGCAATGTATATATAAATTTGAAAGCTCTCCATCTACAATTAATGTAAAACAATTATTTATATTTGAGGAACATTTGAAAAATTCAAAAATCTCATTATTGGCTATATATTTCAAAATTGATTGGATTGAAAGAAGACAATAAGATTGGCCTCATGTTGGTAATATAATATTGTAATTGTTAGGGTGCATCATGACTATTTTTAGAACTTCTGCCGTGTTTGATTCTCATTGGCCCCATTTATCCCAATCAAAATTATTTCTCTCATTCATTGTTTGAAAAAAAAAATTATTAATTTTTCTTATGGGTCCCATTTTATTCTAATAAATAAGTTTCTTCCTTGTTTTTTAGTGTCTTTTCCAAAATTCTGAAGGCAATTAAGATCCTTCAAATGGACGCTAGGTATTTTTTTTAATATATAAAATAATTTAATTCTTAGTTTTTTAGATTTTTTTTTTAAAGATCCTTCAAATATGGTTTCTTGCCTCATAACAATTAGCCTATTTTAAAAGGGAAAATCTTCATTTTATAAGATAGTAGAAACAAAAAGAGAAATAATTATCAATAGTGATTTAAAAAAATATATATATCTCCAACCATAGTTGTTGTCATTGTAAATATTATATATTGAAATTATCATTATTTTTTTTTTGTCAATTCATTATATTAGTTTTATTTTTAAATTAATCGCACTATATAGTGAAATTTTATAAATAATTTTGAATATGAACTTTTCTAATTTCCTATATGTAAAATGAGTATTTAACTATTCGTCATCTATTTAAAAGTCTTATGAATTAGTATATATTATTTTTTTTTTTTCATGTAGTGATATTCAGGTAAAGTTCATCCAGCACTGATGATTTCAAATCTTGATCCCTCAACTTATAAAATTCGTTTGAAAATACAATTCATTTTTGTTGATCACCTATTAGTTGAATTAGTTTATGCTTTATAGATAAAATTCGTCTAAGAATACAATCTTGACCTAAAAGTGGCTCGACACAATATTAAAATTCTAGCTCTTCCAGAATGGTGAAATACACTTAGTTGTCATCGTTCTCTTTGGTCTGTACAACCAAAAAATTCTTTTGAGGATCTAAAAAAAAAATCAAAAAAATAAGAAAATGTTATATACACACACATCCATTCTCTTACAAAGCAATTTGTTAACTTTTTGGAAACATTTCACATTAGCTTCGATTCATCTCTCGCATGCACAAAGGATAAGTGTTATGTTGTTATCTCTCTCTTTTTCCTCAGTTACTTTCCGAGTCATATACACCATCCTAAAGAGTGAGGAATTCAAACGAAAGGATATATCAGAAAAAAAAAGATGAAGAAGAAGACAAACTTTATGATGATGCAAAGCATATATTCTATCTCAGCCGAAGCAATTTTCTTCTTCGAATACTGCTTTTATTTTTAATACTACCGTTTTTTCACAAACTTTTCTGTGTCTCGAGGTAATGCACAAGACCTTTTCTTGCTATTGTGTCAATATACACGTAGATCATCACTAGAATATTCACTACTTTCTTTTATATATTCACGTAGATCATGACTTAATTATCTTGCTATTGTGTCAATATACACATCCAACCGTAGAACGCAGTAAAATGCGTTTCCGTTGATCGATTGCTCTCATTTTTATGGGATTGAAGTCGTTTACCGCTCCAAACAACATCTTATTAGTATCATGTATTCATTTTTAATTGTCTTTTCTTATATATTTTTTGAGAAAAACAATTTAAGGAAATCTTTAAATTTTTTATTCTTCTCAGTATTAGTTAAATTGGTTAAATATCAAATTATGCGACCACAAAATATGAGATTTATGATAGGTTGGAAATTTCAATAGAGGCTTTATAGCTAAAAAATTATGGTAGTTTGCTTCTTAAGATTACTCAGATTCCTCTTTTGACCAAATACAAAATTTGTGAATTTGGCCATAAAACGTTCATTGTCATCATGGATATTCTTTGTTGTATATGTAACCTTTTTTTCCATTAGTGGAGGCCATGTCACACGTTCGAAAAACAAGTATAAAAGAACACAATTATTATGCAAATTGATAATTTGGAGTCAATTTGTAATTGTTCAAGTAATTTTGCTAATTTTAAATTAATTCTATCTTGAAAAATATAATTTTCACTTTATTATTACTTTTTTATTAGTATAAAGGATATTAAATTTGTTTTTATAATGTCAAAATCAAACTAGTTTATTCTTATATTTTGAGAAATAGATTAGTTTATCCCTTTTGTTTCTGTCATAGTAGTCAGTCCTTCCATCCATTTTCCTCTCTTTTTTTTGTTAACATATGGATAAACTAGTTAATTTTAGTATTTTCAGTGGAAAAAAAGTATTTTTTATATTTTAATATGTGGTGTAAATAAAATTTTCTCCATTATGGTTTGAATTTTTTTTAAAAAAAATGCACCAAGAAATATATTATTTATTATAAAAATTAATATATAGTAGTCAGTCCTTCCATCCATTTTCCTCTCTTGTTTTTTTGTAACAGGAAAACAACTAGTTAAAAATTCAGTGTAAAAAAAATGATTATAATATATGGAAAAAAAAATTTTCTCCATTATGGTTGAATAAAAAAAAAACACCAAAAAAAAAATAAAATTAATATTATATATATATATATATATATATATTATATATAT